ACGTTTGAACGTCCAATTATGTAGGTCGAATTTAGAGGGGTGGCCCAAAAGCACTTTCGCTCTATTTTTTCATTTTTCAGTAGCTCAGTCGTGGAGCATCTAAACTAGTAAGAATTCGCAGATCGAGGAGGGTGTTATCGGCCGAGGTGTATAACACCCTCCGAGATCTGCAGAATTCTTCATATCCTACGAAAGCCGAATTTAATAATTGTTTCATTATTCCTTTAAAATAATTCCAAGTTTAAAAACAAGCTAGCACATGCTAACATCGGTCGATGTTAAATTCATATCAGTGGTGCATCTTTATCGGAAAGTTAAGGAGATAAAGTTCTGTTCAGGTCAGCAAAAATACTCCAAATACCAGATGTCGTCCATCGCGCATCTAGTTGTCTTCTTGCTGTTCTTGCCATGTTTTTAGACAATATTTCGCCGTGAAACGAGTAAAATGTTTCTCTGTTAACGGTTTAGTAATCTGCAACTTGGCTGCACTTTTGACGTCATTGGTTCACTATGACAAAATTCTTTCCAAATTTGGTCAACGGTAGCTGGTTATGGTGAATTATGCGTGTGATTTTAACCAATCAGAAACGGGGAAATATTTTGAATGAATAATAATTAACAATTATTCCACAAGTGCGCGTTGGATATGAGATGGTAGATTACCAACGAGGCGCAAGGCGCCGAGTTGACTATAATCATCTCATATCCAATAAGAGCGAGTGAGATAATTGTTTTATTAAAAACTTCCACAAAATATCGAGAATTTTTCCCAGCTTTATTTGTAAATACAACCGATTTTTGGTTTGTCTTTAATTTTGAGCAGACGTGTACAGTTACCACATTTGGAGAGCATGGTATTATGGCTCATATACTCATATGCCATGATGGCTAAGTCAATCAGAGCTCTAGAATTGCATCGTCCAATGATTCAGTCGTTTATAAAACATGTTACTCGAATTGAAAGTTAGAAAGAAGCAAACAGGACTTCGCGTCCATTAACAAAAGTAAATGTCGTGATCAGTGTAAGCGATATCTTTTGCCGTGAAAATTAGAAATAAACAATATTTCTTATAAAAACTCACCATTTACAACAAGCTGCGCCAGCGTTTGCGCGTGTCCTAAGATGCTTGTTGCTGAGCATTAGTATTCACCCGAGTCACTTGCGTTTACATTCTTTAAAAGTAGTCTCCCTCCTGAAACCGCTGTCCTGCTTACTTCAGAAAGGTTGCCCCTTTTACTCCACACTACTGCGGGCTCAGGATTACCACTCACTGAACACTGAAACGAAGCTGTTCCACTTTCGTTTACCGTCAGGTTTGAAGGGGAAACAGCAACAACAGGAACTGAAATTGATTCACCAGGCTCTCCATTCGTTCCCGGCATGCCAGCGGGTCCTGTATCTCCTTTTTGGCCTTTAAGTCCTAGGTCACCTTTAGGCCCTACAGGTCCCATGATGCCTTGCTTACCGCTTTTTCCTGGTGATCCTCGTGTCCCCTTCTTCCCTTTTCGTCCCCGGTCTCCCTTCTCTCCTCTCGGCCCTGGTTGACCAGGAGGGCCTGGGGGACCCGAAAGACACGCGTCATTTGGTGATTTGCAAAGTCCCGGTCTTCTCTCTGATAAAAGTTCGTGAATTTCTTTAATCATGGTGGCTGTTGTTTTAGCTTTCCTGGTATTATTAGCTGAATTCGCTTGTCTTCTGGTTCGATGATGTTCATAGGTGTAAAATTCTGCTAATACAAATAAGAATTTTTTCATTCAATTGTTCGCTCAGTATCAAGCTGTAATAATGAGGAAACAAATGAAGCAAAAATTACATTTCAAGACCATGATTTCTTTTACCAGTTATTTATCAAGCATGGAAAAATCAGTCACGTACGACCTGTTGCCAAAAAGAAAACGAATGAACCTCGGTGTAACCTTTAGTTTCTTTTCCAACAGTAAACACAGCAAAACCACGGAAGCTAACTATCAAAGCCCCAAGCAATCTTCCCATCTCTTTTCTCTTTGCTCATCTGGGTGAAAATCAGTCGCTCAAGAAAAAGGTAATTGAACGTACCTAAGAGGCGTGAAACGCACTCCACACACAAATAAACAGAAGAAAACTTAAAAGGGAACTTTCATGCACATTTCGCTCAATATTTATTGAGCAAACAACGCTTTAATAATCGCTACTGTATGAATAATAAATTAGCGAGTATGTAGGGTACGTAGTGTTGCTCAGGGCTCTGATTGTTAGCTTGGGCGACCTGTACAGGAACACTCAATCGCGAGCGAATACAGGTTAAGTAGGCAAAATTAATCATCGTAGAATGTTCTTTTCAGGATGGTAAGAGACATTTCAGAGTTCATGAAATTCTAAACTATGTTAAAATGAAGCGTAAAACAAGAAAAACAAACTGTGTACATACCACGAGCATCCTTGATGATTTTGACGATGTTCGAATCGCTGTATCGTGGTTTTGTCTCCGGGTTGTTTTCAAGCGCGTTTAATCTTTTCTTCTGATTGTTCAACTCTAATTCAACTCTTAGAAACCCAATGCAATACAGAAGAATGCCTAACGCAGAGATGGTGGTAGCAAAAGAAGGAAGGTGTTGTTTTTGACTCGTCATTTTCATGGGAGTTTCTTTGAGTCTTGTTCATCTGAAGGCTTGGTACGTATACGTGAGCTTGTTACTTGATACTGTCATTTCCTCGTCACTTTTAATTTAGAAGGCAACGATCAAATTGGTTTCCGCTTTTGTCTGCTGCTGCTGGGTTTCTTTGCTTTGTTTGTTTTCTAATGTAAGAGGGTCATAAGGCTGGGTCGACTATTTTTAGCCCTTCAAAGAGTTTTCAATATATTTGGATTATTTACCTCACGCAATTCTGACATATTCCCTCAAAGCTGGCACTCAAAGTGGACCCCTCCTTGAGCGGACTCAAGAAGGTGCCACGAGTGAAACGGGCATTGTTGGGTGATTTCAGAAAGAAAGGTTCAGACCGAAAAAACTGCATTTTAAGCAAAAACATTATGAAACAAATTCGATCGTAGCATCCTCTAAGACTCCTTTTGAGAGAGTAAGTACTGTAGACTGACTTGATCTTATCCTAGTCCATGAAGGCACTCTGGAGTTGCTTCAGCCACTCGACAGAGGAATAAAATAGTATTTCCTTTTTTTGTTTATTTTGGATCAAACAATGTAATTTTCATATACCGTTAACTTTTTTATATTGTGACGCTTTTTAAAGAAAAAATTACAACCTTCAAATTTGCGTCAAAGTAGAATCTTTTAGTGATCAGAAAAAGTATCCAAATTGCTACAATAGAGTATAGATGGCTTTTCTGATCTGTTTCATCTGAGAAAGTCTACAAAACAAAACGCATACTAAAATTGTGGACAGGTTAAGACCGGGTTTAGAGAGGGAACGGAATATTTTCATCCTACGAGTAAGCTCTCGACCTGCTTCTTACCGCTGAATCAAGAACTTGCTCGTAGGCTATGCTTGTTGTTGTTTGTTTGTATTGTTTTGCACGTCTTAACTCTTAACACAACAATACAAAGAGGCAACTGCTAACAGTGAAGAATGATTCTTTGATAGATTCTTCTTAAATAGCTGGACACTACAAGTTTGTTTGACTCCTGTGTGAAAAATTCATACCAAGCAAGCGCAGAGATATTGTTTTTGTTTAATAAATCTATTCTTCTTTTCACGTTCCAGTTGCTGTCGCTCGTGGTGGCTTAAAGTCACCAATAATAACTTAACACCCGTAGAATGACATCGTATAGTTTTAGTTTTACGCTAATCAGTTACGTCCTAGAATTAACCACTGGTGACTGATGGTAACCTCTCCTTCTTCCATACAGGCCTGGCTGCAGTTGTTGGTACTCGCTGAACTGTGACAAACTCGCAAGCGTTGTCTAATCCTCCGTAGTATTGCAATAACTCCTCCATAGCTCTTTCTTCAAGCTAGCAGGAAAAAAAATAGCCATGAAGTCTTAGGCCGCAATTTAGGGAATAATCCTAAAAAACACATTAACGCAAGATTAAATTGAGCGAACCCCACAACACGAACACCCTGCCCTAAGCAGGCAACAGCAATCGCAGACTTGAAAGTAGACTTTGTAAAAGTCCTAATGAGAGGTCGACTTGAAGCAAGTCTAACTGGAAAGGGTTGTGTGAATTTCCGCTAAATACAAGTTTTTCTATCGTTAGAATACTTCCTTGAGTTTTTCCGTCTCCTTTTTCACGCACTTAAAAACCACCCGTGCTTTACGAAAGCACGCCTTTAAATAACGCTGTGGCGGGAAAAAAGGAACCTTAGACTGTCAACGTTAAGAAGGGCAGGTGCCCCAAGGATTTTGGGGTTGTAGATCAGCCGTTTCCATTGGCTTTCGGTAAATTTCACCCAAGAAAACCTTCTGGCTTTCATGTACCCTGAATCTGATGGGATCATTGTACGTTTCTGGGAAACTGCCCCCTACCCCTCCCCTAAGCCAACATTAATACATACTTCTCACTTAGGGCAAAATGTTGGCTTAGGGGAGGGGTAGCTGGGCAGTCTCCTAGAAACGTACAATGATCCACATGATTTGACATACCTGGGTCAGATGGAATGGCTTTTTGCTAACTCTAGAGAAAGAAAAAGACAAGAAAAGACAGAGAGGAAAAGTTCTAAAAAAATAATAGAATAGACGCTATATAAAACAACCTAAATAAATAACATGGTTTATATTTTTGACGTCTAACACCCCAAAGTCCTCTTGGCTTGAGGCTACCTATAGGCTTTGCTAACTGTAAGGGTTGCAATTATATTATACGAACAGATAGGTCAATAACGGCATCAAAGCAATAACTGGGACACCATCCAGCACTCACATAGGCTTATATGATTTTGCTGAGTGTAGGTTATGACAGTAAAAAGGGGTACATACCTGTTTAGGTTTGTATTTTCTTCTTCTTGGGATTCTAGAATAGTAGAGAAGGCGACCGACGAGGAAGGCGGTGAACACGCCAGAGGAGTTGACTGCCACGCACTGAAAAGAATAGATACATGTACAATCGGTGAACTCCAGAAACAAAAAATTAAAACAAAACCAAAAAGTAACCAAATAATAATAAAAGTAATAATAATAATAAGAATTAATTATCAATCATTAATAATAACAAGAAATATTAATAATAATGACGATGACGATAATGATGATAAATAAGCAAGCATATCAGCATATCATCGTAATAGGAGGGAGGGAGGGCGCTTTTTATGCTCCGTTACACAAAGTCAGAAGCCTGTGATTTCGAACTCTCAACTGCCCCGATTTCATTTCACTGCATTTTGCGGACCTGTCTCCTTTTTAATCAATTCTGCCGTAATTTTAGACAATCGCAGGAATTCTTTCAACCAGTGGACATGAACATATAAAAGGGAAAACGAATATGGCGTTCGGCCGCACAGAAATTTCTTTAACAGGTCAACTGGATTGAGCCATTGGTCATGGTTTTTTTTTTCTCTAAAAACAACGTAAAACGCCTCTTAACATTTTTGCAAAACCATTATCTGCGTGGGGTAGCAGCTGGCGCGCGTGAAAGATAAGAACTCGCGCGTCCCGCATTTCTAATGAACCTGTAATGCACGTTTGTGAAAACGTCCTGAAACGAATTCATGGCACGCTTTGCTACGAACGCTTGGCTAATCGAAACACCCCAAGTACAAAGTAAAACTTTATCTAAATCGCCTTTAAAACAGCCGAGATGTAAGCATCTTAAAAGATGTAGCACAAAACATTTTTACAATGGCTTACCTTTTTGGAGGCGACGAGGAAAATCCAGACAGGCGATCGCAATTGGTGTCAACATCTTCTTTCGAATCAAGATCTGAGCTTGATGCACAAAACACAGGCTGAGAGCGCCAACTACAGAAAGACAACAATGAGAAATTATGACGGGTTAAACAAAGCTACACGAGAAGCCACGCACGCCTCGTGAGCTGTTAAAACAAGGGTTTCACCTGGCTCATATTCTTGTATTGTAATAATATGCCCGAGAAGATTCTCAAAATATCCGTGATTCTTTTTAAGTGAAATTTTAAAATGACCCAACAAATGCATGCAAATAAAATACTACCAACTTTTAGCGCAGCTTAATGAAATTTTGGTGAAGTTAACCTCGTGATAAGACAGCGATGTTCAGTAACAAATTGGGTTCTTCGCGACACATTTAAAACGTGTGAAATGTCTAACTTTATAAAAGGGTAATGGAGTGGAGTGTCATACTTGAGCTTTTTCCTTGGAGTACCAGACTTGTTCGCTTTTGATGTGGCAGCAGAGGGTGTCTCTTTGGTTTCTGCTTTCTTTCCAGATAGCTGTTGTTCTTCTTCCTGCATGAGATCCCTTAGCGATAGTACAGGAGCCACACTTTTACCTACTCCACCCCTTAAAAAGAAAGAAAGTAAACAAACTAAAAATAAAACAAACAAACAAAAAAACAACAAATTAAATACCGTAAAATTCCAAAAATAAGCCCCTCCATGTATAAGCCCTCCAAATATAAGACGCCCAGACTCGGAACGCAAAAAACCCTTCGTTAAATCGCCCCTCCGAATATAAGCCCCCGGGGGCTTGTACTTGGAAATTGCCCTCAAAAAACGAAATAATAAAACAGAGCAAAAACGGTACAGTAACATATAATTTTTGTATTTGCCAAACACATATTACGTGTGCCAAATGATTGCAGTCAGAAAGTGTCACAGTTTATTGCTGTTTGCGTAGTTCACTCTACACTCCTGGTTTGGATTTCCTCGGTCCATATAGTCAAAGTACTTGCATGGCTGCTTTTTAGAAAGTTTTACGTCCTCAAGGGGAGTTTCGGTAAAACCTTTGTGCAAATTACTGACATAAATTTCCTTTCAACTATAAGCTAGCCTAATCGATTTTGAGACGCAAATTTCCCTCCAAGTATAAGCCTAGCCGATTTTGAAACACAAACTTCCCTCCGTATATATGCCCCTCAAAAAGGGCCTTTGAAAAAAATAAGCCCCGGGGCTTATTTTCGGAATTTTACGGTAATTAATAGTCTATGAGAAAAATACAAAAGAAATCGGATCTTAGTGATTGTTTTTAAATTTAATAAGACGCGGCTGAGAATTAGTTTCAATTTTGCTGGGGAAGATAAACATAACACATGTAGAGATAGACTTTTTTTAAAATCCAAAAAAGAAACTCGTACTTCGTGTTTATGAAGTCTGAAAACTGTCGGATGCGTCTCGTGTTTCAAACAAAAGGTATACTTAAACCAACACACCACAAGGAAAAGTAAATTTGTAAACTTTGTTAACATCCTTTTAATCTTCGCCGAATCACAATGGATAACAGTAAAAAAAGACGTACAGTAAATGAATAAATAAATAAATGACAGGAGGGGAACATACCATGCAGGAGCTGCTTCTTTATCTTTCCTTTCGTCAGAGGTTACATCCCTTGCATTCCCTTCTGTGCCTTTCAGGTTGCTGCTTGATTCGTCTGATGTGCTGGACTTTGACCTCTTTCGTTGTTTCTGTGATTGCCGGACTCCTGAATTCCACCAAAGAGCAGCACTAGGTGGACTGGTGCCTAAACTGAAAACAAGACATTCGTACTCTATAAATAGAGAATAAGAAATCCGATCTGCGGTTAACATTTCCGATTGTAATACTCACATTGACCTGAAAATTTACAAAGGATTTTAATCGTAGAGAAATGAGCAAAGCCAAGCGGTAATACGTTGTCAAATCAAGTCGCAATCCTTACCACTGACTCGGCGGGCTCTTGTTGGAGGTCCTCTTCGTCATGGACTTTTTCTGTAAAATCAATAAAATAAAAATATATGTCGTCAGACCTCCTTAATATGGATATCAAGGGGTCGGACCAGGTGTCCTCATGACAGAGGCTTCCGCATTATAGAGGTAGGAATTGTATGAATTTTGGTGTCTTTGGGGCAAAGAGAGCTGTTGAATGCAAAATAGAGAGGTGTCCGTTTTGAGAGGTTCGCCTGTAAGCTAATTCAGTACAGGAAGTACAGTCAAACCTCCTTAATACGGATGTCAAAGGTGCCCGCATTACAGAGGTGTCCGAATTATAAAGGTAAAAGTTGTATGACTTTTGTTGTCTTTGGGATAGAGAACTGTGTCCGTATTATAGAGGTGTACATAAGGTGAGATTCGACTGCAATAACGGAGTTAATACAAACGACCCAAAGTTCTCTTCTCTAAAAAACGACGATCACATTATTCATAAAACAGACAATACAGTATACTAACAACCGACGTTGCAGAAAAAATAAAGAGAATAGCATAACACAGGTTTATTTTAGATTTATCATACTTTGGAAAATGGTTGGGGCGTTGGTAAGACAAAGGGTAAGCGTACTCTCGCTTTTGCGTTAAGGAATATCTAATTAACAAACGCTGTATGCTAGGACCTATTGTCATTGTGCCAATCGAACACTCTTGTGTATAACAAGTACAGTTGTCGTAGAATCTCACAAGGGCGGATGTAAAATGTACCTCATCCGGGGAATCGAGACGGAGGGTAGCTTGGTTCTGCTCCTGCTCAATGATGTCTTTGAGACTTGTGGCGGGAGGACTTGCTGCGCTAGATATATTAAGGAGAGAGGTAAGAAACGTTCAAACTTAAAAAAAGTCAATAAATAATAACTAATTAGAGCCGTAATTATAAGCACCTATATGAATACATGGAAGCAAGAAAAAAAGGTTTAGAAAAAGAAACGAATAGAAAAATACCTCGCGTTACTACTCCACACTGGCTTTTCAGGCGACGGTACCTTCAAAGAAAATCAATCCTTCAATTGGCGTGTGAACAAATGCCTCAAGAAAGTTGTAATCAAGGTCACAAAAAAATCGTACTAAGTCTTTTGGCGAATGAAATTAGCTCGATTGTCTCTCGGTCTCGTATGTGAGGTAGTTAGTGTCCATTCCTTTCACCAAAATGCTATTCTCACCTTGATGTCAACACCAACCTCCTTCTTTGCTTCTTGTTTAGCCTCTAATTCCTCTGCAGACTGGCGAGGAGACTGTTTTTTATCGCGATTTTTTTTCTTTGGGGTAATAACTGCGGGTGCATCTTTGCGATACCACAGACCAGTAACTGTATTGCACTAAAAGTGATGAAACGTATTTCAGCCCCGACATGAAGGAAATCTTAAAACTCGAAAAAAAAAGGCAAAAAACGTTGCCAATGAATAAGAAGCACAACACTCTAGAAAAAATGCGCAGCTGGGGGGGAGGATGTCGCGACCAAAACAGACAAGGTAGTTTCTGTCTTTTTTGAAACAAAAAGATTACAAAACAAACAAACAAAGAACACAACAAAACAAAAACAAACAGGAAAACAAAAAGGTACTGAAAAAGAGCGAGGCGGGCTACTGGAATAAGCCATCAAATACCTACATGATAGTTTCTACACTAAACTGGCCAGTTATATACCTGTACTGCTTTCTCATCCGGTTGTGGGTATTCCGGATCTGCAGTAGCTTCGTCACTTTGGTTGACAAGTGAAGGTTTATCCTGGGTTATCTCTGGCTGATCAAACACTTCATCACCGTCCTTGACGCTTATTTCAAGACCTATGCAAGTGCATTAATCACGGTTCTTAAAATTGAACTAACAACCAACAGAAAACCATAACAACAACGAAAAACACTGAAAACGTGCGAGCTTGTGTCTCGGGTTCTAATCCCGCCTTGGTCACTGGCTGGATTTGTTCGCGCTCGCAATATTTCAAATCCTCAGCCACGCTTCTAAATGGGCAGCTGGTTGCCTCCTGCCAGTTGGGTTTTTTATCCTGCTATGGTATATTTGTTCTCTAATTATTTGAGTGGGGTGCCTGTGTTCACAAGCTCGGTAAGCTAAGCTGCACTTTTCACGAAGTTAACCTTTAATGCAAGCTTACTAGTAATCACAGGCGTACCAGTCTTAACAATTTCCTCTTGCACATTGTTTCGGGTGTTAGCATCTTGTTCGCTCTCACTCTTGGATGATTTCTTCCGTCCCGCGCTCTTTCTTCGCTTTCCTGGGGTCGATTCAGAGACTTCTTTGAAAACGAAGTCGGGCATATCTGCTGGGGTTATCACACGCCAAGCCATACCAGCAACCTGACATAAAAAGGGAATTTAATTAAAAAAGAAATAAAAGTCAAGAATGTAAATAATAAAGTAGAATACAATAGAGTAACAGAGAGAATTTCGACAAAAGAGTTTCCAGAGTCGGCTAGCTAAAACGTAGAATTGTGCTTTCTTTGTAAGATTGTGAACTTGGTTATCAAATAGGAAGAAAAACCCGGGAAGAACAGGGTAAAAAAAAGTTCCGCACCCATAAAAATAAAAACCGGACTAAAAAACTCAACGAGAATCAAGAAGCACAATGTAGAAGGAAACCTACCAAACGCCGGTAAGCTCTCGAAACCTCTGCCAATGCTTCATCGGTCAGTGCATCCAACGTCCTGAGAGTTAACAAGAAAATTATCACTTGATTTCACTTTCAGATATTTTATTTATTCGCTTTACTATAGCTGTTTGCAGGATAGCCAGCCACAAAACCGTTTAGCCAAAACCTGTGGAACCGTTATCAGCTGGAACATTCCCACTTGGAAAAGGGAAAACAGAACTTAATTATTTTCAATCAGTTAGGCCTGTTTCAAACGTCGTGTTACTGCCGTGCTAAGCTGGCTCGACTGTCGCTCGACTGTAGCTCGACTGCAGCACGACACTAACACGACTTGGTTTCAGACGTCGAATTTAATTCACTCAAATAGAACGGCTGTTGCGAAAACAAAACACAAAAATAAAGAAGAATAAAGAAATGGTTTAGCAAACTTTTAAATAGATTGGGCCTTACTTTCTCCTGGAGAGTTTCCAGTAAAAACCAGAAAGTGCTGTTAAATTTACTTTCTAAGCGGAATTTTTAAAAAGAAAATCGTAAACAACTTTAAACATTACAAACCTGGATTCTATAACAGTCGCTAAATTATTCGTAAGTAGCTCCGTACAAACGTCTCTCAACTGGCTAGCGTTGTACAGCATGGCGAACTCTAACACCTCAGCAACATTCCTTAATGTCACTGAAAAAAAAGAGAAACTTTTTAAACGAATGACAATAATTTAAGTACAATGTTAATTTCTTGTTCGGCATGAGAAATTTTTTCTTGGAGCGAGACTTGAGAGAGATTCGTAGAGGTTAAAAATGATATAATTCGGAAGATCGGCACTTGAAATATGAAATCCTACGTCCAAATTTTTGAATGCACATTACGAAAACTATGAAATTTGTGGAAGGAGAAGAGAAGAATTCCATAATTCACAATAGTGAGGTTAGATTTCACAGATAAATGTACAAATACGCGAACGCATAAATAATAAAAAGAAATAGACATATAAACAGATATTCATAAATACTTAATTAAAAGTGACAAAAAGGAAAAGAAACAAAGAGTAAATACACAAAAAAAGCCATAAACAAGGGACACACCTAGATTTGCCATGACCGCCTCGCAAAGCTCCTTCAGTCCGAAAATCAGTAGCTGAAAAAATCAATAATTTGGATTTAATTTAAGCAAACAACCGCGCCAAGCAGAAGTGTTAACTGGCTGGTTGTGGGACTAACCGGCTATTGTATGAAAAGTGGTTTGTCAAGGCGACCGTAAGGAAAGGTGTCCACTTACAAGACAGTTGCGTTCATAGTTACACTCGTATTTATTTCATAATTTAATTTTACAGCTGAGATAATCTTCTCTTATCGTAATAGCATTTTAAACGATCAAATAAATTCCTGATTCACTTAACACCTGATCCGCCACAATGAGAATGTTTCCCAACAACTCCAAATCTGTACATTCTGTAAAGGAAAAATACGATAGCAATGAGGCAATAGAAATATATACAGTGTAAATATTTTATATAAGTGTGAATAACCTGAACTGAACGGAACTGAATTGAATTGAAATATCCTAATCATCGCTCTAACCGCGCTCAGCAAGGCTCACGTTGCGCTCAAGGAAAGCCTGGTTTCCAAGGTATATTGCCTTTAAAGAGAGACCCTGGAAGCGAGGTTAGGTCAGAAGCAATTTCGGACGAAGTCAATTCAGGAAGGGCCCTGGGTGAAATTCAGCTATTGACTTACGTATTCGCTGCTTGTACATATATTGTGTGCTTCCTGGTTGAATCAATCGTAAAACCTTTGAACCATAAAGGTCAGGAGTTGGTTAGGTCGGGTCTCTTGGATCACTCTCACGTAAGCCTGATGAAGGACGGCTACAACGAGAATTTTCATGCAAAACTTCCACGGAAAACGTGCCGAGATGTGAAAAACTAATTGAGCAGTTATCTCTGCCTTTTTTTTCTTAACAACTGTCTGTAAATATCTTTAATTTTTTCTTTAGGTCTGAACCGCTTATGCCATTTTGCAGGTCAGCGCTCAGTTCATGTAATATAATGTGCTGAAGAAAATATTAATAAATGCTGTTGTCATTATAAACGCTTCTTTTAGATACCAAAACCAAAGGAAACCTGCAGGCGAAGGATACTTTGTCATACGCACACCTGAAACATAAGAAGCAGAACACGGACACGGCTAAAGTACTCGCCTTTAACTTTTCCTGGTTGTCCAGAGTAGAGGAAATCCAAAACAATTTCCATAACATCACCTGGGAATGGCAACTTTAAGGATGTGGAATGCTGGCTAGTCTAATGGTGGGTTAAACCATAAAGATCGGTAAATTAATATGTTCTTGCGGGTAAAGAAAAAAAGGCTGATACAGAAGGAAAAGCAGTTGTCCGATTACCTCTAACCAGCCACTTGCAAGCATGCTTCGGAAATAATCTGCAAATGGCACATGAGAAATTTAATAAATGAATTGCAATGATATACCTCTTACTAAAACAATTAGCAAAGTATTTCTTTTTTTTTTTTTAAATTTATTTATTGATCAGATTACCACTAAAAGTGGCAGGGCATCCTGGATAGAAAGCCAAGCACGGATAGATTTCGTTGTGTTTTAATAAACATAAATTCAAATTAACCAGGATAATGCTTTTATCAATTCCAACTGGCATAAAGTGTATTAAAGCAATGGGACAAAACTTTCTTTACCCATACAATAAAGGTAGGCGGAATGTTAGAAAACGTCTAAAAAGAAAAAAAAATTCACTTTTTCAAATTATCCGTGTTTAGATAATTATATGTTTTGACGAAAACTTCTCCGTTTGGCAATGCAATGCCTGCTTTTCGGTTTTAAGTAAACGTTTGGTTTAAAATCAAGTCTAAAGTAGATACGTACCAAGCTGACCAACAAGAATGCATTTGTGACATTGTAATTCAGTTCCGTCTTCACAGACAATCACAACATCGTAAAGCTCTGGACTAATGGGAAACATCGAAATTGCATGAGAACGAACTGACGCTCTTAAAAAAAAAAAAACAACAGAAAAAAAAAGTGTTCCAAAATATTTAAAACAAAGCTGTGAAAGAAAGACCTAGCCTTTCCCAGGCGTTCAGACACCAAGTGCGGCATGAAGTACTCGGCGTTAACGCCACTTGCGCCATCCCAAAATCTGAACGCCTGGAACGGGTTAAGAAAGACCAAACATATAATCTTTTTTTATACAAAAAACCCCAAATTTCTTACCAGTTCGATCGAGAGAATGTAACTGATTTCAGACAGTCGGATGGTTCAGCCTCTTTGTCTTCCCTGACAAGAGTGACAACAAGCCAATCATTAGTACTTAAGAGTGTCCTCAAGTCTTCAATCACATTGCCATGTTACCAATTTTTTTATATTATATCAACAAACCGCGTTCCTGCAAATATGGCAGATAAAAACGCCAAAAAAAAAAAAAAATGCATGCATTATTGCACTCAGGAACAAAACGGTAGCCCATATCTTTCTTCCCTCGTTCGACAATGCAAACGGACATCTCTGTGAAGACGATTGTTGAGATCCAGGAATTTGCTAGCCTGTTAACGTGACTTCAAACTTTTCCTCTCTGTTGTTGGCGACTAGTTTTCTATTTCTCTCCGACTGGTTAGAAAAAGATGCACGGTAAAATTTTAACCTATCAGAGCGCAGTATATGTTGCAATCGTCAGTAGATAAACTTAAGAGGCCGTCCGGCAGTCGAGGCTACTCAGTAAAGCATTATCTTAAATTTTACGCTGTACAAACAATGCGTGCCTAATACAAGTAAAACGGATAAATGTTTTGTATACTTACTAGAATACATTTTAGGGACTGTGCAATAATTATCAGGAAGGGGGTCCTAAAATGAGCTTCACCAAAGGAAAAATTAGATAGGTCCCCCCTCCAGCAGCGTCAAGATTAGCTCTGACCCCCCCTCACGTTCTCTCAAAATTATGACGTGCCCCCTCTCTCTAACCCGTACCTTTATTCACTGTACTGCAACGCATTCCACTGCGTCGTCAGGGATGAAGAGCACCTCGAAACTTTGTTCTTCATAATCGTCAATTTCCGAATCGTCTGATTGTTCATTATCTTCTTGGTCTTCGGAACTGCTAGATTGCTGCTCATCCGGGTTTTCTTTACCGTGAGCTTCCCCAGCACCTAGAACACGAGCTACGAGTGCTGCTTTCCCTCCGCTGACGGGTAAACCGTGTTCCTTTAGGTAGAGTTTCAGTTTACTTGCAGACAGCGAGTTGACTTCAACCTCGTCGGCCCAATTAATGTCTGGAAGTTTGTTCCTTTCCGTTGCCCGTTTTTTTGCTTTCATTGCAAGGAATTTTTGGTGCTCTATGAAGTGATGACAACTATGAAACAGAAGCATGTGGCATTCCTCAGCTAGAAACTGTAGACCTAGAAACCCTCTCGCTGTTTAAATCAAGAACAGACCTGGCATGTCTGCGGGACCTCTTAAATGCCAAATGTTTTATTGGCAAAGCTCACAACGTGGTTTGTGACTTCTGTGCATTGACGATTGTTTCAATCTATCATATGTTGACATTCTAAATAAGTTAAAGCATGTGTTTATGTTGATGCAATATTTAGACATTATGGATAGTCAAAGGAGTGGCATCTGTCTATTTGGAAAATGTTTATTTATTCATTATCGAATTTGTGAAATTTAATTAAGACCCCCCTCAACTTACTTGAGAAATCTAATGTAGAGCCCCCCCTCCTTTCCATTATTTTAACTTAAGGCCCCCCCCCCCTCTGGTTTTAGGGCCCCCCTCCTGATAATTATTGCACAGTCCCTTAGACAAAAATCGTGTTCTATCTAGAAAAATAATACAATTATAATTTTTGCCTGTGCATTGATTTCTCCTCCAATGACACAAGAGAAAAGGAAAATGAAACCTAGACGAAAAAGACAGGCATTTTTCATGCATAAAAGCAAATTGACATAATTCTTTATAATGTGTAACTACATTAACTAAGTGAATGTACCTATCTGATGTATTTGACTGTAATTTTGTCTTAATTTCTTCCGTATCCCCTGCATATGAAGCCAGTCCTTCCTGAAAATCATCAAACAAAGAGTCTCCGTAATCAAAAGTCGGTGCTCCAAAATTATCCAAGTCTCGTTCCGCCAAATACATAAGGTCGGACAGCATGCGACCAGCTATCATGTTTTCGTTATCATTTTGTGGTTGAACATTCTTTTCTTTGTTCATTTTGTCTATCTCATTTGACATTTTCTTCTCCTGTTTGTGGAAGCCGTTTTTGGCTTTCGGAGGAAAAAAGTCTTTAGAGAACAGCTCTTTATCGCTGATGTCCTCACCACCATAAAGCCGTTTCAACCAGCTGAGTGCAAAGCCGTAATCTCTATTCTCATGTAATGATATAGTTTGTATCCATTTAACTGATGCTTGTAGGATGGTATCTTTGTTTTTGCATAACAGTTGGTGACATTTAGGACTTCTTGAAGCCACAACAAATCCATGTGCTGCGATTGGCTGTCCTTTAACCTAAAGGAGTAATGCTGTGGTTGTTATTGTGTATTTTACCTTTATTTTTTCTCTCCTTTTCTTGCCAAGTATTACGGAAGTAACTCAACCAAACGCCAGCCACGTACTCAGTCGGTCTATGGCTAGCTAGGATGTGACGTCACCCATCAATCTGGTCGCGTAGAGAATTGGCTACCGCAGTGGGTTCCAAGCCTGTCCCGCTTAATCACATGACGCGAATTGGCCTGGAAACTAGGCTGCTGACTCATTGCAATACAAATAAGTCCACTTATACGAAGAAATATAAAACACGTCAACAACAACACAAGGTTTAACTCTACAAGTCCGTTTAAGAGGGTGTCGTGTCCTTTAAGGAAGACTCCATTTATTTCTTTTCACCTACCGGACATGTACACCGTATATTAGAGAGATTTAGCAACAGAACGGGAACATAAGTTGAGAACGGGAAAACGTGCGGAAAATGCTGAACTCGACTTCCGGTGCCCAATTTGCCGCCCTACCATTGGTCAAGCCCATTTTTTTTATTTGCGCGTCCTGTCGTCACTGCCGTCGTGTTGTCTTTTCTAAATCTGCCAAAACTAGCCCATAATAATAGTTCTCCAGAGTATATCCTAAACAAAAGTTAAAAAGTACAAGTTTATTCAATCATAAAATGACGTTATGTGAAAGTAGATGCATGTGTGACAAACTTACTAAAAACTCAACATCATGGATGTCATCTTCACTAGTTGCTTCTTCTAACAGCTGCATCAAGTTTTTCCAAACTTGCGTTTTGCTCACTTGGGGTACGTTTTTCAGACTATAAATAAAACACATTTCATTTCAGCAAATGCGAATGGATCATGCGTCAATTTCAGCCATTAATATACATGGCGCTCTACAGTAACCGTCTCTTAATACTCTACTTTCTTTTTGCCACACTCTGTAAATTGCTCACTGTATGTCAAAGAGCAGATCTGAGTGTCAATACAATATAATTTCTTTAGCAGACTAGAACGTCAAGCTAAGCATGAGGTAGTTTTAATCTTGTGCGAACGCTAAGCATGTGCGACATACAAGTTTCCCTCCAAGATCACCAAGTAAGAGAAGTGGAAGTGAATCATACATTGTGAAGAATCGCTACTTTTAAAACTAACAATGAACTGAAAACATACCCCTCCCTGGCAGAAATCTGAAGCACAGCAAAACCTTTAGATTTGCTGTCTGTAAAGACGCATAGTCCACGATGAATGAACGGAATCCTTTCAAGACAATACCACAAAGCTTCCTTCTTGCAATTCTCTTTGACAAGTAAACGTAGGAGACTGCTGTCAGAAAATGACTTTGTAAGCGTTGTACATGTATCTTTGTCGTCTGAAAGGTTACTGAGTGGCGTGGTATTGGGAGGTGATTGTGCCAGTGCAGTGTCTGACGAGGTTGAGGAGACAGATGGTTTTCTCCGGGAAACAACTTTCATTGGACTGAAACTCTTTTCACCAGGCTGGCAAACGAAAGCTTCACCATCGTCTGAGAAGAAGAGGATAGATAAAGGGCAACATAAGCGATTCCGGCATGCTATTCGCTGGAACAGAAACAAATCCCTGACCATTCCCTACGTTATGTTATATTTTATTTGAATTATTTGTCTCTAAGCATTTGAGTGGAGAGCCGGTAAACTAGCTGCATAAGCTAAGTGCACTTTCCACTATAAACAAGCCTTTAAACCTCTTTTTTTACGTTTGATGTTTGGCCTAGGCCTGATTGACCATCACATAACCACGTGACCACATTGTCAAGGACGTGACGTGACCGCAACGTCATAGTAGACAGCAAAGTATGGTCTGAAAGATGTTCTCGTTATTTTTCACTGAAAAATAATATTCGGATTGTACGGGGAGAGCACTTAGATTAGACGGTTGCTGCCACCTGTAATCACTTCAGTAGTAAATCTACTGGAGACTCAACACAAGAGAAAATAATAAACAAGCCTATAGAAAATCTCTTTCAACTTACTAGACACAATAAGAAGTTGTCTTCCAACAGCAAAATCTCGTACTAAGGAAAATAACCAAACTGAGTTAATAAAGGAGCTTGAAACACGTACACCAACTACCGAACCAACAATCCTTACGAGTGCAGACGTGTATTAAAAGTCTATCTGCTAACATGATGTTTAAGAATTTTTTGCAATTAGAAATCACATTAAAAAGGAAAGGAATATAAGCAAAGCATTAACAGCATACTAAAGTTCTAAAAAACCTGTTATTGGTCTGTTGTGATACCAACAGCATTCTCTCAGTGAGCCAAACATCGGTTTCCACTGGGACAACTGAGGAGACAAATTTATTTTACTGCTGTAAATTAATAAGCAGATTTATAAGGACACTGATAGCGTCATAAATTTTCTTAACATCAGCAAGTTGCAATACTGAAGAATGAAAACGATATCAAAGGATCAAAGATTGCTAAAAAGAAGAGTCACTTAAAAGGATCAGAAAGTGGCTGCTGCGTTCTGAAAAAAGAGTGTAAATGAGCAGAAAAAAGATGGGTCCTCAATGTTAGATGAGCCAACATTAATAGATTGTTAAGCTATACAACTTCTGTATATACATGTAGAAAGCGTCAATAACAGCAATAACTGAAAACCGCACCTTGTGCCAGCGATGGCATGAAGTGCCAACATAAAGAGTCAAAAAGTAACTTCGAGTGTTTAAAGATTAAAACAGCCACAATGAGGGTGATAAGAGATCGTGCATTACAGGACTGCAAAAAAAGACGAAGCTCCACGTAATAGTAAAAAGAAAGGTATAACTTGTGAACCGACTCTCCGTTTGGAGGAAGTCAGCTAAAATTAGCTTTCCCCGTCTCTACTTAGTAATCGCTTGACAGTCTTGACTTGCATCAACGCCAAGGATCCTGGTCCCACGCGAGAAACTGGCAACATGTTTTGCAATGACAGGAAGAGCGGAATTAAACATATTTGTTTTGCAATGATAGGAAGAGCCACAACAAGATCAGAAGATCAAGGACATAATTGTACTGTGTATGATATGCATTGTGGTAGCACAGACAAGAAAGAACCGACAACAGAGGACTGAGGAAACAACAACGTCACTCTAATGGACAGTATAGGTTAAAAAAAAAAAGAAGAGTCATGACATAAACACACGCATGAAATCAATAAACCTCATGTGTTAAAAGAATGACTTACCGTTCCCCTAGAGTTGAGCACAGTTACAGTAATCTCATCAGCAAACTCTTGCCTGGCCTTCTGTGGGGAAACCACGTCCAACTTTCCACCAGTGACTGCTAAGGTAGTCAAATCAGTAAACCTATTTACAGAAAGTTGAGTTGAATTTTGTCAGTTAGAACTAGTATTAAAGAGATCTATAAATTACATGCAATATAGCACAAAAAATGGTATTTTTACCACATCATGAAATTTTTACAATGACAGTTTTTTTCAAAACCAATTTACAGCTGTCCTGGCCAAACGGGGAAGTCCAAAAGCAATGACAGGAACAAATATGTGAAGCTTTTTTACGGGTATATGGAGAGAGAGCAAATAATCCTGAAGTTACGCATCAGAATGGCAGAAGAGAGTAGACGACAAAACCTCGTGTGAAAGCGTAACAAAATTGTTGAATATTTGAAAAGAAATTCCACTAAACTTTAACTTCCTTTAAACAGACTTTTTAGCAAAAGTCCAGAACACAGCAATGTTAAGTGACGACTGCAAACAAAAACAAAAAAAAGGCACAAAAGCAATAGCCCAGTGAAATTTGCCGAACACAAACGTTTTGCCATCCTCTTCTTTCTGCCACCCTGTTGCTGAAGCTCAGTAATGATTACCATACCTTGATATGATCCTCCGGCAAATATACTGGTTCAGTAAATAGATGTCTCCTTTGTTTGTGGCACAGACTGTGGCTGCATCACTGCAGGTCACTTTACTAATAATAACAGTCTTGCCCGCTAGACTGCTAACCTGTAATTTAAGCAGACAAAGTGCACATGGGAATAACAAACATAAAGTCACTTAACTAGTAGCTTTACTCTTTATAGCCTGTGAAAAGAAATGTTTAATTACCTGACGTGGTATCATTTGGTACGTTTCTCCTTTTGGATGACCTGTGACAGAAACAACCATAGATTCATTTTAAAACACCATAACCTGAGAAATGTCTTGAAGAGTAAGGAGCCATGGATTCCGCCAAGTCAATTGAGGCATAGGGTGTTCCTAGTTAATATAAAAAAAGGAAAAAGAACAAAAACAACAACAAGAAAATGGGAAAAACACTGGCACCAAAATGGAACATTATTTTTCTTCTGATCTCAGCCATATATTTACAAACTAACCCCTCCTTGCCAAAACCTGTGAAAACCCGTGAAAAATAAATTATACAGTGGTGTTTCAAATGCTATTCCATGGTAAAACACAAAATTATACAGTGGTGTTTCATTTATCTATTTAGGTATGCTCCATTACAATGCTATGCATTCTTAAAAAAAAAATAACAAAAATTCTTAATGGTCCAAAACGTTGCAGTCATTGAACCACTTTATTGATCTGTTGTCTACTTTTGAACTGTCAATCGTTATTGAACTAACAAAACAGAAAAATGGAACATTATTTTTCCATAAGACTAGGTCTCCATATTAAGAAATAAATTATACAGTGGTGTTTCAAGGGTATGCTCCATTCCATGGTAAAACACAAAAATCTTGATGGTCCAAAACTTTGCAGAGATTGGCCACAACTTTAGAACTGTCTATTATTACCCCAGAATATGATCGATCAACCGCACCCTAAAGCTACAGCTGAACAGACGGTACAGGTAATGCAAGGTAATAGTGGACAATCCTTACCAAGTTGCCCCGCATTTAAACCACAGCTGTACACCTCATTTCGAGTGAAAAATACTGAATGATAACGACCTGCTGCAGCCCCAATGAACTCTTTGCCCTTCCACATCTTCATTTGCAACTGCAGGTGAATAATACATGTATTAGGGGTTTTACGATCCAACGACGCAACAGCAACCAAAACGTCGCTTAAACAGTGAATTTACGTTCTTTCAGTCTTTATCGCAATTATTCCTACCCACTTACTATGTCAAATGTAGGCGAACCAAACTGGAGTTGAATTCCTAAGGAGCATATCCAAGTTCGGAAAGAGAAATAAAATTTCATCGTTTTTTGTTTACTAACTCCATAAAAGCGGTTCATGTCGTAGTCGTGCAAAAACAGGCAAAGAAATGTAAAAAAAGCATGATGCATGCACAGAGTTGTTGTTTTGCTTATAAAACCCATTGTTTTTTGACGTTCTCGTTGCTGTCCGCGTCATTGGATCTTAGAAGTCTCTATTGTCAGATTGGCCATTTTCACACTAGAGACGGATTATCCATCTGAGACAGACAATCCATTATCAAAATCCGTCAAAATTGACGGAAAAAGAGATGGATAAATTGAGTTGTCCATCCAAAATTCAGACCGTTCTATTTTCAAATTAAGACGTATTATCTGTCTGACGAGAATTACCCCACTGATAACCCGTCTCAGAAGGATAATCCATCTCTAGCGTGAATAGGGCCTTTCACTCACATCATGGTCTATTTCCCATTGCTTTTTATTTCTACTGCAATCAATTTTTTTTTCTTTTCTTACACCACAGAATGAAAAACCTTGGTAAAAATTATCTTATGAGACAGAAAAAAGGAGAATTACCCCCGAAATGATAAATTATGTGATTAGTTACCATCCTGGGACAAAGACACTGCTTTGGAGGAGGTACATGTCCAAGTTGATGAGAATCATTGAGACCAAATGTGTACACTGAGCCACTAAAGACAAAAATAATATATAAATCAAAACAATTATATGTTATATAACTTTTTAACCAACTGGAGAGAAAAGTTTTGGCATTTTTTGAGTGTCTTGTGCTGTCGTGTTGCTCACTTTTTGGAGCTATGTGTTACTAAGTTGGTCAGCTGAAAGCAAGCTCCTGCACTTCTGCCCTTTACACCGAATTGCAAAGCTGAAGTGTGGACAGCTAATTCATTATTGCAGTTGTTCTGGATAATAGATAGAAACAGAGAAACAAATTGCCATCGGCTATTAATGGACTTTCTGACTTTGCTTATTCAACATTCAGAGAGTTCACAGCCCCCAACTTTTTCTTTAAGATTGTTGACATCTAGCACTATCTGCACAAGCCACCATCTTGGTCTCAAATGTACCCAAAATAACCTGGCCCAAGTTGTTAAGAGGTGGATAGTGCTATCTGCTGGGCCCCGACTGTTCAAAAGGAGTATAGCGCAATTAGTTTTCCTAATACTTATCCACTGGATAGTGATTTATATGGTAGATGGTGCTATACAATGTTTGAACATCCGGAACCAGATAAATCTCTATCCAGTGGATAACACTACCTTATTGATTTCCCTAAAACTATTTATCAGCTGGATAGTGATTGGTCTGGTGGATGGCACTACCCAACCCTCCAAGTTAAAGTCTTTGCTTGGTCACCATTTGGCAACCAACCCTTTTGGTTTAGGGAGACTTTTTTACAAATCAATTCGCCAGCTCTAAAATTTGAGGCGCCATGGCGACCAAGATGGTCGCAACTTGGAGGGTTGCTATCCAATGTTTTGACATCCAGGGCCAGTGGAAGAGTGTCAAATCTACCTAGAGGGCAGGAGGGAGGTAAGTAGGGAGGTCTTCATGTCTCTGTCCTCCACTAGGTACACAAGGGGCACAGGGTCCAAAATTAAATTTCTGATACAGGCATCATCTGGCAACTTAATAAAAATTTTTGCTCACCAGATGGCATAAAGTGGTCGCCAGAAATTTTTTCCTTTTCTTTGACTTTAATGACATGACACAGAAAGAATGTTTTGGACATTTTATGCTCATGCAAAAACAAACCTAGTCCAGTGATGGCATAATCTCATATTTTCAGGTTTCGCTTGAAGATGATTGCTTTTCGAAGAGAAAAGGAATTATTTGTTCTGGAATTTCTACTATAAACTAAGGTAAATATAACCAGCTGTTTGTTTCCTCTATTTGTTCTTCATTTCAAAACTTTCTTTTCTTCCACAACAAAACATAAACACGAGTCCCCATTCTGTCGATTTAAAATGGAAGCTGCCATGTTATTACAGTTCTTCTTTCACCTCTAAAAGCCAAACTAAATCTACCCCTTATCTTTAGCTGCTTCTTTGACACCTTTCTGAAGGAAACTTTGCATAGTTTGCAAAGCACGGGGAAAAGCGATGTAAAGAAATATTCATGTCAAGAATAAAGGGAGTGTGTATACATGAAAAAGGTGCCCAAGCTTATATCAGTCAGAGGTAACCACTGTAAACATTGTGGCAGCCACAAAAACAGCCATTCAACTGTTCTGAACACAAGACATTTTAAAACACCCAAACACATAACTGTTGCGTGATGTTGGCAGGATAAAACATAAGTCTGGTTTGACTAATGTCAGTCTTTACTTGTTTGTGCAGTGCATGTGACACTCTAGCTAAACAGTAAATGTACCTCCTTCCTTCTCATTACACACATCTTTATTTACCATCACTTACTCATCTGTAACCAACACTGTATGATCCTGCCCAGCAGCAAGTGACAAACACTTAACATCTTTTAAGGCTGTAACCTCCTGTGGCTCCTGTAACAAGAGCAAGGTCAACAAATAAATTTACATTCTTCTGCCATGTTGTGTGGCTCTTTCACACAGTGTAAATCCTGGTATTTTGAATGCATTAATGTGAACATAAAACTGTTTGAAAAGTAACATCTGCTAAGTATAATATAATTATTCAGCTTAATTACAGCCCAATCTGTGAGTTCAATACAGTGAAGTTCGTTGGTACCAGGACCCATCAGTAGGAACACAGTACAGTGGAGAGGCTACACCTGCTTTGGCATGGCTAGCTTTAAGTTATGCCACAAGTAGAAACTTTAATATTCTATTTAGGTAAGTGTTGACAAAATTATTATGTTTTCTCTCTAGAAAATTATAAAGGTACAGTACATAATTACAGTGTATAGTAGATGATTGAAAAAAAAAAAACATTCAGCAAGGCCTTATCTTGCAAACTGATTATTCTTTGACACCTGGTATCAATGTAAACTCACTGGCTAATGTTCCAGGTTGGTAAAAATAAGGTGCATACTGTAATTTTAAAAAAAAAAAACATTATTTTTCAGATATCAACACATGTAGCTGTTATAAAAGTTACAGAGTTGACTCTTAATCGTGTGTACAATCCAGTTCAAAATTACCAGAAGAGTCTTTTCATTGCCATGTCCCAGTCGTCCTCCTCTGCCATGACCACAGGTGAAAACTCTCCCATCAACACTCAAGAAGACAGAATGAAACTTGCACATTACAACCTGACAAAATTACAACAAGCAAAACATCCAATAAGCAAACAAAAAGATAGCAACTAATTTTAGCATAAACATAAATAAAAATAAATCCAAACTTATATGTCCTGAAATTTTCTGTTTATACTGGCAATAAAATTGTACCTCCTTGATGCAAAGTTTTACATCTTCAGTTAGACATTCAAGGATTTCAGGTGTGTATCTTGTGCTTTCATCTTTGTGACCAAGAGTGAAGTTAGTGTTTGATCCCCAAGTGAACAGCTCCAATTGATGGTCTGTTGGAATGGATATTGTTAAGCACTTGTTGGTATGAGCGAACAAGAAAATGAAGGAAATAATGCATGTAATTTCATTTATTCTACAATCCTAGACAAAACTACTTGAGAAAATGTCCACTACCTAACGCAACAAAACTATTTCCAGATCAACGGCTTTGCATAAAGAAAACCCCCTCCCCCAGTTCAAAGTTGCTTCCTACAAATGCTTCTAAAGGGATCCAGCTTTCTTTTGAAGACCGAACAACACTGCTTCCAGGGGGAGGGGGAGGGGGGAGGGGGAAGGTAAGAATCAGTCGGCTATGAAGTTTAGAAAAAATGCCCCCCAAGTATGCAATTTTCTCAACAGTTTTGTCCAAGATTGTAGCTTACTCATGCATGCACAAAAAAAACAAAACAAGTACAGTTGGTTTGAAGCAAACATGTGACTTGCACCACAGGCAGCCCAAGCTCACTGTGTGAGTTTAATCATTAACACATGTAGTTTCATATTGCGTAATTTAAAATGGCCGTGAATATAAAGTATTTGTATGGGAATTCAGGTAAAAGATTCAAATCGATAAATACTTGTTAGAATGTTCAATAAAATACAGCTTACCGTATTTACTTTGCTTGTTTTTGTTTGCTGCGTGGTTTTCTGAAGGAAATCGCTTAAATCGCAATGGATCGGAAAAATAAACACACAGCAAACAAAAACAAGCAAAGTAAATACGGTAAGCTGTATTTTATTGAACATTCTATAGCGAGTATTTATATCAATTTGAACCTTTTACCTGAATTCCAATACAAATTCTTTACATTCACAGCCATTTTAAATTATGCAATATGAAACTACATGTGTTAATGATTAAACTCACACACTGAGCTTGGGCTGCCTGTGCTTGCATAGTAATACTGGAATAAGACACAAATACCTTTTAGAATAAGCTTAACACAATCTTTCGGAAAATGTCCTCTCTTGCCTCTCATAACACCAGTCCAGTACTTGTCCCCTGTCATATGAACATCCCTTATCACATCACCAACCTCTAACTTGAGTTCATCTTCCAAAGAAGTTTTGTATGATGAAACAACTTTAGCATGCACTATAAATTACATGTAAGAAAAAAAAAACAGAATGAAAATGATGCTTCAGATTTTAGAAAGTTAAATAAGTGACACTGAAAGAACAATAACAGTTGCATATGTTTGAAATACTGAGAAGAGAGCTTACATTGTATTAAGGAGATTAATAGTCCCCAGGACATGACTCGTGTATTTTATTAACAACCTACAGCTAACCTGCTGCAAACATAAAACTTTCTATACTTTGGACAGTTCCTTTTGTGCCAAATAAGGCACCAAAATTCATAACAATAATCCCTTTATAATATACTGCAGACACCTCTGTAATGTAAACACTTAACTGGTTCTCTCCCTTTAGTGACTGTATAAAAGAAAGTTTGACTGTAACTGACACTGTAACATTTATTGCCTTATTGAAAAGGCTACACTGTAAGTTAAACTTGAGACAGCGCTGGCCAGCTGTCTCTCTCATCAGTGATATGCAGGGCCATCAGTGTCCTCCTAAATTTTAGCTCAGCAGGTAAAGGGAGCATTCGGGGCCGGTAACGCAAAAAACATGGACGAGAGCTGCCCTTTCCTGGGCCATTGTAAGAAAGCCAAGAAAAACTGTGTATATGTTGTAGTTAATTTTTTATCTCAGTTTAATAATTTTTATTTTCTTATTGTTTTTGGGTATGGTAATGAATGCGAATGAATTTGAAACAAAGGAAATATAAAAATTAACTGAAATAAAAAATTAACTGCAACATATACTTTAGTACTTTTCAATTATTCGTTCATTTCCTTGATTGGATCAGATCACAACTTGCGTATTCTTTTTTAAACTGTACTTATATAATTTTAATAAACCTTCAAGCAGTTACAGGCGGTAAGAAGACTGTTGCTTCAGGTGGTACATTTTACCAGTTACCGCCTGATAAGGAGAACACTGGGCTGCTCGCGGGTATTTTAACAGCTATATTCTCTCGAGGCCAAGCCACTACGTTTGTGTTTGGTTCCTGATTGTGGCTATTGTTGTGGCAAGTGTTTTTCTGCTCCACACCCTTCCCTCCCCATGGTAAGTATACATGTTAATTATGTATATGTTACAGGTTCCACTGGTTAGCAGAGTGACGGCACCTGGGTGGATGCCACTCAAGGCTGTCAAGGTTATGCAATGCACTCCACTTTAGTCGGTAGCTCCATCAGCCTCTCAGGCACCTCCCCCCATGCTCATCTCTGTGAATGGGTTTATTTGTATAATACAGGGCTTGACAAAAGTCCTGTCATGTCTGGTAGTATTTGTTGCCAACAGGCAACTAGCTTTAAAGTTTTGAATTTTCCTTGCACAATGGGCAAGGGTCCCAGTAAGCTAGTCATGATCACCCTCCAACTAAATCATTAACTAAGACAAGTATAAGTAGTTGCCCTGGGCAAGAAAAAAATTAATGTGAGAGCTCAATTTACCCAAAGGAGAAGCTGGAATTCAAGCTTTTCTTAAGACCTGCAGTAATAACACTACACTCACCTCCTGATTGAATTTGGAATGGTGAGTCCAGTTGAACCAGATCCAATGGACAGAGACCTTCCTTGTCAAGGCAACTAGGATCTGAGCCAAGCTTCACAGAAATAACATTTAAAAAACTGGGTAAAATTTCCATACAACTCATGCATTCTATTCTATTTTGAGGTGGTGAGAGGCATTATAGTGTGCTATGAGATTAAGTGTTTTTAAATACAAAATTGAATGCGACTAATCATCAAAGGTACTTCAGTGTAATGAAAACAACCTTGGACTGTGATCACATTATCAGTACCAAATCGATTTCTGTAACGGCACAAACTAATTGAGCCGGCACAGTAGTACGAACCTCATCAGCAGACCAGACGTGCGTCCGTTGGTTCATTTGTTTATTTTTGTTTATTGGTGAATGCAAGCCCTCATTTATGCACATTTTATAAGTGCAAATAATGATGCTTAATTGCAATTTCCAGACCCACCTGAGTTAGTTTTACTGCACACTCAAGATAACCGTAGAACAAACTGCGATGCAATGGAGTCCAACCCGATTCCAGATCTTTAGAATCCAAATCAGCTCCTTCTTCTTTCACAAGCCACTCCAAAATGTCGCGTTTGCCACATGAAGCCGCCAAGTGCAGAACATTACGACCACACTGATCTTTAACTCGAGCAAAATTCGAGCAAAATCGGGGTAAGATCGCACGAACTTTAGCTTCATCGTGTGGTGTGATGTTTATGAGAGCAGAAAAGTTGAAATCGGCGTGTTTAGCCAGGCGACACTTGGGTGAGCAGTCCATGATAGATGGTGTGATGGTGAGACATCGTAACTACAGGGAAAACATGGTCGCTTTTACGTAAAGCCCCAAGATCGTGGGGAAATGCGAAGCAACAGTTTCAAGTTATTCACGCGATCCAACTGACGCCATTTTGAAATCTACACGTATGTTTATGTAACCGCTTTGTTTGCGGGCTCGTTCCACTAAAACACTTCGTGTGATTGGTTCCTCCCAAAGGGCAGTCCGCGTTTGGACCAATCATAGCGTTTGTTAGTTCACTGGCCGCTCTTGGAGACTCAGTCGTTCCCATAAACAAGTTGAAAGTAACATGAACAGTTAGCTGTTCATTGCAATTTACATGTATTATTTCAATGAACTCGACTTAAATCAATGGATATCTATACAGTTTCGCCAGAGGTTTGTGCTGTGGCGCGTCTTCACAACTTACAGCAGGGAAAGTGTGGTGTCTTCATGTCTATATGAGCAGGAACCATACATCAGTTTGAGATTTTTGTGTTGCATGATCATTAACTATGGCAGATCGTAAAGTGCAAACGCTAAGCAGGAGCCCCACCAGGTTAGTAGAAACTAGATACCAAGATACCCATTTGTTCTGTAGATTTTGGCGAAAAAGAAAACTGCAGACTAAGCAATCATCAACAATCATGTGTGCAACAGCTACGGTAATTCAAGATTCCTTCCACATACATTATATTCGAATAGTCTGGGACGAATCAAGCCGAAATATCCCAGCTGGAATGCTTATTTTACTTCTGTAAAGACAGGGTCTCCTGCCGTTGATTCTCTTCAAAGTCATTTTCTTTCTCTCTTTCTTTCTAATATTGTTTGACCCCAAAAGTAAAGCATCTACATCTGTACACTGAATTGGAAATTACAATGAGTTGGTACAGCTTGCCTTCTAATTTTGGCAATGGCTCTCTAGTACAGAATGTAACATTTGAACAACCTAAGTCAATTTTTTTTTTCTGTGAACTTTCTAGGAAGTTTATGCAGTCTACCTTTCCCTCTACAATGGCAGATAGCATGTCAGGTGACGAGTTATCCTTGCATCTAGGGAGACAAGTGGCACTTCAGAATGAGAAATACAAAGAACCAGAGCCTGCAGTGGAGGAAGTATATAATAACTACGATTGATTTTCGGACAAGGGGGGTGACAGCTCATACAAAGGCTGTTTTGGGAGAAAAACAAGTTTATTCCAGGAATCTTAAGATTTTGCCTGGAATCGGGAAACCTGGGAAATTTTCCGAGAAGGCTGATGAGATATTTTGGGGACATTGAGCTAAGATGTATTTTGATCCATTAAGTTAAGATTTGATGTTATGTGTTTGGAAAATAAAAAATTTTACATACCACTTATTTCTAGTGTCAAAATGGTGTCGGCTCTACTCTGTGCTCAAGAAACCACAACACTCAGCACTCATGATTTAGAAAAAGGGATTTTCCAGTAAATCTAGAAAATTTTCTTACTTGTGGCCAGTTACTTCTTGTAAGACCCTTCCCAACTGCCGGGCATATACCCTCAGTGTGAAAAAAAAAAAATTACATTCTTGTAGTAAAAGATAGGTCATTCTGTCTGTTTTAACATGATACTGTCAAAAACCCTTGATTACAGACTATACAAATACAACTCCTCTAAAGGGAAAAATAACTAAATAATCAACAAGTGTCAAATTGACTCTAAAGTAACAATTTAGGGGAGTTTTTTCATGGGCATGCCAAAAGTAAAAAATACCGAAATACCAACAAATTCAGGAGGGTCTGCCAAATCTCTGGGAGGACTTACTGTAAATTCATAGGACTACCCAAACAATGTTTGTTAGAGTTGTCAACCCCCATAAAGACAGGCCAATGAGCTTGCTACTGTTGACAAATTATAGAACATCAATTGGGACTGGTGGAGAGGTGGGTTCTCCCTGATAATTTATTTATGACAATACCTGTAGATATTTTTGTTTGTTATATGGCTACAGTAGTATGCGCACTCTGATTGGCTGATTCTTGTAATGACCGGGAATTACTAGCTAGATGTCCAAGGCATGTACAATCTATGTTATTGATAGTGGAGATCCTTATGGATGACCATGTTATGGTCAAAAGACAGCAGTCAAAAAGGGCATCCACTGACCTGTGTCACCTGCCTATATTGTAGGCTCAAGTATATAACTCATTGAGGTGACCTGTTATCCGCTGGCCAGGCCTCGGTCTGTGATTTCCCTGTAATGACCTCACTCTCGGTTAATTTAGTAGCATATTAAACTACACTGTATCTCCAAAATGATATTGCTGTAACCTTTTTGCAGGTGTCCCCGAGTTTTTTCTTTCTAATTGACTTGCTCACTTCACTGGTAAAATTTTTATGTCTGGTGATCAGAGTGCATGTAATGTTATGTGATGCATGTACTTCATTGTGTTTCCTTTTTTGGTAGAAGAAAGAAAAAACAGTGAAAAGAAAGTTCAGTAAATTCAAAAACCAGCAGTCCCATCATGGAGTGATTCTGCAGGGAACTGAGCAGATGCATGTTAAGAAAAAGGAAACTGTCACAACTGCAGATGAAGATGATGATCTGGACGAGTATGAAGAAGAAAATTTGAAGATGATAAAAGAAAAGGTAGAATGCCTTTGATTATATTGTACTATCATGAATTCTTAACTATTCTGTCACATTTTATTGACTTATTTGTGAAATCTATTAGGTGTGTTTTGTTTTGGTGAGATGGGCGAACTTACTTTAAATAATTTAATCTTACTGGAAAAAACTGAGTTTGGTATTTTGGACATTAATAATTAAAGAGGTGGGTATGCATGGAGTTTCAAACTAGAAATAAACTTAAGATAGAATAATTTATAATCATACATGTACTCATGATACACATGTAATTATGATAATGATAATTATTATCATAATGATGACAATAAAAAACTATGAGAAATTTTATAAGCTAGAATGCAATACGCTATTGTAGAATACATTATTAAGAACAGATGGTACATTATTAATAGAGCCAAAAAAAAAAGAAAGAAAGAAAGAAAGGCATGTGACAACCAGAAGACTTCTAAACTTCATAAACACTGAGTACATGCCAGGACTTTATTTGTCCATCCATTAATTATCATCAAAATTTCTCACTCAGGAACATGACGATTTGATTAAGGGGCTTCTTTTATTGCGTGAATACTACAAGACTGAATACAAGAAAGCATTGCAGGATAAAATTGAGAAGCAAAAGAAGACCTTCCAACAAAGACAGGCTTATTTGGAAGAGGAAGCTAAATTGTCACAGGAACTAGAGGTAATCAAATGCAATGTGCAGGTTATTTCAAAGAGACTGCCTCCAGTTCTATGTATTTTCCCGTTAGAAATAAATATTAAACAAAAAACAAGTGATGAAGGCAAAATTATTGCTTTGCAGCAAGAGGTGCGGCACAAAGTTTCTCATAAGCTTCCAAGATCGTTTGTACTTAATGATAGCCAATTCAAGAGTGGAATACAAACTGACCTAAACAAGGTAAGTATAAAAATTGGTTATGGTGATTGCTATAAAATGAAAAATGAATGATTTCTGTCTCTCCCATAATCTGTTGATTTGCACTCTGATAAAAGGAAAGTGCTCAAAATGCCTGTCTTACGGTTTTTTAAATTGGTGCTAAATCACACCATTCTATCGACTTGATAAAACTAAAAACATTATTTTTCTGCCTTTCCCTACCCTGTGTACTAGTCATTTTTGTTTATTTCTAGTAAAGCAGCAAGAAAGAAGCAAGGGAGATGTGCGAGGGAAAGAAAAAAGAAACAAAATGAAAGCAAAATCAAACAAAACAAAAACAAAAACAATACTAGTCTCAGCATTGCTTGACTCAGGACCAAGCAGCTGTGAAGGAGACTAAAAAAATACAAGAGGTTAAAGGCGGGGGATATGGGGCGTTGGCCAATCAACTACATGTAGAACAATATTTTGTGGGAAAAGAGAACTTTTCTTGTGGGACAAAAGCAGGAAATCCTGAGCAGGCAAGATTGAGCCATCTTTCCCACTTGCAGAACCAGCCAAATAATTAAAGATAACATTCCGGCCCTATCCAAAAGTCACCGGACAGTCCGTATTTGTTTAGTTTGTCAGACATTTTAAATACGCAAAGCACATTTACAACAATGGTGTCTTAGAAATAATTATGTGCTCTTCGTCTCTCAGATTATTGGTCTTGAAAGCAAACTAAAGAAGGAAGGATTTCTTAAGAAAAGTCATGAAGTGAAAGAGTTTTGGGACTTTATTACTGTACCTGAAAATCTGCAGAGCGTTTTAGAACAAGGTACATGAACGTGTTCTGTAGATTTTGAGTGAGCCTGCTAAAAATTGCCAAGTTATATTATTTAGAAGAATTCATTTAACCATCTCCAGCCTGCAGCATCAAACATGTTTTACCTTCTCCACCAACATTGTAGGTCGGAGGGAAGATACTCCCTATAATGGCCTATACAGGAAGGCTCCGCCCCGAAAGGGGCACATTTTTCATGCTTCAGAGATATGTATGGGAAGTAATTTAACTTGTTGAAGTATATAAAAATGTGGGGAAATCTGTCATTTCGTTGTGTTAAAAGACTCAAAAAAGCTAACAGATGCATTTAATTTTTATTGCTGAGAAAATGTCAAGAAAATGTTCTGGTTTGAAAGACATTGCATTTGCAGCGGTTGAAAGGAGTGCAAAGTTCTAAACTAGGTATTTGAAAGGGGTACCATTTGTCAATAGAAGCTATATGAAAGGGTTACCTTTCTGTCAAAATGGTATATACCGGTACATGTACAACATGTAAAAGGATAAGGGGTTGGCCCTCGGGGCAGAGCAACCATGTATAAAATCTTTTTGAACCATTGTATAAAACATATGCATTTTTGACCAACCTTGAGGTCAAATGGCAGGATATTGCCCAAGTGCAATGTAAAAAATGCGAAAAAAGAACCAGGCCAATATTCGATATCCAGCACTGAACAAGCTTGGTTAATTAAGGATTTATTTTGTCCAAAACGAAAACGTTTTCTTGCGGCCAACGCCCAATCAGAACACAGGATTTGTCCCATATTTGTCAAGTACATATGTACTTCTTTCACTTAAGCCTAGTACTTCCTTGCCTCAAGTTATCTTAAACCTTCCATATGTTTTTATTGTGCAACTTTTTGCTATCCACGTTAGGAGTCGGATTATCTCCAAATAGCTTCCTTTTAAAATGCTGGAGAACTAAATTACGGCCATTATACGGACTTTTTTGAAGTCGTGATTTAAACGATCTTGTGCTACATGTAGAGCCTAGCCTCTTGACTATTGCTCGTTCTAGAATTTGTGGAGGATATTCCAGCTCTTTCAGAAACTGTTATGAAGAATTTTAAAATAATTTTTGGTTTAGCATTTGGACTCCAAATAATGATATGAGGCTAACTTTGTTGGAGCGTAATTAAAGTATAAAAAATGAGCTGAAGTCTATCCGCGTGTTCTCCTGTGTGTGGGATAGTACATGTAAGTTTAAACAATCTGTTTGGTTGATACAGGCGAGCTTACCTGGGAGACAATTAAAAGGTACCACAAGGAACACAGTAAGGCTGTATTAGCTGGTCAAGTAGAAATAACACAACCGAAGCGCGAGGTAAAAACGAAGAGACTTCCGAAGGGAGCAGCATCGTCATGGAGGAGTGCAACACACGGCATCAGAACAATACTCACTGTAAGTATTCGTTGGCATACTGTAATAAGAATCGAGTCACGAGTTTTTAGACTTCAACTGTACCCGTAAAAGACACTTTTTTCCTATTCAAGCACGTTTGGGTCCAATGTCGTTCCGCCCAACGTTCGGAATTTATTTGACCAACTCGTGTTAGAAACCCATAGTTATTAGAAAGATTAAGAGTCACGCTTACGGCAAAAGGCTAGCCTGTATACAGACGTTGCTTTATTTTCTGTTTGATACTCGGCGAGCGCGCAAGAAAGAAAGGCGCGCTCGGTGGACTTTTAAGAGAAAATAGAGGGTCTGTGAACAGGCTAGCGAAAGGCAGACGTAAGATTCAACTTGAGAAATTCTCATAATAGAAAATGATCTCTCAGACAGATAAAAACAGCCCTAAACTATCTTCAGTATGGATAAAACAGGCGTGAATCTACCGATATCCTTGTAATTATAATAAACAGTAAAAGACAAGTAAAGGGAAAACTTGGTCACTTGGTACAAATTCACGTTTGCCGTTTTCCGCAAGAGTGACTCTCAATCTCTCCATTCACTAGTCACCGAACGTGTAGTTTTTTCGAAACTAGGACGGTAATTAAAGCTCGCACTACTCCTAAAAGCTTCTTATATGTTTTGATGTTTTCATTCATTTAGGCTGCACTCGCTTTCGCTTTTAGCTCGCCGTTTTTGTTTGTTGTTGTTTTTTTTTTTACACGTCCCTAGCCCTTCTTGAAAGGCTCCGTAGCTCGGTTTTTGGGCAAGTCTAATTACTGCATAAATAAACCTGTTTAGTCATCTTTTTTTTCTTTTTACGGACTGAGACGAAGAGTGACACTCTATCTCGTTCGTCTGATCAACACTTTTCGCAGTCACAATTGAAAGTACAGGGGTCGTCACTGCAAACTTAAGTCTGTGTATTTATTCATTTCTCATTTTCAATTTTTAAGCCTTCTATTCCCTCTGATGCTGGCCGCAAGTCAAGTTCCTTTGCATCGAGCGGTAAGAGTAGATCAAAGAAGACTCCGCCCTCGTCAGCAATTCCTATAGAACAACGATTTCCCAAAGTGAGTAGTTACCGCAGTTGGATTGTGTTAACTACTTAAGAATGGGGCTACTTTAAGGTCTATATAGGTTTTATTCTAAGAATACAGTTATTTCACATTAACGAAAAAAGAGAGTGTGGCTCGTTACTTCTTCTTTTGTTTGTTTGTTTGCTTTTTTTTTCAAGAAGCAGGCTAGTAAGTAAAATTATATCTATCGTTATCATAAACTAAATTTAATTCTGAGGGTATAAATTGGGCGGAGTCGCAAAGCAACAGGGACCAATACTGGGTACGTTTTCTCCCAACGCGATCGTTACAAGGTCCGCGTAATGTCATCTCAAAACCGAATTACTTCATTTTTATGTCGCGATTCAACCGCTTTTCCCAACAAAACAGAACACAACTTTGTTGCGGGCGCTGATAAGGAGATATGCAAGGTTTCAAAGTACGTAATTTTTACGCTTATAATGTTAGAATTTAATTGAATAAATAATGTTTTGATTCTGAATATTTGGTAATTCATAATTTTTTTAAGGTTGAGTTTCCACCGTTAGCAGCTTACAGATTGGAGTTTGGCGAGAAAGAACCAGACCCTGAAGAAGTAAGGAGTTGTTTATTATCTTTGTTTTGTCTTGGTAAGTTTGTTCAAAAAAAACACTTAGCTACTTCACTGCCCTCCGTCTCCTGCTCTGGGTCCTGTTTTAGCGTCTCACAGTTGGTAAACGCACGTACACTTTCTTATATATTTATCCACAGTTCAAAATATGATTCATTTCATGTATTTTGATTCATGTCATTTCCACAATCGGGTATATTACGAACTCACAATGGGTTGCTCTCCAGTTGGTTTGATTAGCTCAATGAATGGAGCGTTGCATCCGGTCATCGCAATGGTCTGTGTTCGATTCCCAGTCAACCGTTCAGGTTGTTGATTCTACTGCGAATATCATGTTGACTTTCCTACACAACAATGTCGGTACTAACGTTGGAACACGTTGCCTCTTAAAAGGTCAGGAAGCAGGAAGAAGCGTTTAAGAGGCTGGAAGCAAGGAATGGTCTAAAAAGAACTCTCAACACGATGTTCTCGCACGCGTTGGCTAACAAGGCTGCCACTCACCGGTAAGACCATGACTTGTTCTTAGGTTACAGTACCGCTCAAAAGTAAGTTAAAAGTCACTCGCGTCTCGATGCTTGAGACTCGATTCTCGACTCTCGAAACTCTCGCGTCTCGAGAGTCGAGTCTCGAGTAAGTTCACACCCTGATTATACTTTGCGCTGGCACGATAGGGCTTCTGTTCTGACGGTTCTTTTGGCGCGATTTCTTTAAAGGTGCAAAGCTACGCCGCGCCGATCTCTAAAGTGAAGAGTCACATAAAAACCTATCCGGTATGAGAACACACCTATCCGATATTCACCAGATCAAATCTAATTAAAGATTTATAGGGTTTTACATTTGCCGTACATTTCTCTGCGCACTGATCTAAAAAAGCCACCGATAAGTACAGTTATATTGCTGTCATGCCGAAAAAATTCTTTTGAATTATTCTTTCTTTCGTCAAAATGAATTCCAAAGAATGTGAGATCTTAAACCTTATCTTGAATTCTCCCACGACGAAGCTGGAGTTCTGTGTAGCTCAACTTACCCTGGTCCATTTAAATATTGAAAACGGGGACAGTTTTTTTTCTTTTTCTTTTTGTTTTACTTTTCTTTTTCAAAAAAGAAAAGAAAAGAGAGAAAAGCTCAGCCTATTTCTATTAGCCCATGTGCGCAGCCGTATTTGTCTCGTCAAAAGGAGTGGGAAGGGGCTGTGTGGGAGACTCAGCCTGTTCCAAGTGTTTATCTACTGAGGAACAGCGCGTTATGTAAAGCCTTTTCTTCCTGCGCCGTTTTTACTTAATAAACCAAGCTACGCATGTCCTTCCATGCCGTTACCTACAATCTGAACGCCTGGAACAGGGTATTCACTCCTCTATTATCGACTCAAATAGAAATTTCTAATTTCTCACAATTGTGTGTATTTTGATTCGTGCAGGCTCATGGAGAAAAATGAAGACTATAATTTCGAAAGCCTCTCTGGAATAGCCAATTTTGAAGAGGTAATTCAAACTAAACTAACTGAGTGATTGATGTTATATATTCGCAACAAACGACAGCTAGCTCGCAAAAACAGCTGACTCTTCTCGCTCCTCGCCGTGGCGAAACGTCCCTATAGCGGCGAGGAGCAAAGACAGACGGCTTTTTTCGCAAATTAAACGACAACCGTTGTTAATGCCATACAATTTGCACCACGTGCACAGTTAGGCCCGTTTCAAACGTCGTGCCTACTGCCGTGCCGAACTCAATCGATCGAGTTAAATTCGACTTTAGCCGGGCAACCCTTTTCCGTGCTACACGGCAGTAGCTCGACTTGGTTTCAAACGTCGTGCTACCGCCGCGCCGAACTCAATTCATGAATTATAAATACATTAGAATATATTTAAAAGTTTGCTAAACCGTTTCTTTATTTTTGTGTTTTGTTTTTGGCAACAGCCGTTCCATTCGACTGTCATTGTGTGAATTAAATTCGACGTCTGAAACCAAGCCGTGCTAATGTCGTGCTGCAGTCGAGCTACAGTCGAGCCAGCTTAGCACGGCAGTAGCACGACGTTTGAAACAGGCCTTAGTAAAAGCTAGTGGAGGAAGGGAAAGACCAGTAGAATTAAATAAACAAAACAAAACAAAAGAAAAATGAAAAAACGTCGTATTTTGAACTCCTCGTTTGGTGATAATGCTAATGTTTTCATGCTTGGACGTTTTTCTTCGCTGGTGAGTGCTCAGTTCCTTTTAGTCAGATAGGCTCGTGTTTTAGTGTATTGTTCTTCATGGTCTGTTACTGATTTCAACATATTCGTCTTCATATTTGCTGTGTCTTGTTTTGTTGTGGTAGATTCACGAACTAGCCAGTGTGAAACTTAAACCAAGCGCGGGAAGCGCCAGCAAGAAACCACAATCAAGAAAGTCAAGTGGCAAAAGTACAGGTAAATTTTGTACCGGATTTTCCAGTCTGACTAGGTTACGGCTATTTCGAGGAAGGTTGTCGGAAAAAATGTGCACGCGACAATCCCGAAAGGTAATATGGGATATGCGCAATACAATGTTCCTGACACTGTAGCTGTCGAACCTACTTTTTTTGCTTTCCTTTAGCACTCAAAGACTTACGTCCATGGCCTCTCCTGCCATTCTTTCAAATTTCTTTAAAAAAAAAACGGTGAACTCAAAACCACCCACAAGACCTTTCGGGGTTGTCGCGTGCACTTTATCCGACAACATTTCTCAAAATAGCTGTATGCAGGCGTATTGCCTCCACAGATTCCCTTTATGAACTGAGTATTTGACAATTGGATCCGTCAGTTGTTGCCATAGCCTGGGAAAGCAGCTAACATTTTGCGACCCCACCATTGGTTTCCCCGCGAAAAGAGCAAATTTCCCACGCGGCAGGACCAATCAGAAGCGTTACCCAGATCTGGGTAGCGACACGTCATTAGTATGGAATTTCTGCGCTCGTTTGTCAGAAATCATTTCGCGTGGAAACTAGTGGTGGTGTCGCGAAATGTTGGCTGTTTTCTCAAGCTTCTTTTGAATATCAGTTTCACGACTTGAGCAAGTGATGGGTATCACACATGGATGGTTCATTGTAGCGATTCCCTGCTAGCAGAGGTCTCTCACGGACAGAGAAGAAGGAGATGAGATAGAGAGACCTCTCGCGGCCTCCATACGTTTTTTATCACGCATCCACTTGCGTTCCCTTGAGAACTGGTGACGTTTCAGTCACGTGCGATACAACTTGCAGAACCGGTTTGCGTGATAACAACTTTCATTAGGGCACGCACATTCCACCTTAAACGAAACCAGTTTTGAAAACCAGGAAGTTTCGACCACAAACGTGGTCGGTGGCTACATGAAAGGATGCGTCTGAGGCCGGCAGAGGTCTGTCTCTTTCCTATCATTTTTCTCTTGCCTTGAGAGACCTTTGTTAGCAGAGAATGGTAGTGGATCATGTGGAACAGAGGAAAAGGAAACCGGGTTATCTGGCTAACAACTGATTCGAGGTACACAAAGGAAATCACTAAATTGTCTTTTCCAATGATTAGATGGAAAATCGCCCGCCAAGAGCCGGAGTGTATGCAGTAGAAAAACTAATACACCAGAGAATGATACCACAGACAGAAGCGAATCCAATATATCTCTCTCCTCAAAGGAAGAGTAAGTAAATGCTGTCGGGGGAAAGAATAAGACTCTTTTAAATTAGTATAGAGCAGCTGAGTGCAGAATATTGGGTACACTAGAATACCGATTTTCCGAACCACCTTGGGACAAGTAAATTTGTTCGAATTATTTTAGACTGCAAAACAGTCCATATTTTTCCGTATTCAAGTACGCGCGAGCAGTCAAACAAATGGTCTGGGCGAGGCTGACGGGCGCGTGAGGCTCGCGCGCTTCGCGCGTGTGAGACTCTTACGCTACACTAAACCGATTTTGAGAAACAAGCCGAATTTTTTCCCAGTCTAGAATTATTCTAGTGAAAGCTTGAAAAATCCTGGGTAAAATTACAATGTTTAGCTGGTGAAGGGACTTAGATTTGGTTTGAATCGTCGGGAATTTCGATAAGCCGACTGGTCAAGAAATCGAGATTCTAATATGTGCTACAAGTAAAACACTCCGTGGACAATTTAGATTAGGGATTTCCGATGGAATCTTTGGAACCTAGCACACAAATTAAGCATCCTACTGATGAATCACTGATAAACAGTTGCAATTTTATACATATTTTCTGCAACAACAATTTCTCATCTGTCCCGTTCGGATTTTTACTTTTCACCAGTCTTACAATCCAAATCCCATCATGCGAATATGCTTTTATATAATTGTCAACATTCTTAAAAGTTTGTCACATGAACCTAGTTTAGCGGCCCTAGTTCCCATGAGTCTCCTGTAGCCCAGTTTTAGTTAACTCCTTTAAGTACTCCTTTTTTGTGAGAATCGTCAAAGACTGGTACAGTTTGCCAAATCATCTCTTCACTGACGAAATTAACGTTAACAAATTTAAAAAAGGCTTAAAAAGATGGGTGAAGATTTATTGACACAGTAGCTCATATTTCAATTGTATATATTTTCATTTTAAAAATCATTCTTACTATACCATTTTGTACTTGCACTTATGATTTTTGCGCGCGTTTTTTATAATTTGTTAAATATTTTAAAGTTCAGTTAGGGAACCGTTTCTCGCGGTCCACCTTTTCAAATATGTATCGTATATCATTTTTATTTGCATATAAGTATTTGAATAAAGTATTATTATTATAGTACATCTTGACTTGTAACCCGCAGAAGTTCATAGTTTCGACTATTTCTGTAAAAACTCGGATTTTATTTGTTTATTTATTTGTTTTTATTTATTATCTATTTTTAAGCGCCTTCCACTGACTTAAGAAACATTATTTTCTTATCCGTGTTTCTTTTCAGCTTAGTAGTTGAACTTCCACCTCTGACGCTGAACCAACTGGCCAAAGATTGTGATGTCAAGGTACTGAAACCTAAAAAAGAATTACTTATAGCTGTCCATATTCATAATGAGCAGATAGCATATCTGGATCATTGACTCAGTGCTTACAGAAAATAAAGAAAAAGTCACAAGCCAGACCTTAGCCTGCGTAACAGGTGGCAGTTTTGAGAGGGCGAAGGGGGAAATTTCGAGGACACGCGCGCGGCTAGCAAGACCTGAAAGAAAAAACAGACCTTTACCATTTCTGCACATAAGAAACATCAGAAACAGCGCTTGAATAGGTCCAGAAGATGTATAACTATTAAAGTGTTGTGCTTGCCTTTGTTAATTTTTCTACGACGAGTTAACCAAGCATAGGCTTTTTGAAACACGAACAATTAACCTGTGTGTCCTCTTGAGACATAAGTGGCCTTTTATTAGCAGCAAATCTAATGTCTAGTGTTCTTTTTACTTTTTTTCTCAGGAATCCAAGTGTCTTAGCACGTTTTGGGTTAACCCTGTAGCAAAACGGACCTTAAACAGCTACGAAGATTGGAAATCAGCGCCGATTGTTTCGTAGTCCTTTTCTTAGACGGAGAAAAACTCTAAGGAGCCGGCGCTGCTGTGCGTTCCTTATAAATGTTCCGAAAGATACTGCGATAAGCCAGAGGAAAATAAAGCGTTTTATGCGTCCATACCGATACAACTTGGAAAGTTCAGAGAAAGACGCCCGGAGAAAACACACTTTACTTAGTACAGAGCTGTTGTTGATTCAGTCCGTTTGTCCTCACCTCTGATAACAAGCACCAGGCTGCTTTTTAACACCAAGGTTCATTGCGATGGCTCTTTGATTGAAGCTAACAATCTCCCTTCTCAAGTCTTATTCAAGTTGTGATGCCATTCTACTCTTTAATTTACTTCACATCTTAAACATTTTTTTTCCTTCGGGAGCGACCATTTGCCCGTCCAATCCGGCACTGGTAATATTTATCCAATATTTTATATATTGTCGTAATGAGAATTTGAACTGGCCAGTCTTAAAGAGTTCAAAATCTCCGGGAGATGATGAAGTTATGAATTGATCTCGTTAGCGCTAAATATAAATTATTTCAAATGCCACAGAAGGAATAAAACAATTGCATCCCCCTTACCGCACGTCTGCTTGATTTTCTTTTGGTCCCCAACTCCCCTCGCTCCACCGACCCCCCCTGCCTGAGAAAACAGCCGACATTTCGCCACACCATTACTGGTCCCCACCCCCGGTCTCATTTCGCGGCGAAACTATCCTGTTCCAGGCACCGAGACAGTGTGGTGAAAAGTCGTTCAGTAAACTATCTGAGAGCCTGGCACAGGTTACAGCGAAACCAGTGGTGGTGTCGCGAAATATCGGCTACGTTACCGACCCCCTACGTTTGTGAATCGCAGCATATTTCACTGGCTCTTCCATTTCCTCATGCTGTGTCCATAAAAAAGTAACGCTGTAAACAAAATTACCCTTTAAATTTTTACTAGGCAATGATAACAATAAAGATCTTTCTTTAATCTTCAAAAATGAGTGAAATTAAAGGCACATTAAATTGATATATTTGTTTCATTCTTTATCAAAGGCTTTGCGCTTCTATTAAAATATTTCATAATATTTTAGTATAATGACAGGCACTTCCCCTTTACCCTACGGGGTACAGATGTAAAAGAATTCGAGGCAAAATTATAGTAGACACCTCAACTAAAAGGTCACAAAACTAGGAAATAAACATTTAAAAAAAATATAAGAAACGACATGCCTTTTTGAACATTTTCAGGGGATACACGTTCAGAAATGACGACGCTCTGTAGCCACACTCAGGATAATTTCTCGCAGTCTCTCTGCCGAAAAAATCAAATGCTCCGTCCCCAGAACAAGTGTACTCCAACAAACATTCAACCCAGGAAATGGATCCCTCATTAAATTCCCGTCTATTGCCCGCACTCCCTCCCCGCGAAATCATCGGATAGGTGCATTAAAACGCCGACTCCGAGGTAGAGGAAAACAAAAGAAAATTTAAAGAAAAAAAAAATAACAATGGACTGTCACCCAAACTACGTCGGCGTTTTAGTGACAACCTAGTGCATTATAGTTTCTTTTAGGGATCGTTCTGTGGTGCTCGGTTAACGGTTATTAAATTTCAGGCCGCTTGACGACTGAACGTTAATTAACCCCAAAGAGCACCCTCAGCCCTACATCAAATCGAATCTCTCAGTAGTATTAACAGCTGTATTCAAACAAACTTACAAGACGACTTGGCTGTGATTCTAGAACCTGCCCTAGCTAGCTATTACCTGGCTTATTATGCTCCTCATTTACAGATCATGACTGTACGGTTCAGATGTGTTTCCTTGACATAAATAGGCCGCTGTTTTCTCTAGACTAGACAGATTATCTGCATCTCAGACGGATAATCTGTTTTTCTTGGCCCGAACCTATCTTATCCAGCTAACTGGCTTTATATGCTCCTCATTTACAGATCATGACTGTGGTTTAGATGTGTTTCCTTCACATGATGAACCGGCGTTTTCCAAGACTAGGCAGATTATCTATCTCAGACGGATTCATTGTAATCTGTTTTTTCTAAACTTGTCTAAACAAACGGATTTATCACATGTTATAAACACTCGCCACACGTTAAGGGAATTCGGGAAATCAGTGTTTTTTTCCATGTGGAATCCGGAATCCTACTAAAATTCAAATTCCACTGAAAAAGCTAAGACTGGAGTCAAGTAGCTGGAATCCGGAATCCACGGGGTGGAATCCGCAATCCGAAGGCCGTTAAGCCTGCGACAATCGAGTTATTGCACGAAAGTTAGAGAGGAAACAAACAAGAGGTTGAAGTTCCTTCTTTCCCCTCCCCCTCCCCCGTCATTCTTTTTTTTTTTGCTCTTGTCTCAGCTTTCTAGACGAACCTCGCGAGGAAACGCTTGCTACGCTAAAGGCCGTTCTAAATTCCCTTAAAATAACACATAGGGCAAAATTAAAAGTCACACGGATTATCCCTGTCCCGTTTCTACATTGGCAAATGGATTATTATACAAGGATTATCCTATATGGAAAACCCGTGTACGACGGATAATCCGTCTCCAGTGTAAAAACGGCTAAATTACTTGAATGAACTAGAGAAATTTCGATTTACAATTTCGGTTTCATCAACAAGGATCGCCCGATTCCTCAAAAACTCACCCTTTTTCCAAACCTAAGCTAATTACAAAAATTGACAGATATCAATATCAATATCCCGATATTAAGCAAAACTCAGATAATTACCATGAGGGTGATCTTGGTTTGTTTGGAAAACGCAGATAAAATAATTCATGTTCTTTTTTTTGCAACTGCATCTGTCAATATCTTAGATAAATTTGCTCAACTCCATTTTCTTGGAAAAGTTTCAAAAGATAAAGCCGGAATAGCAAGAAGCAGCCATACGGTCTACAGCCTTGTTTTTCATAATCGGAATCTTGGAAAACACAGACAAGAAAGCAAAACTTCTGAGCTTGGAGGAGTTAATCACAAAGAAAAGTATTGAACTTTCCATGCGTCAACAAGTGGAACAAAGGTGTAGAAAGGTACATTGCACATTTTCAGTTATTCTGGAACAAAGTGAAGCGAATATGACTCAGTGCTAGGAAAAATTGTTCTTATTTTCTCAACCATCCTGGATTTTCAGAGAAGTCACAAACTGGTCAAAAATGATAATAAATAAATTGGAACCATCCTGGTCCAATTTTACAATTTTAAAAGTTAAAAAGGTTTAAAAGGTTCGAAACCTTTAACGGTTCGAAACTCTGGATCTTGTGTTTTTTTTCTTTTTTTTAAATTCAATAGTGGCGGTGCAGACCCACACGACACACACACACCCCCTTTATATTGATTGACATATCCATGCATTTATAAGGAAGAAAGGAAGAAAGGAAAAGAGAAAGAACAAAAGAAAAAAGAGAAGCTGATAGAAGAAAGGAAGGAGGGAAAAAGAATTAGCGGTGATTTACAATTCTCTATATAATCATCCAGTACTAGTAGCCAAGGCAACTCAAGGCCTCCTAAGTATGGGTAATTTAACTGGTGACTTTAAAACGCAAGAGACAAGCCACAAATTCTGCAGAAAGTCGCTGTAAATGTTATCTTTTATCACCAAGAGCCATAAACTAACGATCTTTTTCCCATTCAGTGGTCTTACTTGTACCCTGCGAGCAGAGTCTCCTTCGATCTTCCTAGATAAGTCGGGAAGAGGACTTTTCAAGGAAGATCGAAGGAGACTCTGCTCGCAGGGTATCTTACGTACTTGATAATGTAGTACCAAATGCCGGTTAAAAACAAATGCCTCCAAATTTGGTTGTGTTAGCCTGTGTACACAGACGCCACCCGTCCCTGAAGAAAAAAAAACAATGGAAAGAGACGAGGCGACTGTTCACAGGTCTTTCACAGACTAGGTTGCCAGGACAGAAGATCTAGGGAATGATAAAGAACTAATCCTCGAAAAACAAAACTTCCGGTTGCCATTCACAACGTCCGGGCGTTCTCTTTGCTTTCGATCCTCTTGTACATCATCATTATTTGTTTTTCTTTTCTGGTTGCTCCATGTCTTTGTTCTCGTAAAGCGCCTGACCGCGGAAGCCATTGAGGGGAATTTTTCTCCCCCACCGTCCGTTCGTAATTGAACCTACCACCCGTTAAAGGAAAGCGCGCAGAGAGCGCGCGCGCATAGTGCAACTCACAAAGCCATCCATTGAGACGTAAATGCAGGTCGCTAACTAGCGGGCGGGAATGGCTTTTGCGTATTCAGTCTTGTCTAAGGATCTCTATTCTTATTACACTGCCCACATAAATACTTGGGAAGAAAATGTCTTCACCGACAAAGCAAGTTAGTGTCCGTCGGCTACCCCCGCTTCCAAATCAAATAACACTACGCAATCTGAAGGAAAATGGAAACCCGACCGAAGTCGCACAAACTGAAAACCTCAAAGGAAAGCCTTCAGGAGGTAAGGAATTGTTTTTATTCATTTTTCTGAATGTCGTGCGATAAGTGCAGGTTTTTGCCCTTGGCAGTAACTGATTTTTTCCTGAGGTTTCATGAAGTATGTTTATATTTTTCTTACAAGTACACCATTTAAGTGAGGGATGTAACTCAATTGACAGCTCGCCGCCGTGATATGAATCAAAACGTTGTAATCTTCAATGATACTTGAAAGATTTGCCTTTACAAACTCTCGTTGAGAAAAAATATATATATCCGCGTTAGCTGAATTGCATTGCATACCAAAGAAGAACGATCGGATAAAATTATAATGTACTGTAGGCTTTATTACTTTTAAGTTTAACTGAATTTTACAGTGAATTTCTCCTTCTCCAGTAATGAACCGGACAGGCCATTAATTTGTTAACCTTTGAAAATGTTATATTCAGATCAAAGCCGGCCGGAAGAGAAACATTACTCTTATGTCGATTATCTAGACATTTTGTCGCTGTCAGTAGAACGGTAAAACCGTTTTAATTGCATGATTCGCAAAAATCGAGGGTCGTATTTATTATTAGCTTATAAATCATGTAAGCTTAAGGTTATGATGTTTTCAGCTTAAATGCCGGTCACACACTTTTCAGAGATTCGGGAGCTTTTCTTTCTTTCCCCGTCTCTATTTTTTTAATCAATTTCTTCGTGGACGAACTATATCTATGCAAATTTACTATTACTCAAACGCGAGACAAATTAACCAAAAATCAGTATGACCTGTTTATTAGTTGAATTTACAAAAAACAAAATTTCATGACAGTTTCGAAGGGTAAAATAATTATAATAACAACTTGCTTGTATAAAATTGAATTGCCAAGAAAAATATATTTGGCAGAGATTTTATTCTCGATAATAGAAGTAAAATAATTTTAGCAACAGTCATTACTTATTTATGGCCAACAAAACTTCTAGCAACCTCCATAAATGCACATGTCTAATACGTCCCAATTGTATAAAAGCAGTCTGAGAGCAGCGGCAGACAAAAACATCTGGCAAAGCTTTGTGAAACATCGGAAATGGAATCTTGTAAAACCCGGATTGATTACTTTTCTTTAGAAAGCTATTTGAAAAGCGAATTGTAAACTTTTTGTGAAGCAACACACAAAACTACTTAGAACAAAAACCTTTTAGACGTAAACCGGAAGTTACCTTGAGTTAACATTTCAACCATTTCCGGTTAGTTATACTCTGTTTCAATTTGGATGTCTACGATTTAAAACAAATCTCTAAAAGGATATAGCTACATCATAATGTGACGAACCCGCAAAAGTAGTGAATCAAAATTAATTCACTTTTAGTCAAAATAAGAGAGGCATCCTGCCAAGTGTGATATTAAAATGAGAGTCTCATGCAGTTTTCAATATTCTACTTATCTCAGTCAGGGTCAGGCCAGCTGCTGGGTGATGGATAATCAAAAAATCACACACTCAACTAATTGCTTCAAACTTCAAATTAAAAATTAGAGCAATGTGCAGTTCCAAGGTGGTCATGTAATTTTTTTTGGTGTTGTTTTCATTATCATCTGATTACTCCATGATAAATGGTTGTCTCACATTTATTTTTTTCAGTTAATGTAAAATTTTTCTATTTTTTTCTTTCAGCATTAAAGCTGTGTTCTCTAGCAGTGCATGTTAACAGATTGTAATAAACACTTTTTGCTTAAGATGGAAGAATGAAAAAAAAAGGTCAAAATGTGTATCGATCATTTCTTATTTCATTATTAAAAATTGAAATTGAATAGAACAATAGCAAATTGAGCCAAGCATAAGCTGAGATTTTCCCCCATTTTTATCAGTTTGAAAACAATAACAATAAGTCATTTTATTATTATTATTATTGTTATTATCAAATATTATTATTTTTGTTATTATTATTACTGTTATATATAGTATTAGCATTCATCAATGCCTAGGATACTTGGTGCCATCATTCCTTCCTTAATGTAATTAAATGTCCATTTACACCTGTAATTTACAAGTGTAACCATTGTTTCAGAGTCTGAAAACAATAGCTACACTTGTAAATTACATTTGTACAAGTTTTATTAACTTGACCCCAGCACTTTTCACAGAATCCTTCCTGACCCCAGCAAGGTTATTCATTGTAAAATTTCCATGCAATATGGCATTCCCAACTGTCCCATTATTATTATATAAAAAAAAAAAATTATCATTATTTTGTTATTTTTTTCACTAGCGGTTCTCTCTGAATTGCAAGTCAAGGAATACCTTTTAGCAAATCCTTGCATCTTGGAAGAATTTATCATGGCTAACACCAGCCAGGAACAACTTGAGAGATGGTTGATTAGAAAAACACAGTCCTTAGAACATATAATAGGAAATATAAACAATGGTATGTATTTGAATAATGTATATTATTTATGTTTATCTTTGTATTCTTTTCTTCTTCTCCATAATTAATCGTGAAGAAGAAAATCCAAACTTGGCAAGATGAAGAACAGTTGTTCTTAACAGGGTGGGTGGGTGGGTGGACCTGGGGTGGGGGGTAGGGAATTAGGATGGGAGTAGGGTGGGGAGAGGGCTGCAGTTATGTCTATTTGTTTTGTCTGTTTCTTTTGTTGTAGTTTATTACTTTTATTATCATTATCATTATCATTATTATTGTCATCGTCTTCGTCATCGTTATCCTCATCATCATCATCATCATCATCGTCATGGTCATGATCATCAACTTCATTATTATTGTAATCATAACTATAACAAAATTTTCAAATCTGATTGGTTATCAACTGCCCTGATTTCAGCCTTAATAGGAACAATTTAGTCATGCCTGAGTAATTGGACAGTATGCGCCATCACGCGTGCGCTTAAATGGCTTTTTTCACTGCTAGCATAAAAATTGGAATTTCTTCTGTTTTGATTTAAGAAAAGAGCCTTATATATCACAAATTTAGTTAAAGTTATGATTAATTGGTAAAAGAACTTCAGGTCGTCCAATTCGGTCTGTGATCATACTCGTGATTAAACAAAATGGGACTCCCGCTATGGGGTCGTCTGATTTTGTTAATCACTCGTATGATTACAGACCGAATTGGACTCCACTCAGTCCTGTTACCATTACTTATCGCTATCACTATCATCACTATCATAATCATTATTATTATTACATCATCTCATTTTGCTCTTTTCTGTTGCTGTTGTTTTTGGTTTTTCTAGTTAATTTTTCTTTATAAGATCCTTACTTTTTGGACAAATGCTCTCAGAGATCTTTAAGTAACTTTGCTTGGGTACTTTACTGTATAACCAAGCCCTGCCCGATGCCGCTCCTTTCTTAATCACGGTAAGGTTGGGAAGGGGGAAGTTAAAAGGCGCTGCAAAGAGCACAGTTTTGGTGTGAATCCTTGAAAGATAAAGCCTTTCCAGTATGATGCTGCAGGTCGGTATGATTGGAAGATGGCAATATTTTGACTATTGGCTTAATATTGCTGCTATAGAAAGTTAGGAGACACATGCTCATTTTTTAAAACTTTATTTGGTTGCTATGAAGTCTGATCATCATGACCAGATGGCTTTTAATACCGTTTCTTTTGTGTGTGTGTTTTTTTACAGGCTTGAGACCCTCACTCTCTAAATGGAAGGTATATATATAGCCATTCAATTACAGTTCCTAGGCCTGTTTCAGGCATTGAACTTTCCATGTGCCAAATTGAGTGGTTATGTGGAAAATCTACTGTTGTTGCTCATGATTCAGCACATGTAAAGTTGCTCATTTGAAATGTGTGTTTTTTGCTCATTGACTGGGCAAAATTTCCTCTATAATTTATCTATAGCTCGGCAATGAGTGGCTATTATCCCAGTGAAAATGTATTACGATCACGTGCGTTTGGACCTTCTATCACTCGTTCTGATAACGCGTGTTTTGACCATCTATCCATGAAACTTACGCAAAGTACAGCGTTGGAACAAAAAGCGTTTTGGGCTCATTCTCGGTGTGAGAAAATGTTGAACTCACGGCTGACGTAAAACAAAGAAAGCAGAAACCAGCACAATAGAAGCTAGAGAAGCTAGAAAAAAAAAAGGTGTGAAACAAAGAAAAAGTTATACCCGCGTTTTGACCCTCGATCGTTGTCTCAATCGTTGCTTTTCATAGGGCCACGAAAAGAAATCCAGTATAGTATTAACCCAGCCTTAATTTATGGTTTTATTCTTGTTTCTGTTTGTTTGTTCGTTTGTTTGATTGTTTTGAATTTCACAAATTGGAACTTGCTTTTATTATTAGGGTAAAAAGCTTAAATGGCCGTACTCACACTAGAGACAGATTATCCGTCTGAGCCGGACGGGTTATCCATTGGATAATTCGCATCACACAGATAATACGTCAGTGATACATCTTAATTTGAAAATGGAACAGTCTTAAGTTTGGATGGAAAATCCGCCTGACTTTATCCATCTATTTTTCTGTCAATTTTGACGGATTTTGAAGATGGATTATCCGTCTCAGACGGATACTCCGTCTCTAGTGTGAAAAAGGCCAATGTGAGTTTAATGTTAATATCATTATTTGTAAAGGAGTTAGTATTTTGCCATTGAAATTCAAGGTATACCGGTAATTTGACTTGAACTGTTTGTGTTTGGGCTGCAGTTCTGTGTTCATACCGATAAGAGGAAAATGCTTCAACAGCTGACAAGAGACATCAATCAACAACCAAAGAAAGTCAAGGTCATGCATGAGCTGGTCAAAAGTGTTGCAGCAGGTCAGGTTACTTTCTTTTCACTTCCTTGTCTCCTTCTTATGTAATCCTAGCCTCCCCGCAGACGTCCTCTGGGGTTCGTTCGTCACGCATTCATTTGACCCCCACGGGGGAGAAATTCATTTCTCCCTCACTGTCAGTGGGGAGAAATGAATGCGTGACGAACGAACCCCAAAGGACGTCTGCGGGGAGGCTAATGTAATCCTCCATTCATTCATTTGTTCTAAACTAGAATACCGTATTTATTCGAATAAGCGCCCAACCTCGAATTAGCGCCCACCTCGAATAAGCGCCCATCCTAAAGACAGAAAAAGGTAATAAGCGCCCAGCCTCGAATAAGCGCCCACCCCACCACACCTTCCTCCCACTCCCACTCAAACTCAAATTAGCGACCACCCCCAAAAATTGAATAAATACTAATAAGAGACTTCCTCGAAGAAGGAACCTTGCTTTGTTACATCTTCGCGTTCTGTTATTACCATTTATTGTTTTGTTGGAAAACTATTCTACACTTTGCTGAAAATGTTGAAAATTTAATAAGCGCCCAGCCTCGAATAAGCGCCCACCTCGAATAAGCGCCCACCTCGAATAAGCGCCCACTCTCAAGGTCCAAAAATTTAATAAGCGCCCCTAATAAATTTTAGGGATCAAAGGATGGAAACAGAATCAAAGGATGGAAACAGAGTAAATTGTGTTTGGGGAGAGAGGGAGGTACAATACCAGCTCTAAAATTGAAAGCTGAGCCGTACTTTAACTCCTATCGGTTGGAGTTAATGCGAACCCAGTCCCTGTCAACATTGATTATCATTCTCCCCATATCGGCCTTCACGGACAGTGTTGGTTCTGTTTTATGACACTAAAACTATGTTAGCACAACATCGTTGAATCAATATCTGTCCTTCTTTACAGACACATTACTTGTATCTCTTGCCTTCTGTTCTTATACTTATATACAAAGTTTTTTTTTTTATGTTTTATTAAATTTCTTTTTCCCCGTCAATCTCGTTTTAATAAAGAATTTGCTCGTTTTGCAGCAACTCATGCAAACACGCATTCTCTTTACTTGGTTGACAAGAACGGACGAGTAAGTGTTAACCAGATACAATTTAAATCCGAACGTTTGTAGCCTGAGAAAACAGCCGTCATTTCGCGATGCCACCATTGGCTTTCCCCGCGAAATGACGTCCGAGGAAAGAGCGCAGTAACTCCGTGCTATACTGATGCCTTGTCACTATTGCCTTTGAATGGTCATGCCGCGTGAGAAATTTGCTTCAACCAATCAGAAGCACTGCCTGAATCTGGGTAGTGACGCGTCAACAGTATGGAATTTCTACGCTCGTTCCTGAGACGCGTCATTTTGAGGGGAAACCGGTGGTGGCGACGCGGAATGTCGGCTGTTTACTCAGGCTAAAACGCATATAAAAAGCTATTGTAACAAAACTGAATGCAAACCTGGCAATACGACAATGGGCGGATTTATTTGAGGCCAATATTTGGGCTAAGAAAATTATCCAAAATTATTGCCAGCCTTGCATTGGGTTTTGTTTTAATTCCCACTTCATGTGACATCTGGCAATAGTATCTCCGACATTAGAGATCATCCGGCAAGAAAGAACCAGTCGTTTTTATTTACGCTTTGAGTGGACCTCTGCATTCAAGGGTTTTTACTAAGCTATTGCAGTCAGTGGCGAAAAGCAACGGAAAACAGATGATATGATTTCGAAGAGACTACTGATTTCAGTATAGCGAGCGTACGTTTTCAACAATCATAAAGCGAGGCGATTCAAAGACACTTTCTTAACCATAAATTACAGTGATGTCTCTTATTCCAAAGTACTATTCCAAAGTAATGAGCTCTTGGTTCTCAATCCGTGGACTTAAGTCGCAATAGTCCATTTATCGGCAATCAAGAATAGTGCGGTTTGGAGAAGGGGCTTTTAATTTTTATTTTTTTCAAGGAGCTAAGAACATTTGGACCCTTTAGACATTTTCTCAATTAGCTGAAATACTTTAATGAATCTTTTTTTTTTTTTCTGCGATCAAAAGTTAATCGTTTGGATTTCATTTTTCAAAGGGTGCCAACAAAAAATTGATTGTTTTGGTTTAGGTAGCCTGTCCATAGGCCCTATATACCGGTATATATTTTCTCAATTAGAGATCTTTGGGCGCGCATGGAAATAAAAACCGTGGGGTATTTTTTGACCACAAGCGCTCGTTCTCGCGCTCCCCGAGGAAAAACCAGGGAAAACGTCTGTGAACGGTTTTTGTTTTTGTTTTTGTTTTCTGTGCCCCTGCGTTCCTTCGCGCAAATCACATTGTTGAAAAGGACACTGGGCTAACGGCTGGAATTTGAGCCTATCGTAGTTCTGGCCAGGTTTTTATTTCATCTTTTCGCCTTTGTTTTTTTTTCACAGGACATATATCTATACTCGGAAACTAAACCAAGGTAAGATTTCAGTAATATTACTCTTCTACAACCGCTAGCGTTAGTATAGGTTATGACTGGGTGCTTGTGATATGACTCACTTTATCTCTACAGTGCTTGTATTTCAACTTGTTGTCGTTGTTGTTGTTTGTTTGTTTGTTTTGTGTCTTGCACTCTGCCTTACTAGCTTTAAAATACCCGCGATTCAGTGTCTTATGTTCGTTCAAACTCAAAGTCTTTTCTTTTTTTGCCGTTAAACAAAATTGGGAAACGTGCTTTTCTTTGTCAACCGCAAACATCTATTGATGTAACAAAATTGCTGAATATATTCACACCCATATTTCACGGTTACAGTATTAGAGAGGACACGCAATTTCTCCATCGCAAATGCTGTAGATTTTCATCAAGTCATCCATATAATACTGAACTTGGCCGTCAGATAATTACTTGCCTGCATAACAGTCAATCGTTTCCGTTTTATGGAAACGACTGCTACGCATTGGAATCACTAATCAGCTATAACTGCAAAAAACATTTGCTAAAATACAACGTATTGTTCATTTGTTTCTTTGTTAATTGCTTTATGTATGTTTGTCTTAGATCGCGATCTCTCTGCCGTCAAACTATTGGAAAAGGAGGCACTGTGGCCGCGTATGTGGCGGAGACTGGGCAGAGACTGTTTGTAAAGGACATTCTTGGGGTAAATTGTGGACAGCCATTAATTTTATTGTTACGTGTATTTTTACTGTCTTAAATGGTGAAATGTTTTTATCTTTGAGACTCAGTCATCACAGATTTTAATAGTTGATTGGTCTTGTTTCACACAGAAAAAAATTATTTCAAGGTCATGTTGTTTCTGATACCTTCATTTCCTTGAAAATCGTGGATAACTAATGATTTTGAACTCCTTTTACGCAGGATGAAAGATTCCCTAAAGGAATTGGAATCGAAGGTGCGTACCACCCTACAGAATGGTTGGCGGAAAGTGAATAAATATAATTGAACTGTATTCTATGGTAGATTAAATTGGTGATCGTATAAAGATTTAAAAAGCGCTAGCCTTCGTGTACTTCTTTCTAAAGTAGGGGCTTGAAAAGTCAATTTGTTCATGAGGAACAAGTACTACATATATCAACACACCATAAACCCGTACAAAAAAACTGGGGGCTCCCTATGTTTTTACGAGCCCAAGTAACGAAAATGTCTTCCTGTCTCTGTGACGGACATCTGTACCTTCAAGAGAGCTGCTAAAGGTGTACTTCATCTCAGACTAATTGCAGCCAGGAAAGTATATTCTAAAGAAATAAAACCTTCCGCCTAATTTCCTCGGAGATTTGTTGAATAATTTCTTGTGGTAGTTTTCTATCCTAACTACCTGTTCTTACTCTCTTTAGAGTGTCTAAGTAACCCTGTTGACTAAGAGTATGAAATTAGTATCCCTGTGCTTTTGCCGTACCTCACGTGTAAAGCACGAATTGGACTGACTGAACAAGTAAGGTGCACCTATTGATTTTAGTGTCAGAGAAACTTACCATGCTATAATAATGCTTGTTTTCCAGATAGTACAGCTCAGTCCGTACTGTGTCAGCCAATTGTACAAGCTGACGGAGCTATAGTTGGTAAGAGGGCTTTTCGATGACATAAACATAATTGTTGTGTTGTCAAAAACCCATCAATTATAATTATCCATAATTATGAAAGACACCTTTTCGTATCCAACTGAGCTTTGTTAACAACCTTTGCTTAATCTTTGCTTAATGTACCTAGCTTAATCAAGAAAACATAAAAGGACTTTTCTTAAGGTAACTGGTTAATTTACTCCTTCGTACCATCACCCTAGGGGGGAAAGTGGCTCAATACGGTCCGTGATTAATATTGACAATGAAGAAATCTTGGTGAAAATTGTTAGTGCTTGTTGCTTTATGCACACAGTTGAAGTTTTCTAAATCAGTGCGCGCTTCAAACGGCGGGTAAATCGCTTGGATTGTTAACTGAAGTTAACGCTTACTTTGCAGGTATTGTAGAGTTGGTTAAAACGTTGGGAAACTCAACTTTTGAACGGGAAGACGAAGAGGTAAATAATTGTTTACATCCAAGTATCATGTAATAAATAATTATGTGTTTATTTATTATTTGTGTTTTGTGTTTGTTTATTTCTTGTTGATTCCATAATTTGTTTGTTTTTTCGTTCTTTTTAGTTTTCTAAAATAATTTATTTATTTATTCTTGTTTCGTCCAGCAACTTCATTAATATGTAATCAGGACTAAGAAAGACTTTTTTACCTGACTGTTTTGTCTGTTGTTTCTAGATCGTCAATAGCTATCTAGCATGGGGAAGTATTGCTATACATCATGCCGAGGTGAGTGGTTTTCTGATTACTCAGTCACGCAGTTAGTCAATCAATCATTGAGCCAGATACTTAGGTGGTCAGTCAGTCGGCCCGCCAGTTAGACTGACAGAGAACCATTCAGTCAGTTAGTCAGTCAGTCAGTCAGATAGTCAGTCGGTCAAGAGTCAGTTGGTGAGTCAGTCAGTCAGAGAAACAGGCGGTCATTCAGTCAGTTATTCAGACGAGTCAGTCAGACAAACAGGCAGAAAATCAGTCGAGCACCTAATAGGTCACGATTAAGTCTTTAAGTCTTTATATCAACCAACTAATTTTAAATTAGTTTGTCATTTTAATGTTAGTAGTTAGTCATTGAATCAATACAGTCAGACATTGAATCAATATGGCTTTGACCTTTCGCCCGTTTAACCAGCACTTTGCTCATCAGTGTCCTGAATGTTTTTCTTTTGCCATAGCTTTTACGCTGTCGAAATCTCCTTGTTATAGCTCGTGTGCGTGAGGATGTGAACTTTAAACTCCTTTGTGATTTACGATCTGGATAACTTGATAGTCATGGCTTTGCTGATTGTAAATTTGGTCATTTATTGCCATCTTATTTTAGTTCGCTTCCAAAATCGTGAACTACTCATAGCTGTCATTTCGTGCAATAAAATATTTACTCCAATTTTCGTATTTAGCTTTCCAAACAAATGCAAAAGCAGAAAGACCTGAACAGCTTCTTACTAAGTGTTGTAAGGTAAGTAGACGGAAGAAAAATGAGTTTGTTACAAGAGCTGAAGCAGCTGAGATATTTGCCTCGTGAGGCGCTTGGCTCAAATGTTTGGATTCCTCGTTTGTACGGCGGGCTTTAGACCTCACAAAAGTCTTTTTCAACCGACGTTTAATGAGGGAAAGCAACCATTTTTTTTACCAGAGATTTTGGAGCTGAACTAAGATACTTTTGGTGTCAAGAACATATTTTCCTTTTAGGTAAGGATTGGATACCAGTATTGTAGAACGTTTTAGGACAAGTAAACGCTCTTCAAGAGTACTTATTTTACACTGAGTTTAGCTTGCGAGAAAGCCCTCTATTTCGAGCGGCGACAAAAGGCGCTTATTCTCGTGATTTTTTCTTCTAAAATGAAAAGCTTGCTCTCAGGCCAGGTTAAGTTGAGTATTCAAGGCCTTTTCACTGCTAAATTTCACTGTCTTATTAGCCTGAGAAAACAGCCGACATTTTGCGACGCCACCACTGGTTTCCTCACGAACTGACGTCTGAGAAACGAGTACAGAAATTCCACACTGATGACGCGTCACTTGCCAAATCTGAGTGATACTTCTGATTGGTCATAGCCTGCGATCAGGCGGTTCTTCTTCCCTTTAAAAAGAAAAAAAAACGCCCGAACGCAGGTTAGATCGGTGCTGCCGCGAGGGAAATTTGTATGGAATGCCGTTTGTATCAAAAATACTTCTTACCATATGTAAACCTTTACATTAAATATATGAAACATTTTGCTTTATGAATAAAACTTCTTAATTTTAGTTTTAAGGTTATAGTGCACAATTAAAACTTGTTACAAAATATATAAAACTTGTTGAAAAATATAAAACTTTTCACGATATATAAAACTTGTCAATATATATAAAACAAAATGAAGCAAAATGTTTTATATATTTAATGTACATGTAAAGGTTTACGTATGGTAAGAAGTATTTTTGATACAAACGGCATTCCATAAATTTGTTTCAACCAATCAAAAGCACTACCCAGATCTGAGTAGTGACACTTCATCAGCATCGAATATCTACTCTCAGACGTTATTTCGCGGGGAAAACACTGGTGGCGTGGCAAAATATGGGCTCGTCTTTCAGGTTACTTTTATAACGATGATTTGAGTTTCATTGTTGGTACCATAACCAAAGTCCTTTTTTGTCAGATCCATCTTTGACCAAGTCAGTACGATGGATGTCGTCATCGAAAAAATCATGGTAGGAATTGTGTTGCAAGGACAATTAAGTGGAATTAATATTTTGATCAACTGTTTATTCATTCCTGAAAACCGTTTCATTCTAACAGGCGTTTGCCAAGCGACTCGTTAATGCTGATCGATGTGCACTGTTCATGCTGGATTCTAAGACAGAAGAGTTATACGCTAATCTGTTTGACGAAGGAGATGAAGATGGTTCTGAATACAAATTCAGAAGTGGAGTGGAAATAAGGTAAACAGCAGTGGTTCTAAGACCACAAGTGCACTGCAAAGGCTCAACCGGAATTTAAGGTCCTTGCAAGAATGTGCTTTGGGCAAGGATGTGGATCGTCTAAATTATTTGCACGAAATGAGATAAAGTCTATGGAATCTTCCTGGTCTGTCAGGAAGATTATACTGTATTTAGGCCCTGGCAATATCAAACTGAAATCGTCGTGAGGTACGGTACCTGTACTAATTTGTGCTAAATTTTCTCCGAGCTTGGTACTCTTTATAAATGAATTTAAAAAATCAGGGATCACACTGCAGTCAATTAACAATTATTGGACTCGGTTATCGCAAAATATCTTGATTTGTTAGTGGCGAGCAGATCAGTTTATTGATCTGCGAGATCAAAATATTTTGTGACTGCGACAATATTGAATTAACGCAGTTTTCATTTTAGACTTTCAAAAAAGCCCTTCGTCGGATTTGATATGGTGTGAGACAACCTCTCGCGACTTCGTCTCTCGCTCGGCCTCAAAGGTTCGCTTCACTCGCTCGGAAACTCGTGAGGTCGACTTGTGGCAAGTGTATTCTCATTTGTACTATGAACTCTTCTTGCCAGGTTTCCTATGGACAAAGGCATCGCCGGTTACGTAGCAAGTACATCTGAGGTCCTAAACATCAGTGACCCGTATCGAGACTCGCGCTTTAACCGTGAAGTTGATATGAAGACGGGATACATTACTAAGTCCATATTGTGTGTTCCTGTCAGGTGCAAAGAAAGGTGAGAAATGCACAGCAGCTGACGGAAAGAAACTAAATCGCCCTTTTCGTGTAGACACGTTGAGAATTCTGCGATGCTGATCGTGTAGCTGGCGGTTTTTTTGGAGGTCGATTAAAAATGGCGAAAATGGGAACATGAAGAGGAATTATTATTTCCATATCATTATCGTTATCGTTATCATTATCATTACCATCATGATTATTGCTATCGTTATCATTATCGTTTTCGTTGTCATTATCATTACCATCATGATTATCGTTATTGTTATCATTATCATTGTCGTTATCAGTATCGTTTTCGTTATCGTTTTCATTATCATTACCATCATGATTATCGTTATCGTTATCATTGTCGTTATCATTATGGTTTTCGTTATCGTTTTCATTATCATTACCATCATGATTATCGTTATCATTATCATTGTCGTTATTAGTATCGTTTTCGTTATCGTTTTCATTATCATTACCATCATGATTATCGTTATCGTTATCATTGTCGTTATCATTATGGTTTTCGTTATCGTTTTCATTATCATTACCATCGTTATATCGTATCATTGTCGTTATTGTTATTTTATCGTTTTCATTATCGTTATCGTTTCATTGTCGTTATTATCATTTTCATCATTTTCATTATCGTTATCATTATCATTGTCGTTATTAGTATCGTTTTCGTTATCGTTTTCATTATCATTACCATCATGATTATCGTTATCGTTATCATTGTCATTATCATTATGGTTTTCGTTATCGTTTTCATTATCATTACCATCATGATTATCGTTATCGTTATCATTGTCGTTATCATTATGGTTTTCGTTATCGTTTTCATTATCATTACCATCATGATTATCGTTATCATTATCATTGTCGTTATTAGTATCGTTTTCGTTATCGTTTTCATTATCATTACCATCATGATTATCGTTATCATTATCATTGTCGTTATTAGTATCGTTTTCGTTATCGTTTTCATTATCATTACCATCATGATTATCGTTATCGTTATCATTGTCATTATCATTATGGTTTTCGTTATCGTTTTCATTATCATTACCATCATGATTATCGTTATCGTTATCATTGTCATTATCATTATGGTTTTCGTTATCGTTTTCATTATCATTACCATCATGATTATCGTTATCGTTATCATTGTCGTTATTATTATCGTTTTCGTTATCGTTTTCATTATCATTATCGTTATCGTTATTATCATTATTATTGTCGTTATCGTTTTCGTCGTTTCATGATTATCGTTTTTATCGTTTATCATTATCGTTTTCATTATCGTTATCATTATCATTACCATCATGATTATCGTTATCGTTATCATTATTACTATCGTTATCATTATCGTTTATCGTTATCATTATCATTACCATCATGATAATCGTTATCGTTATCATTATCGTTATCATTATCGTTTTCGTTATCGTTGTCATTATCATTACCATCATGATTATCGTTATCGTTATCATTATCGTTTTCGTTGTCATTATCATTACCATCATGATTATCGCTATCGTTATCATTATCGTTTTCGCTAGCGTTGTCATTATCATTACCATCATGATTATCGTTATCGTTATCATTATCGTTTTCGCTAGCGTTGTCGTTATCATTACCATCATGATTATCGTCATCGTCATCTTTATCATTATCGTTATCATTATCGTTATCGTTATCGTTGTCGTTATCATTTCCATCATGGTTATCGTTGTCGTTGTCATTATCGTTATCATTGTCATTTTTGCTGTTGCCATTATCATTTTTTCTCACACCCAAACTTGGTCACCAGCCTGGCAGGTTACATATAACATTAGGAAAAGTTCCCAACTTTTTCTGATACCATAGGGGAAAACAATAGCACTTGAAGCCTGTCAACTCATTCGTTAGGTTAGGTTTTGTTTGAATGATTGTATCCCTTGCTGGGATCCTTTTCAACAGGGAGAATTTGATACCAGATAATCATGCACTAACAACCACCTTTCTATCGCTTGTTAGCGTCATTGGCGTAGTACAGATGGTAAACAACAGGAGGGGATTTTTCTCACCTGAAGGTAAAAATATAATGTTGGTAACCTGCTGAAAAGTTTTGTTTGGTAGGTTAGTAACTGCATATGACAAAGCAGGCATAACGTAAGATAAAGAGGAGTAATTAAACAGCACCAACAGCACTTATTTTGGTGGATGCCAGAGTTTGTTTCTGTTGAACTGTTTAAGGTCAAAAAATGTGCTAAAACAAGTTACGTTTTGAAAATTTATGAAAATAGTGACAGGGAAACCTAAGGTCATGGAAAACTAGAAAAGGTCAGGGAAAAAGTGATGTAAAGTCATGGAATTTGAAGAAATCAAAAGAGTACGAACCGTGTCTGTGCTACTTTAGTCTTTTTAATTCCATCATCTACATAATACAAGCTAACTAATCGGGTAAAGTAGTTTCTGCAGCTAGCTATGATAACAGTTTGCCCCTTTCTTTATCTCCGCTTGGCTGAGATCTCTTGCAAACAAAGGAAATTGGCGAAAGCTTGGCAAAGCCGGCACTTCAAAGCTAAGATAGCAATTTTCACTGTTTAAAGATTGACACATTAATTAATTACCTATTCGCCGTTGATTTACTGAATAGAAAGTGTACTAAAAGGTAGTTCTACGCGTTTTCACTCTCTCTTAGTCCTAATTTTTCACAAATTAAGGTGGATTTCTAGTGTCGCATAACTTTAACCTGCGTACGCACGTAAAGAAAATAGAGGCAATGTATGAAACGCCACGCGTAAAAGTAAAAGTTGAGCGAGGTTTGAACTTGAACCCACACGCGCAAGCTTCCATTTCTCTTTTTTATTTACGCGCGTAAAATGTATGTGCGTACGCACGTAAAAATTACGCGACAGTGGAAATCCACCGTTAGGGCTAGGAGATAAAGAAAATTTGGAGCATCAAACTAGGTTAAAAAATTTTAACCTGAATTTATAATTGTTGCCTACAACGTATAAACATTCTTGTTGCAATATAAAGCGTATTGATATAGCTTTATCAGTAATCTTTTATTTCTGTATTTACAAATCATCGCGCCTTTTTCGTGTGTCTTGTTTTAGATGCTCGATCATTTGAACTGTTTGCTGGTTACTGTGGGCTGGCTCTTCACTACAGTCAGGTTGGTTTATATAAAGCAAATGTAAAGTACGCGCGCGCCCGTATCTGGCGTTTTTATTTTCAAAGCAAATGTTTACAACGTGAATTTAGCCTGAACTCATGAGCAGTTCGAAAAAAGTGATCGGCAAAGCGATATAGATTATATTAAATAATCGACTTAGCTTTTTCATTAACAGTCGTGTCTTGAATAATAGGCCTTTAATGCACTCCAATCCAGCGAAAGAAGTTTAAGATAATGTCATACAAATCACGGTCAACCCAAGCCTCGAGATGGTGCCTAGTGTTATTCGGGAAGTCGATTTCGATCTGTTCCTATATTTAAGTTTTTCAGCTATTTATTTATTTTTTTTATATATTAAGCAATTTATTAATTTTTCACTTGATTACAATCTTTGTTTCGCCAGATGTACGGCCAGTTGTTTAAATCCCAACAGAAGCATCAAGTCGCCTTGGAAGTACTCACTTATCACTGTTGTGTATTGGAGAATGAAACCCGACAGCGACGCGAGGCAGTAACATCATGCGTTCTTCCCAATGACTTTTATAGGTAAGAATCATCGGTTGGATATTTTCTGGCCTTTGCAACTCGATTATTAAACTGTGAAAGAAACCGGTTCGAACGAACTTCAAATAAACTAGTGATAATCAACTTAGGGATCGACGAGTTTGAATGCAAGCAAGTTCCTATTTGGGCGATCGAAACGAGTCTCGACGAGTTCGACGTCAGCCGCGAAGGCTTGCTCATGCCCAAATAGGAGGTCAAACAAAGCGTGATCAACGCTTGATAGAAGGTCAAAACAAGCGTGATCAGTTGACGTGTTGTAGAAAGTCCAAACAGAGGTCCAAAGGCGCGTGGTTAGATTGCGTTCTATACATTCCATTCATTCTTAGTAGAATTCCAAACGAATGCTGGCTACAGCGTGCCGCGCATGTGTAGTAGCAACCTGAAAATTAGGACTGAGGGCTCCTCTGGTCGCCCGCATTAAATGAATGAATGAATAGATAAATAAATGCAAAATATACCGATTCTCGCCAGCAGAGGGCTATTTTTGGAAATGTCACCTTAAAACTAACCGCCTTATTTATTTTACATCTTGTACTTATTAGTTATGTAAAGCTTATATGATTAGTTATCTAAAGAGCTCAGTATTAAGTTTTCATATTCTGGAGGAAAAAAAGCTGAAGTTTCCACTTAAAAATAGCAATTTCCTTCTTGCAGGTTTGCAACCTCGATTTTTTTGTTTATTTTTCTTTATTTATTTATTTATTTTGGTTTTACTGATTATTAGAAACTGCCGAGAGAGCGGAAATGACTTAAGCCGGCTATGAATGCTACATGTGTTCCCGCCTTAATTATTGTTTTGATTTTCATTGTTTCAGTTATGAATTCAATGTCTATCAAGATGATGAAGATTTGACAAATTATTTCATTCTCATGACGATAGATTTTTTTCAGGAGTGCAATGTCAGGTAAGTTGAAAGGTTGAAATCTGGCGAAAGGTGAAATCTCAACAAACGCGAGTAATCCAGTTGACCAATCATAACTTGTAGCAAATCTACAATTGTCGACACAAAGCGCAGGAAAGGCTTTTCAGTAAGTTAGGACTGGAGATTTAATGTATCTTCTGGTTTGGTTGATAAAGTTGAGCGAGATTTTTGGCCAATCATAAAGCGTAACTCTTTTTTTCATAAAACTGTTTAATGTCCATCGCCTAGCTAGTGGTTACCAGAGCCTTAAGGGCTCTTTTCCTTTCCGTTTGTTGCTGTTGGGTTTTTTTTATTATTATTATTTTCTTTTTCCGATTTCGTTCTTTCCTTTTCTTTCTGACTTTTCTTGTTTTCCCCCCAGACTTGATCTAGACACACTTATTCGTTTCATCTTGACTGTCCGCAAGGGTTACCGTCCTGTGGCATATCATAACTGGGCGCATGCCTTCTCTGTGGCACACAGCATGTGCATCGTCATGAAAGAAGCCGCTGGAATATTTACCTGGGAGGAGGTATGATGAATACGTTAAAGACGAAGGAGCTGTGTGACGAAATTGAGCTAAAATCCCCCATTAGAAACTGATCACCAAATTAGGTGAAATATAAAAATAAACGGACGGGCTATCTTTTGTAATTTGCAATAATTAGTTTTACTGTTTGGGCCAGTCTAGTTCCCAAGAATTAGAGCAACCCTCAGAAAATCGTATTACACTGTATTCGTCGATATTACGAACGTTAGACAAAAATGCCTCTTTTCAAGAACATGCACATGCCAGAATGATGGCATAAGAGGGGCGCCGGATACCGCACACGTTTTATGTCAGTTCCGAGGCAAACCACTGCTTTGGATAACCAAAACTCTGTGCTATGCTCTGTCATGAGTGTAGCATCCTGTAAGGACCATGCAATGCCTTAAGCGTCCTGTGTGGCGATGAATTATGAATGAATTACAGTCGAAACTAAGATAACAGACAGACCAGTCCATTTTCAAAGAGAATTAAATTGTTAGTCAGGGCCGTCCACTGGGGCCTGTTTCTCGAAAGTCCCGGTAACTTTTTGGGTCCTAAGGCAAATTTTGGATTCAAAACCTGTTGAAGAGTTGCGCATTTCGTAGTTCACAAACCGATCGATTTTTACTTTGTTAACTGATACTTTCATTGTATCGTTTTCAAAATTGTTAAACTTGAATGCATGAACACGACAAACATAAAAGAGCTTTTCGGGCCCGAAAAGTTATCGGGACTTTCGAGACACGGGTCCAAGATCACAACTCCAACCCTAAACAGAATGCACCGCGGTGATGGTTTTTTGTGGAAGCACTTTTCACTAGCGACGGAGTCGGAGTCGGAGTCGTAAGAGCGCTTATGACCTTGTGAAAATAAAAAATCGGAGTCGTAAGTGGAGTCATAAGCTCGACGGAATCGGAGTCCGAAGAGTCGGAACGTTTACATTTTCTTCTGACTCCGTCGCTTCGTTCCGCTTATGATCTAGTGAAAACCAGATTGTCGAAGTCGGAAGCAGAAGCAGAAGCGGAGGGATAAACCAATCACAATGCACGTTCCCACGCTTTGTGCGGATTGGTTTAGTTTTTCCGCTTCTGCATGCGACTCCGACCAACCAGTTTTCACTTGATCGTCAGCGGAATCAGAACGCTGTTTTCAGTAGATCGTAAAGTTCTACGCTTCTGATTACGACTCCTACACCGACTCTGTCGATAGTGAAAACCAGCCTCAAAATAGCTGGTTTTTAGTTCTGACCTTTTGTGGGGCTCAACTGACATATAAAACGCTGCATTTTTATAGTCACCTATGCGGACACCTCTCCCAGGCGGAAACTGTCTTCCGGTCCTATATGCAATGTTCGACTGTATAGACTTAGTGTCTTCTAACATTCGGCGTAGTGGCGTTTTAATATTTGACCGAACAACTAATCAGAGAAAAACCTCTATTTCTTTTCTCAGAAAATTGCGTTGTATCTTTCGTGTATCATTCACGACATCGATCATCGCGGTTACAACAACGCGTTCATGATCAAAAATAAGTCTCCACTGAGTCGTCTGTATTCCACATCGACCATGGAATGGCATCATTTCAAGCAGGGAGTTTTTATCCTAGAGGTAATGATCGTACGTCTTTCCTTGCGCTTCTCAATAGACTCATCCACCGATGTTTTCAACCGTTTTGGTTGGGACCTGTTAGGATAAATCCATTACACCGCTGGAAAGAGCATCTTAAAAAATTGTTAAAAACTCACGAACGTATAGCTCTGCAAAGTCGCGTAATTTTACAGACGCGGGCGTTTGTATAAAGGTGTGGGGCAAGTTCGTGCCCTCTCCATACAAACGTCTATAAACGTCGCGACTTATTGGAGAAATATCTTCGCTAGCCTTGGACATATGACCTTTGAACTTAATTGGTTAGCTTACTACCTTATTATAGGAAATTAACGCTCCATGAAATTAAGGTATTGGAAATTAACGCGACTTAAATTAACGCGAATTTTAACGATTCGCGTTAATTTCATGGAGCGTTAATTTCCTATAATAAGGTAATTTTAAGGCCCTGACTTTTCAAGGGTATTTGTTCACTGGTCTTTTATAACTGAAAAAAGACAAACAAACACTTCTCTGGATGACTTCTTTTGTAACGACCCTACTGCTTTCTCATGTAAACCGTAGGAACGAGAAGAGAACCAAGGTAGTATGTTTTAAAACAAGGTCAACCCTACATTTGCATTACCTCAAAGGTTATGTAGGTACTTAACGTATAACCATAAAACTTTCCAGTTCCTTTATCAATCATCGAAAGAACAAATTAAAGTAGTATCTTTTCGCCGCTGCCTGAGTTAATTCACCGAAAGATTTGTTTTGGCCCGAAAATGGTGCTTAACACAGTCTAATTTGGTCCAATTTATCTCTAGTTACGACCAACATAGTCCAAGTTGTCACCATGAACTCACGAAATGAGTCCCAAAGCGGGCTGAAATAATTGTTTGTAACTGTTTTGACATGAATTGATCTTACGAGAAGCCAAATCAGGGTCCAGATCATTCGAACCAGCATTGTACTTTTTCTTAGTTCCCGTTAGTTAGGATGTTATAATGATCTTCAGTTAGGTCACCTTTGAATTTAATCTAACTTGCATGAGATATTCCTCTGGGGTAGGTAAAGTTAAGCGTGTAATATGAGATGAATGCGTAATCAAACAATTCTCAAACTAGTTTTAAACTGTGGTTCGAATAGGCATTACAGTGAGCTTTATTGTAAAGGGCTAAATAGTAAGTCTGTCTTAATCCCAACAGAGAGACGGTCATAATGTTTTGAGTGCTCTTTCCACGAAACAGTTCAAGGATATTCTCGAGCTTATGGAAGATGCCATTTTAGCAACAGACTTGATGTTGTTCTTTGAAAACAGAGCAAAGCTTGAAGCGATTATTAAGAACGACAAATTCGGTTGGAGTATTCCTGAGCACAGGTAATGTTAAGAATCTGTTTGTTAAAGTTCACACAAGTGTCAGTCGAAACTGCATCCAAAACTCAGAGTTGATTTTTTCATTGAGAACGAAAGATCACGATGTAGTGGGTCTAGTGGTCAGGACTCGAATAATTTAAGTTCTGAAATCAGCTGCGCAAAAAACCATCGATGGTATTTAGAAGCTAACAGGGGTGTTCCTTTTCAGGAGACTTGTTCGTCGTATTTTGATGACTGCGTGTGACCTTTGCACCTCTGCCAAACCTTGGTCCATTCAAGTTGTTTCCGTCAAGAAAGTGTATGAAGAATTCTACTTACAAGTGCGTATCTTCTCTTCTTCTTTTCCCAATCAAATGCAATCCTGTTTATGCAGTGCATGACATTGTTATGTTTTCCTTGCTACTTTGGCATAAAAATCTTTTCCCTTCACCTTACTCACTAAAAGTACGTTAGAATTTTGAAGGTACATTCGTCAATGCATCAGTTGCGTGCGAGCAACAAGAGAAATAGATCAATGAACAGTCCAAGGAAGCAGGAAAAAAATTACTATCGCAATTTTTTCTTAGATTATTGATCAGTACCCCCTCCCCCCGCTCGCTTCCTCTCACATCAGTTTAAAGAGTTGTGCCCACTGTGGTCACTTGATGCAAACTCGTCTGTTGAATGTTGAAGGGGTATTATTTGTTAGTGCCCATTTCTCTTAGTACTACGATATCCAAAGACGTCATTGTATATAGAATTTAAATGCCGTTGGATGAATACACCCTGTAGGATTGATCGGAAAAGTTTAAACGATATATTACGTACATGAACAGGGTGACGAAGAGAAGCAGATGGGTTTGACGCCAATTCCGATGATGGATAGAACCAAGAAACACGAGATTCCTCAAAACCAGGTAAGGGGCCGACCATTTAACTCTTGAGGGGAGGGGTGGGTGATTTCTGGTCATCAAGAATTTTTTTTTCTAGCAATCTGGTGGGCAGGATATTTTTTCCCTTTTTTTTCCATAAGCTTTCTATTACATTTGTGCTGCATGCAATTTTTTTCTTCCGACAAGCGCTTGCAGGAAATTTTTTTTCAAAATCACCCACCCCCTCCCTCAAGAGTTAAATGGTCGGCCCCTAAGTTATTACTTTGTTTCTATACTACGTGTATCCGGCCCATGTCTGAATATGCCTGCCAAGTTTTCCACAATGGTCTGCCTGAGTATCTCTCTGAAGAGCTAGAGAAAATTCAGCGCCGTGCACTTAGAATTATTTTCCCAGATTTAGGCTATCAAGAGGCTCTCAAAGAGTGCAATATTACCACCCTCCATCAACGGCGCCAATGGCTGACAGAGCGCCTATTCAATGAGATTAAGGACAACAGCCTCCACAAATTTCGTGGCCTTTTGCCGCCACGTAATCTTAGTACTGTAGCCTTAAGGAGAAAGCGCGCTTTTAACGTGCCTCTTTGTAGAACAAATAGACTAATGAATAGTTTTATCATGCATAACGCGGCTATTTTGTAATGGTTTTATTGTAAATTCGCGGCTATTTTCTTAAATTTCATGACGTAGTATCTTTGTTCCTTTGTTTTATTTATTTACTGTTATTGATTTATAATAGTTAGTCTTAGTATTCAACGTATTGTACAGTCCGTAATCCAGCCCTTGGGCTGCAATGGATTTTTAATAAAGCTATCTATCTATCTATCTATCTATCTATCTATTAAGCAGCAATACAACTGATACACCCTCATCATGCTCCAACACCTCACTATCATCACTATCATCATCATTATCATCACCGCCACTATCACCATTGCTATCACTTTCGTCATTGTTATCACTATCATCATCATCAGCAGCAGCAGCAACAGGTAGACATATTAAATTCTGCAAGCAGAATATTGCAATGCTGATCGTACTACGTAAAAATTAACTTTGCAAGACATCAACACGACACCCGAAAGAACCCAAAACAGAGCGGGATTGAAGCCATAGACAGTTGTTTCACTATTATTATAGTTCATCAGTTTGGCGTAACAAAAGAGCTCTGCTGAAAAATAAGCTGCGCACTCTGATTTAAGCAACAGCTTTATCGTTACCAGCAGTAGCAGTAGTGGTAACAGCTCCAGCTCCAACATCACCTCCGTCGTCATCATTATCATCATTATCATCATCAAAAGCAGCAGCTCCACCACCACCACCACCATATTCATCATCGTCATCGTCATCATGGTCGTCTTTTTCGTCGTTTGTTACAAAAATGTAATTACTTCTTTGTCACAGCTTCTCATCTCTACGCAGCTCCAGATTTAACGAATCCCATGTTTCTCAACCAAATAGACCTTTAAAGCTTGTTGGGTTGTTTGTTTTAATATAAATTTCAGTCAACATGATTTTACTGTATATGCAATGCCTTAGCAATGGAACCCCGGCTTCCGACCATCCCATTATTATAACTACCCGGTATGCACGGCTTTTACTTAGCATTTCCCCGAAAGCCTTGTTTATGTGACCACCTCATTAAGCATTGGTCCAGCATTGGTCGCATGGAAGGCGGTCTTAAAATCAACAGTTCTCTTTTTCAAATTCACCGTATTCAGCTGTATGACATGAATGCATACCGAGAGAAAGTTATATGGACTAAAGCGTGTAAAAACCACCCAAGTTCTCAAATGTAAATGGAACAATTTGACAAGAAAATCGATCAGCTCACACCAGTTGTTTAGGTTGCACAAATTCAGCAGTCAGGCCCTAGTTGTTTTTAAACAACATGTACAATGCTTTCCACCGGATACATAAGTCTTTAAGAAAACTAATTGTGCCATTCAGTGGAAGCTGCTGACACCAGTTGTATGTATAATCGATCTTGAACTCGTAAATTCATGCAGTCATGTTGATTTTTTATAAATTCTTTTTAGGTTGGATTTTTGAAAGGCATTGTCAAACCCTGTTACTCAGTCCTTGCTAGTGTCCTCCCAATGCTGGAACCGACACTAGGCATTATTGAGTAAGTGTATGTGCATCGCTCCAACTTATCTCTCCCCTCGTATCTTACAGCAAAGCGGAAGGGAAAACCGCAAAAGTGCGCGACCCTGGAGTAAGACGACATAAATGTGAAAATTGTTCTTTAAGTTCTGGCTTCTTTCAGGGGAGGAAAATTCATCTAAGTATATTTGTTTTAGCAATTAGCTCTTTTATGAGCAATAAGTATTGAGGCGTTTTCTCCAGTAGAATTTAATATCGATTAAAGGTGTGAATGGTGTTTATGATTAAGAGATAGACAGGAAGATTCGCATCGACGATTTTTAGGACAACACAGCTTTGCAATGTTGGAACAATGTTGTAGCCATTCCAAACAATTTTGCAAGAATGTACGTTAAAAATCGTCGCTGCCAATCGTCTCATGTTACATCACCTTAAGATACTGCGCAAATATTACGTGACTCATTCCCTGGATAAACGGAAGTCAACTCTTGCATTTCCAGCAAGGTGAGTTGATGTGAAATCAATCGTCACTAATTCAAATGGAGATCTGCAGCTGACTTTCTTGTAGAGGTTATAGTATACAAGACCGTGAGGCCCCATAACTGTCATTAATAGATCCGCTGCCTTTGTGGTATGTTTTCTCCCTTTAATTTCGAGTCATCAAGATGTAGAAATGAGAATTGAAAATGCCGCACGAATTTAATCGGAATAACGGTCCACTATTTCCTTGCTGACAGAGGCCTCTTTTCCCTTGTAATTCGCTCGCTGGGTTACAGGGGAACAGAGGCCTCTGGTAGCAGGGAAGTCCACCACATGTGTGTTGAGCTATGGAAGATTCAGTTGGAAGTAATCAAACAACTGTGATATCGGCAGTTCTCTTTGAGTCAACAAGATCATTTTGTTTATTGTTTTGCTTGTTTGTTTGTTCGTTTCAATTTGTCTTGTTTGTAAATCACTCAATGTTTTATTTTTTCTTGTTTACTATTTTTTATTATTTCAGTTTAAATGTAACCGCGTGGGAACGCTGCATTGCGCAGAAAAAGACCGCTGATTCAGAACCACTTGAAGATCCTGATTCAGATGACCTCAAAGAGTCTTGCTCATTCTTCGATTATTGAATACCTTATATTTTTTCAAAATAATTTTATAATAAAATCTAGCTTCAAAATCAAATTCTAAGACTTCCACTTTTAACATTAAACTGATGACACTTGAAGTCCACCATATGTCATCAGTTCTTTAAGTCATTTGTTTATTACAAGAAACTTATTGAAGTTTTCTAAGTTGTTTATGATATGATTTCAATCTTTGAATCCGTTTTCTCTGTTACCTTTTTTCTTTTTTTACATAACCGGTTTTGTATATTTATTGGGTACCGGTATTTTCTATTGGCAGGTATTTTGTTTAATTCTCTTTGCGTAAAAAAGGTACTGATTTGTTTTAAAAGAAGCATTTTGAAAAGAGCAGAATTTATTTATTTGGTGAATGTAGAATTATTTACGTTGTTACATGTTGACACTTTTATTCAATAACCTTCACTGTACTCGACCTATATAGTAAGAGAAAAGTTCTTTGCCAAAAAAGACATGTACATATTGTGAAATTAATTTCCTTGAGAGGACGGGACATCTTGTAAAAAAGACCAGGGAATTAAGCCGTGAACTTCACTTGGTTATTTTCTGAATGGCAATATTTTACAAAGTCAAACTTTGGAAACATTTTGATTTGTACAAACAACACAATGAATAAAGCGACTAACAGATATATTTTTAAGTATTAACTGTCCGTTTTAATTGCGGATGAAGCGCTTCCTTTGTAGTTGTACCCCCGTTCTCTCCCAGTAGTTAGCAAAAATAATTGACGAAAAAAAAAAGCATTTCTAGGTTTATTATCCGTAGAAACCTCAGTAGGGTTGAAAGCCCGTCGTTTATCTCCAACCTCTACAGCTCCTGGTGACAGTGTAACCTACAGCCGCAAATTTCTCCCGAAACGGAGCAGATCGACAATTTGTCCATAAGTGAATTCGGTTTTTAAAAAGTAAACTAATATTGAAAGAGTGCATTATTCAAGATAAGCTTCAGGTTCCTGGAGTTCGTTTATCAACCAGACTAACAGTTTTTTTCCCCTCCAAATCAAATGTACTACGAAAACCGTTCCTACATTGGTACAGTTGGTGTGTTGAGTGAAGTCATTCATGTTCTTGGGCACCTTTGTCTTCGCCGCATGTAAGGGAATTCGGACTCCGTAATCTGGGAAGTTTTTGCATGTGGAATCCGAAATCTGGGAAATTTTGCTGGTGGAATACGGAATCCCACTAACGATTGAAATCCCGAATCCAAGTTCCACTGACAAAGAATCCAGAATCCAGTATCTGAAATCAGGAATCTAAGTCGTGGAATCCAGAATCTGAGACCGTTTGGATTCGTACATTGGGCGAATGTTATCATATGCATATGGGTAAAAGTAACAGTGATCCTGCTATGTATCCCAAAAGTAGTTTGTTTCACTTTTTGTCTTCCAAAAGACTTTTTTTGATAGCAGCGCCTTGTGGCTGTTTGCAAAAACAAAAAAAAGAATCCTGGCCATATTGATCTAAACTATACCCCTAATTCACCCTGCCAGTCTAATCAGGGGCGGATCCAGGATTTTTTTTAGGAGGGGGTGCACTCGTCTCTTGCTCTTCTTCAACACCAATAAACCACATAGTTTTTTTTCGCAGAATACCAGTTGTATTAGAAAACCGCAGTTCATCTCGGTGGTGGTGGGGGGGGGTGCGCACCCCTGCACCCTCCCCCTAGATCCGCCCCTGTGAATGAACTGGCTACTTTCTTCCAAAACATGGACTTTTTCACTTTTCTTCCAGTAAAATTTTTCTAAGCTTTTTACCTGAAAGTTTAAGAGAGCAAGGATAGAAGATATTTTAAGGCAGCAAGAACGGTTCACTACTGAGAGACCTTTCTCGCTTCAGTCTTGTCAGTATGATCCGGGTTGCGACGCCATTTGTGAGCTAAGTCATGTTGAGTTTCCACCTTATTTCAAGACGTTTTCTTTTTGTGCGAGAAATACTTTGCTTTTACCACCCCTTGAAACCGATATCCTTAAATTTGAGTTTCTGGATACCCTACCACTAAAATCACACCAATTTTACTAGATTTTTCAGGGAATTTGTTTTTGTAAAGTTAAAACTGATAGTAGGCAAAGGAAGGAAAACTGACCATCAAATATATGTTGTTCCTTTTTCAGCTAGATCCCCGTTAAGTGCATAACTAAATAACAACACAATTTTTGTCTTTGATCTGCACTTTATGAACTTTATTGAATTGTGAAAAGGATGAATATGATATAGTGTCACTCATGCAGGTTCTTTGTTCAGTCATTTTTTAAAATAAAGTTCGTGCGCAATTAAAGCATTCACTTAGTCAGCAGCCAGTATTCTTTGCAACGCCACCTGCAAAATAACAATCATTGATGTTACTTCAAAGAATGAAGAAACGTCGGTGTTTTCCCTTTTTACACAGGAACTGAATCGTTTTCGCAGGAAGCAAATGGTCCTTCTGACACCCTAATAGTGAAACAGGGGTGGTGGTAGTTTTAAGTAGAATTTCAGTCTTGGAGTACTGGAGGTGCCTAGCATTTTAGATGTCGTTCTGTCATATACTTCGTGTAACTGTAGAGCTGGCATTTTGTGTACGGCGTTTGAATTAATAGCCAATGATGAGCATGTTGCTATAGTAAATAAATTAATGAGATGCTTATTCACCTTATTCAGGAAAATATGATTGGAAGAGATGAAATAATATCGCTGAGTTATATTAAATGTAAAGAATCACAAACCTGTTTCTAGTGATAAATACGTTTTCTTTTAGCCAGCCTCATGAGACGATCTAAGTAAGATTCCTCCTCCAGAGACGTGGCTCTTTTCTGGGGGCTACCTGAACTGGGTGGTGAGCCAGATGGCTGAGGACCTGAAGATGCCGGGCGAGATGGTCGAGGGCCAGAAGTTGCCGGGCCAGAGGGTCGAGGGCCAGAAGTTGCCGGGCCAGAGGGTTGAGGGCCAGAAGTTGCCGGGCCAGAGGGCTGAGGGCCAGAAGGTGCGGGGCCAGAGGGTTGAGGGCCAGAAGGTGCCGGGCCAGAGGGTTGAGGGCCAGAAGGTCTTGGGCCAGATGGCTTTGGACGGGAAGGTCTTGGGCCAGATGGTTTAGGTACGGTAGGTCGTGGAGCAGACAGCAACTTGTGAACAGCGACACCCACAAGGAAACCTCTTCTTATTTCTCCCAGTGTAAACTCTCCAACACGTTCATGTGCTGCGTCAAACTCACCAGAGCGCATAAGGGCTCCAACCGTCTTAGCCATTTCTTTGAAAAGAGAAGTAGATGAAGACAACTCAGTTAAAGCGAATGAACATTTTTACATCAAAAGTAAGGAATTTAAAATAATTTACCCGGGACAACCTTTCCTTTTTTATATAAAAAAAATTAAGTTCTAGATCGGGATCCCACAGTGGAACCCCTTTACGAGGCTCTTATAAGTGGCCACCAGCTGGCCGCTATTAACAGAGGCCAGGGCCCGATTCCTCGAAGATGGTTAAATTTAACCCACAATTAAGCCAAAATTTTAAACACGGTTTTCCTGTCTTAGAACATGCAACTCGAGCTTACAAAATATTGTTGAACCTTTACTCTGATATACGGTAATGATAGAACAAAATGGTACTCTAAGCAACAACGGAACAAAATTTTAATTCTGGATTAGCGCTAATAGGTCTTTCAGGAACCGGGCCTTGGAGGATGAAATTTTCAGCAAACAATCGGAGGGGAAAAAACTTTACAAAGTGGCTACAAGTTTGTTCTTGAAGGTTTGGCTGTAGTTCGTTTGATCCCATATTTCACTATCATAACAACCAACTACTTTCAAGGTATATGTCTTGAGAGCAAATTAGTAAACTAAGACTAGCCTCCCTCGAAACCTTAAGCGAAGAGCCTCTGAGAAATTTTCTACCGAGTCTTAAACACATCAGAGTGATCAATTTAACTATATTACTCTTCTATACATGTGGGCCTTGCGTTAGATAGGGTCCATGTGAAAACAACGACGAATTGACAACGTTTACATTTTAGTGAGTGAAACCAGTTCAATTTTCACATGTAGCAATCGATTCTGGGTCATGCCACTGACATTCTCTTCCACGGCCCCAAAAGACAATTCTTTTAAAGTTTTTCAAGAATGCGAATGGCAATGTGATAAATTGATCTGTTGCTACTTGCATAAGCTCAGATATGATTTATCTATTCATGTTGGGTACAACTTGCTGATAGTTAACCCTCATAAAGTAAGGTCTCAAATATTTATTCTAGGGTATGATCGAGGTAAGGAGCTAAGAGAGCAAATCCCTATGCTGTAAAGTACACATACCTATATAGCGTTTATGAGCAATCCCTTGCAGAAATTGTATTTTTTTGCCAAGATGGATTGCCTGAAAAAAAATGTATAAGTAAACTGCAGGGTCATTTCTCATGTGGTCCATGTACATGGGGGCGTGTGTGTGCGTGTCCTCCAATCAAACAACTTTTAAGGACCTCTTATATGTATTGAAACAGTCGATAATGCTCCAAGCTAGATAGCTCTTTAAGCGATTTTTAGGTGTTTGTTTTACTTTTCATAAGTATTCTTTTTTTCTCTCTCTCCTTTTTATTGTGGTATAAAGTTCTGGTCTTGTCTTATCTCGTCCACTACAGAATGCTCGAAAACTGTCGAATTTTCATCTAAAGGGCTACTTCAATGTGACTGTTTGCTTGTATAAAAGATGTACAACTCTTAACTCTTTTGTATAAAGTATAGCTGTACAGAGGAACAATCGGCTATCTTGTTGGTGTCGTTTTTTTCCACTTTTTTTATCAGAAAGAGTGTAAAGAGTCATCTGAGATGACTGCATCTATTTCTACTTACATTAACGACGGTATCGGCAGCAAAGCGGACGAGTCTCACTAAAATAGGAAAAAAAATAAATTAGAATATTACAGTAAATTTTACTGGGTTTTAGTTCTAATCAGCAGAACAAGGAAGTTTTCTTTTGTCGTTGACAAAGTTTTTGGAAGCGATTAAGGGTTGACTAAGAGAAAAAGTTCGGTAGAGTAGGATTTCCAAATGAAAAGCTCATCGCAAAATTCCTAATATAATTTTAATGCAAGTAAAGGGTTACCTTCTTGGCATCGGGTAAATACGAGATTCAGGTATCGTTCCTTGATGCTTTGGCCTGGCGAAAGAGATTCCACTAATCCTGCAATACAAAAGAAATTCACATTGAATAACGAGGACTATATACGAGATGACAAAAACGAATCCAAAAGTGCGTTGGATTTTGGATTCTTTCTCAGTGGAACCCGGACTCCGGATTCCAGATTCCTTGTGTACTGGATTCCAATGCCCAGGATTCCGGATCTCACAGCAAAAATATGCTGCATTACAGATTCCACAAGCATAAATTTCCCGGATTCCGGAAACAGGATTCCCCGTTACATGGGGCGAATTATAGCGGAGCTCCCGCGCGCGCGAAGCGCGCGCGCAGCGGAGCACCATGGGTAAGAAAATTTGGTAAACTATCCATCCCAGAAAATTTGGTTATGACGTAGCGTACGCCCGTCCGTACACACACTTCATGTAAGCCGATGTCAAATGTCACAATAGATCTTGCACAACTTGATTAGCCTCTTAGTTATGTAAGCCATCCGTATGTGTACGATTAGATTGACAGCTGTCAAAATCAGACATCCGCTGACAATTATCACATGACCGTCTCGCGGGCTCAGATAAAAGGCTAGTCGTTTTGCCCCTATATATAAGCTGATATAATATGTCACACTTACCAATTCAAAATAAAAACGAAACTACGGCGGGCAAGGCTGTCAATTGGCTGACAGTCGTTTAAAGTTACATTGGCAAGCCAAATTAAGGACAATTGACAGCTGTCAAAATGGGACACGTGCAGACCGCTTTCAGAAAACTGATAACGAGGGCTCAGGCTCGCTCAGGTACACGATCTGGCATTTTCCACTACATTCCGGACGGAAATGTCCTACTCACACTCGTAGTCTGTTAATTCGAATATTCGCCATTCTAATGAAGGTTAATTGACAGCTGTCAAACTAGAGTATACGCTGACCATCATCACCTGAGTGGATCGCGGGCTCATTTTTCTATCTATTGAGGTCACGTAGTGTTTAAAGTTTTGCGCTGATATTTTATTTGATCACGGGCTCAATTCGAAGCCCCATAGCTTTATAGAAAATCTATTTATAGAAAATTCGGCAATCACGTGACCGTACACCGACCACCCGACCTTCCGTCCGTCCGCACCACAGGCATACCAATGTTTAATCTCACACTTTCTAGCTAGTTTGGGAGCCCGCAACCTGATATTGTACATCCATGTTTTGATTAATTGACAGCTGTCAAAACAGTGTTTCTGCTGACCAGTATCGCCTGACCGTATCGCGGGCTCAGGTATCGACCCTCTGAGTTCGAGTAATATTTTGAAGGTATTCGCTGACAAGTTGCTACTTTTCAAATGATCGCAGGCTCAAGTTCAATTTTTTTAAAATGCATATGAAATAAGTCGTGTTTCAAGAGCCACTGTTTTAAAATGTTGATTTCGAACTGATCTCGGACACGAAAATTCAACCGGCTTTTACATTTACATGCAGGGAAGGCAATCGCTTCTGACTTTTTTCACTGTCACGCGTTGATCACGCTCTACGTCCAATTTTTATGTTCTGATTGGTCAAAATTTGACAGGTGAGTTTATGCGGAAAATTTTTGCAGCGTCTGGAAACTTGCTTACTGATAGCTGGAGCTGAGAGAGTTTTGTGTCATCTTGTGATGTTTTAAACTGTCTTTTTCTACTTGGTGTACAAAATGAAAAACAGCTGCTATCAAGATTGTTCTGTAATTCGTGGCTGGTTTGTTTATTGCGCTTTTTTTGACAAATGCACCGCTTGTCAAAGTCATTGGAAATCCGATTTCGGATAGCATCGTTTTCAGAAATGAGCTTACTCACTTGCCCTTGCTTGAGGCGTAAGAAGGTTGAAAAGTCTCAAGCGATTCTGGAGCACTTGATGACCTTCAGAAGCAGCATCTCGACTGGTAAGCTTGAGCCATTATTGTTTCTGATGTTTTTTTTTTTTCGAGCGTATGGTTTATGCGGCTTAAGTTAAAACACGAGCAATGATCTAACCTACAATAGTATCAGGTTTAAAAAGCCTTTAGACATTTTTTGACCCGCAAATTCAAAGAAAAGGTCCCGAAGATTATTTAGTTATGATTTTGGCTGTAAACAGAAAGCTCTGAGCGATTTTCATGCCTCGAGTTCGTCTTGAAAAAGAGCGAACACCGGGAAGCCGGCTTAAAACATAAATAAGCTTATGCTTGCCTGACTCATGATTTTCTGAGACACTTTACTATCAATGCTTCTCTTCGTGAATGAAAATTATTGTCTCTGTACATGTTTCACCGAATTAAACTTATTTTATTGATTGTTAGTAGCCCCTCTCGCAATTTTCATCGCTGCACCGGTTGTTTCCAGTCGAACATAAACATCGCATGTAGGAATACTCAAAACGCCGCGCGTAAATATCACTCGCTTTTAAAGATTACACATAACAAAATCATACACAGTTTAATGAATAAAGGGAAATAAAACCTAAACATAACAATTTCTCTATCATGTTGAAGCGTAAATGGTAACTCTATTAATCGCACTGCAAATTTGGTGCCTGTCAAAAGTGAGAACCCGTCCGGCTGGCCGAAAAGTGATTTTGGGAATTTTTTTTATCGTTTTCATTAAAAGCCCATAATTATTACCCCGCATATCACATAGGACCAGATTTTTCTTACAGAAAACGTTTTATAATTCAATGCTATAATTTGTTGTGCAAAGGAAGCGCGTGCTTTGATCGTCGTGGATATTGAATGAGTGCAAATTGTCTTGCAAAATTGTGAAAAACTGCAGGATTATAGGTTTAAATAGGGCAAAAAAGAACAAATTCTGTCCGAGGTCTCTGAGACGTGATAAGAAAACGTATGTTTAAAAGGCTGGTATACACGCCACCAGACTCGTCGCCAAGATTTACTAGTAAACTAAACTTGTCGAACACAAAAATCTGGCCTGATTTTTATTTTGGCCTCTCTTTTCAGTCTTTTAAACAGAGGAATGCAACGTGTAAATTGGCTGCCACCAAGGACTATCGTGGCGCATGTGTTTCTTGAAATTATATTTCGGGGTTGTCCAATTATCCATAGTCTCTCTAACGGAGCAATGTTGGAGAGACTGGTGAATGCCACACTATGATGCTACAGCTAATGCAAATACAATACACGAATAGGTCTATTTGTTTTCGAGGCCTAATCTACTGTGATCGAACATGATTGCTATTTTTCGGTGTACAAATAACTTGATGTAAAATTTGTTTCACTCTTGGACGGTCAAATTCTGAGTTTTCTCTAAAATCACTCAGCCTTTGCCTCAAAAGTCAAATGAATGTGCCCTGATCTGTGGATTACAAGTTTATTGTTTGATTTAAATTATGAATTTATTAACGGGAGCTTCGCTTTTAGCCCTGGCTAAATCTATATATTAGATACGGTTCAAAGCGTGAACGGGATAGTAATCACACACCTGTTGTGCACTTTTTGTTCTTCCTGTCATAGAGAAAGGAAATAACTTTGTCCTGAAATCCCGCTACGAAGTCAGCATCTGGATCATGTTTGGCTATCATTTCCCCAATTTTTCCAAGCAGACCTGAATGGTAATCAGAATAATAAAGAACGGTAAAATTTACTCAAAAAGGCACATAAATGAATTGGCCTTGATACTACATTATTACTAATCTGTTCCGGAGGTGTATTCAACAAAGTTTTATGCGGGGAAACTCCGCACCGAGCTACTGTAGGTCCAACGCCTAACCCTTTTATGTACTATATTTGAGATTTAAAAAAATCCCTTTCCTATTACCTAGTTTAGTTTTTTTCCATCCCTTTTAACTACTGTAAATTCAAAGTCTTTAAGATATGAGCAAATCACGAAACCAAAGTGTTTTCTCCACCTTTACACGGCCATGAAATGCATCTGATAGCTCTTTTGGACCTTTTTACAACCAAAATGACAAGTTTCCCCACCTTTTTATATAGCTCAAAAGGTGAAATCTCTACCCTTTCATATACCTGAAGCCTGAAAAAGGTAGCCTTTTCGGGCTAAAGAAGGGATAAAGAAGTATAATTCTTAAGTAAATAATTACCATCTAATTTTACGTCACAGCCAACTTCAGTTAGAAGGCCTCCTACGGCCTTAATGGCCAGAACACCAGGGTGATCTTGAATCCCATGTTCGTAAGCCTTACGAAGAAACGCTTCAAAGACATCTATAGCAAAAAATAAACACTGTTAATTTAAATTGCCAGGTATGACTTTGCTATTTTTTTGAGTTTGCAAAAGAATGGAGGATATTCTTTCTACGATTATGATGGCGGCCAAGATGACCAGCATGTTGGGTGACGTCACAGGCCTCCAGCAGCGCCACCATCCATACAAAAATATACCTCATCTTTTTGACCGGATCGAAGGCTTTCCACTGAATGCATTATCGTTTGGAAATACTGCAACACATAAAAACTATAGGGAGGGGTTCCATCAACCCCACCTCCCCTCTTATACTTTGGTCAGGGTATCAATTGTTGCCCAACTTTCTGTTGTTAAAGTCAGTTTATTAAGCATTTTGCTATAACTGAAAACTGTCTGGGAAAATGCCCACCTACACTTCCCCTAAGTTACCATTTTGCTCTAAATGAGAACTAAGTGTTAATGTTAGCTTAGGGGAGGGGTAGGAGAGCAGTCTCCCAGAAACTCAAATTGATCCGGCTCCTCTACTTACCAGCCTCCTTAGGCTCTGCTTCTTCCAGAACTTTACCCATAATTGCTGTAAAATCTAAGTCGTCATGGCCTAACATGTCTAACAATCCTGTTAGAAAGAACGTGAAAGCAGGTAAGGTTAGAACATTTGTATGGAATTTTAAAAAGACGCTGAAGTATCCGAAAAATTTTTAAGGTTGGAAAAACTGTTTCGTGTGTTTAACGTACTCGTCAAAGTTGAAAGACAATTTTGACCGCTTTAATTCGTTAATTGTCCCTTCAGTTCATTCATCATACTCATTTTCGTTTTCCATTTTTTAAAGATAAAAAAAATGAAAGCAAACAAACACTCCTACAGAATGATGAAAACAATGTCTCTTTAACTGACTGAGGGTAGTCTTTAAAAGCATGATTTTTATTAATATACTAAAATCAAGCCTCTGAGTTCTACAAAGAAATCAGATTCATGCTAATTAAATTCGAATTTACAGTGAATAACTTGAAAAGGAAGACAACAGACATTTAGAGAGTTTGACGATGGATGTCTTGAAGTCTTTGAAAGATTTATAATGTTCCATATTGTCTTCAAGACTTGCCAATTGACAGTCTCCCTAACTTACCAGTTTTGTTAGCAAGTTTGGCAAATTTCAGCTTGATTTGTTTGCAACCTCTATGCAGTTTTATAATGTGTTCTCCTAACAGGGCTTCAACAGCGTTGTCACTTTTCCTAGGGTTCCTTAAAGCTCTGACAAACTGTCTCGCATATTCTAAATCATGATGATAAACACAATGCGTTATTACTATACAGCTGCATGCCAGTACTCTAAAGTGAGTAAACAAAAGTAATCTTGAAGTTAAGGCAGAACTAAGGAAGAATCGATGAGGTACAGATAATGACAATCATCATCATAATCATCATTTTTCCAGTTATCGGAGGCACCTTATATTGTGACGTTTGTCAGTTAGCTGGTTTCGATATTAGAGTAATGGATGATTAAACAATTGATTCAGTTATGTTGTTAAAGCAAAAAAAAAAAAAAAAGAAAACATTGCGCTACAATTCGACAATAACAATTGTATTTACCAGAAGCCGGCTCCTATACTTACACCCTCTCAGGAGAGACATTTAATATTCTAGAAATTCATATTGTCGGAATGACCTAGCTCTTGTAAGTGGTGCATTCAGTTTTTTCCAGTCTGAGTAATCAAAAGGCGCTTTGCAACGTCAAGGTTGTCAGGAAGAGAGACTAGTATGTTTACTAAAGCTACTCCTGAGACGTCCGCACATTTAATCGATTGTTTGAAACGACTTAAAAGCGCACGCACGACTGCCTCAAAGCAGACAATGCAGATTATGGTAATGACCATTGTTTAAATTTCTCTTAACAACACTAGAAAAACGTTTGCGGACCCCTAGGGAAACAAACCTTCGAATAATTTCAAGAGTTCAACTGGTCTAAAAACAACTTCGGTAACTGAGTTCAAAAACCGCAATGGCTGAACTGGGCGTTCCCCTCTTAGTCCTATTATTACTTGGTTTCAGCTAATATAATGTAATTAACACTATATACATAATACCAAACAGTCAACTGCTATTAATTATACCACCTGCACACCAGCCCAAAACAGAACTGATTTAATATTTACCTTTGCTTCGCTTGTCTCTGGCCTCTTTCAGTGTCTTGACAGCAGGAACGATTTTCAGCAACTACAATGAAACATCAGAGTTATCAAAACAACCAGCAACGATCTGTACAGTAAAGCAAATGATTCCCAGACCTCACGCTGAGTCAGTTCTATCTCAATCCTGGACAAGAGTTTAACTGCTATGTACTTGTTAAAGTGAGATCCAACAACATTAATTCGGTCAAAAGTGAGCTTAATTTCTAGCAAAGTATTCCGAGTTTCTTTTGCGTACTTTAAACTCTAAAAGAAAGATTTTAAAAATGATTCTCTGTGAAAGGGAGAACATGATCAGTTCTTGGTCATATTTCGATAACACAATTAAGATACAGTTTAACTAGGAAAAGTTGGCCCAATGGGTTTTTCATGTTACATTCCGCGCCGTTGCATACACTCATTGAGGGATATAGTAGTAGTAAATTAGCAATAAATAAAACTGAAAAAAAGTCACGTAGTTCATGAATTAAGAAGCATTTTCTTGGTGATTTTTACGTTTAATCTAGGTAAGAGGAAACTGTACATAACTTACTGTGTACGAGAAAGTTTATCAGCTTCCGATCAGATTCAAAAGAGGATATCTTCTCTTGGGAGTATAACGGTATGAAGATTTTCGAACTCTTTCTAAGCATATAAATGAAATCGTAATTTGCACCGCTTTGAAATTGAGTAAGGGTTTGCCAAGAATTTTTATTAACACAAGACAACATGATCGCATAGTCTCTGGATGAAAGCCTGGTGCGTTGACCTAGAAAAGCGGTATAGTTTGGACTGAAGATTAACCTAGTAGTAGTACTGTATATTCAGCCTTATATAAGAGAAAAATACAGCTGTAAGCTTCCTTACCGCACGAACAGTGCTTTCTACGGCTTCTTCGATGGCACCAGGTTTTGGAGGACTGATTCCAGATCCGTCGGCATACTCAGTTTCCCGATTTGCTCTCAAAACGTCTTCGTTTTTGACATCAAACAGTCGAACATTATGAAAGAGATTACCAAGGCCATCTGTGGTATCAAAACTGTATGGTTTGTTATCCAAACGTTTTTCTGCAATGAAGAGAATTAATTAAATACGTCAGATGAAGTAACTAAATGGCTGCTTTGTAGGATATCAGGCACAATATCAAGGACCAGACTTACTAGATTTGTGGTTATAAGCTGTCTTCGCCCACTCCAAGGCCACGCGATGCGAGGAAAAGTGCGAGGACGCGCGTCCTCTCTCCTCTCACGCGCGTGCCCTTTTTGAGCTTGACGAGGAAGATTGCTGTTGACCTGCATCGTTCTAAACCTCATATTTCATTGGTTCCCTTTAGTCCGCACTTCCCTTGTTTCCAGGGATAGGCCGGGCATTGTTATGTCACAACCCTATTGTTTTCTCAGCTAATCACAAACAATCTTTCAAACTGGTGCAGATCGCCCCGAACTTGGATTAATATGAGAAGAAAACGTCGTTCAAATGTTTTGGATTTAGCAAGATGATTAGGACCCGACAGAATCTTTCATTTTGTCTAGGTTTAAGTTGACATGCGCCAAGAGAAAGGAACGAGTTTCAGCCCGATTCTTCACTTCACTAGCGAGTGTTCCCGTTAATCGGCTGACAACTTTTGCAAAGGTTTTTGGTTGATTTTAACCGAAGAATTTTTTTTTGGAATCTCCACTCATACAAGCCACCACCGGAGCTGAAACTTGGTGCTCGAATGATATATTATTACGTTCATTTCTCATCATCTCATCAAACTCGTTGGACTGTTTAGTTACCTATGTATACGTTTGTAAAGTTTTTTAAACTGACTAACCGCAAGGGCGAGAACATTGAGAATGTTCTTAGTGACTGAAAATCATTAGTACTAACGGATTTTGTATTAACTAAAATGCCAATTTGCATCACTAGCCCGGGGTAACAAAAAATTAAAGTCACTGGAACTGATTTTTAAAACTCTTTTGCAGAATACATGGAAAATTCGCATTTAAGTCATTAAAATAATTCTCTTACAGTAAAAGTTCAGATATTTTGCCAGTTTCACGGCTTTTTTCAGTTGACGCCCAAGACCGGATAAATAACCGTGCGAAGTTAAAACTTAGAATAATAGCTGAGAAACCGCTACAAAGATATACAAATTATATACCTTTCAGAATATGCTCAATTTGTTGAAATCTCTCGTCTGGAATGCCAACCAAGTTGTTTATCGCTGCAGTCGCTGAGATGAAAAGTAAAACTGTCAATAGAATCTTCATCTCTCTATCTCTTTGTTGTCAAGCTGTCTCTTCTGCACCAAGATACAACTGCAGAATATTGCAAGCTAGCCAAGTCTTTTAAAGCCTATATCTGCATTTAATTACGCGATTATTCACACTTTTATTAATACCTATTGTACACGTCCTGTCAGTGAATGAAAATAACTTCTATTGTATTTTATGAACAAAAAAGACTTTTTTCCGTATTAGTGCAATGAATTGTCACTGAAAATTGATTTGAGTTATGTATGAACCGAAAAGTGGTCTTTTTTGGTTTGCATTACACAGCAAGACTTTATTTTGTACATTCCCTAGTCGAATTTTTTAAACTTTATTACATTACATTCTTTAGTTTTATGCTATCTCTCGAAATTAAATAACTATTCAGAGGATTTAAAGTGAAAAAGTGACATGTGTTTGATAATTCATTGATGCTGATGCACTGGAAAAAGTAAAATTCTTGTGTTGCTTAAGCCGTTCTCAGGGGTATTACGCAACAACAATTAAAGTTCCAGTTCAGGTCGTCATTAATGGCAAAATTTACTCCAACCAATTTCGAGTCACTTTTTGATTACTGAGTTCTCGGCAAACGAGAGCGCTGTAAAGTACTGCAGAACTCTTGGTCGCGCAAAGTATTTTATCGTCCTCCACTGTCTCTAAAGAAATGCCTTGATATGCATACCAAAAAAGACGAATTTTTATCAGTTGTTCTTGTTTTATACCTTCATGACATTTGCTGTATGATAAAAAAGCAAAAGTGCTCGCTGCGGTATTTTATTTTCTAAGATGAAGATTATTCGGAGCGATTTAAGACATTTCACCATGATTTCATGGTTTATTGGCATTTAATTGAAAGTCAAACAATTCTTTGCTAATGGTCTTCTCTTACAGCCTTATTTTCAATACCTTCATGAGGTCCCAAAATCATGTAATGGTGTGTTTTCATGGTTCATTTGCATCTTATTAAACAACAAAAGATTTTAAACACAGCCCATTTCTTGTATACCGTGTTGTTTGAAGCTCTTTAATTTTCCGCATTCCGGCGCCGTAAGACTCGTCTAAGTTAAAAGCCATGGAATAAACTAAAAACACTCTAATGGCTAATTTTCCTCATTCCGCATCTCACGCAGCCTAATAAAGCTGAGCTGTCGTTGAGAGTCATTCATTTTTGTGACAGTTGTTCGATGTAAATGAACTTTTATTCCCACACCTCAAGACTCATGTAGCTTAATAGCCATTAAATAACCCAAAGCACATCTACAGCAAACGTCTCTCAAAAAGAAGAAGTTTAAGGTATTTTATTAGATTTATACATCTTTAATATTCAACTAAATTGCTCAAAACAACTGAGATGAAGAACTTAATGTAGAAATCTCTAAGAACAAGTTTTAAAATTTCCTTTTGTCTTGTCTTATTATTGCCAGCAAAAACAAAGCCGGACAAATATTTTAAGTTCGGCTTAACTGTCTTTCACTCATAAAAAAAATATTGCGTCAAATAACAACTAGTGGCTTTTAAAATACACCAAGTTGTGTTTTACGGAGTCAGAACAATAGGTAGATGACATAATTCTCTTGAGTATTATGTCATATATAAATCGCATGGAGTAGTCAACTAAGTCCCATTCATGAGAAAAATATGGATTCGTTTACAACAAAAGAATCACAATAAAACTAAATGCCGGTTTAATTAAATGTTCTTATCGTTTAAAAATAACACTGTATGCTGATCCATCGTATCCAAATGAACAGAAATCTTTTCAATATTTCTTTTTTTCGTCTTTTTCTTTTTGTTTATTATTATCCGGGTTGCGCCCATACAACTGCCATAAGCTGTGAATTAGCATTCTCTGCCCGAGAAACCCTTCCTCCTACTAAACTTTTCTTTTCCTTTCTTGCAAATTCGTAGTACTTCGTAATTTGAACGAGCTTTTTAGTTCACTGAACATTTATGCGTGGGCAACTAAGCAATTCAGTGATTTGCTCTGGTTCGTAATGAGAGAAACCAAAGCGGTTAGAAGGTCAGAGAAGAGAACTGGAAACACTATAACTTGTCTTTCGCATTATAATATACAAGTGCAATAGGTCTTATCACAGTTTTCGACGCCATCTTGACGAGTAGGCAACCGCGTGAGAAATTACAGTGTTTGTATGAGAATCCAATGTCGAATAATTTCCGTAAAACGGCTGTTCTGGAAAAAATATGAACTGTAAACTAAAGCTACACAGCAAAGAATTTTACAATCAAATTTTGGGGGCCGTTAACTGTGCTTAAATTTCTCCAGACGCTTGCTTCAGATTTTCCACATATTTGTCTGCAATTTTTTCCCTGGAAACGTTTACAGGCAAATGTATAGAAAATTTTGAAAAGTGGTTCTAACGCTTATAGCTGCATGTAACGACCTCAAATTTTTTCAGAAGAATCGTTAGGAGCGAAAATTTAGTTTACAATTCATATTTTTTCAGAACAGCCGTTTTACGGAAATTTTTGGACATTAGATTCTCATACAAACACTGTAATTTCTCACGCGGTTGCCTACTCATCAAAACCGTGATAAGGCCTATTTGTGTCGATACTTAAGTAAAACAAATCTTACTAATTAAACATCCTGAAGTAAAGTCCACTGAAAAAAAGTTCCTGGATTAAAGTAATACAGGCATGACATAATCCCCCTAGGTATTATGTCAGTAACTTTAGATTACTTCTTTTTTTTTCGCCTACATCTTAGTTCAATCCTATCAGCTCGGAGCGGCGCCTTTACTCTCCCGCCGATAACAAAGCAATAGAAATAATTAAAATCAGCTCTTGTTCAAAACAAAATTTAATTACTGTACGAACATCTGTATTCATGTGAAGGTATGCGATTCTTTTAGTGTCTAAAGTACCAAAAACCCCTAGCACACTAATCAGGAAATGCTCTTGGGATTTCGATGTGTGCAGGGTTTTTTTTCTATTGAGTAAAATAATGATTGAGAATGTTTTGTGCTTCAAATTGTCACTCAGTTTTTTTCATTTCATGAGAAATTGTAAAAAACAAGAAAATAAAAACCTATTTGGAGGAACCTTGTGTATTAACCTGATCATTAACGCCAAAACTGGGCCAAAAGATGTTGATCGTGTGAACGAGATTTACAAAAACGAAAATGACTGAGCGTTTTAGCAAAGGTCGGACCAAAATACACTGAAAATACCGTGTGTAATATATATGTATTTTTCGCTTTTTTTGAGCTGTGCAAAATTTGAAAACTTGAGACAAATAGAATTTCATCGTTCTAAACTAACTGAGAGACGAAAAAAGACGTCCTATTAATTTATTGAGTCACGGTCAGTGACCCAAAAAACAAAAGATTGCACGCCGTCAAAACTCCCAGTTGATATAATTATAGCACCATTATTTTCATGTTTGATTTTTTCCGCTTTCATAGCCAGATTTCTCTAGCTGTAATTAGTGGTTTGTAATTAGTAAAAATGAGTTCAACTACTGTAACTCTATCGATTGCAGATTTTTGAGTAGAAAAGTAGAAAAGAAATTGGACGAATGCATGGCGGTAATATATTAGCTGTCCTTGAAAACTTAAGAAGGCCGTTTTTCTAATTTTCCTTCTCTTTGTATTTTCCCAACAATGGTTTAAATCCCTCTAAGTGTCAAAATTACGTAAGTAAATTTAATTACTCGCATAAAAAGTGAAGCTGAATAGACCTTGTCATGTTTTTCGACGCCATCTTGACGAATAGGCAAACGCGTGAGAAATTACAGTGATTGTATGAGAATCTAATGTCGAATAATCTCCGTAAAACGGCTGTTCTGGAAAAAATATGAACTGTAAACTAAAGCTACACAGCAAAGGATTTTAACAACATATTTTGGGGGCCGTTACTGTGCTTAAATTTCTCCAGAAGTTTGCTTTAGATTTTTTTTTTACTGGGAAAGCTTTACAGACAAATGTATAGAAAATTTTTAAAAAAGGTTCTAGGCCTTCTAGCGCATGTAACACCCTCAAATTTTATTCAGTAGAATCCTTAAGAGTGAAGCTTTCGTTTACAGTTCATATATTTTTTTAAAACAGTCGTTTTACGGAAACTATTCGACATTAGATTCTCATACAAACACTGTAAATTCTCACGGGTTTGCTACTCGTCAAGATGGTGTCGAAAACCGTGACAAAGTCTATAAATTGCTTTCCAGTTCCCAGGGCTCAGTATCAGTAATCGTGTTTGCTTGATGAAGAGTATGAAGATCACAGCTTGCCTCCTATTCTACCAGTTTTTGGTAGCAATCGATTCTTTTTCGCCTTTGAGTGACCTGACTGCTGTAAAACTAGCAGAGCTGAAAAAAGACGGCAAAATAGGTAAGTGTAAACACCAGTCAGTTATTTAATGAAGAGTAAAACGCTTTTATATTTAGCTAACATTATTGGAGTAACCTGAAAAAAACTATGAAGATCCGGATCGTTTGAATAATTTTCGATCCTAAACAGGATGGTGGCGAAAAAATTCGGGTGTATTTACTGTAGACGATGAATGCGGATTTTTATTCTGTTTATTTATTTTCATTTTTCTTTAGAACTGACTTAAACTTTTATGGGAATTTATTGCCTTACCGGTATTTAATGAAGAGTATTTAAAAAATACTATTCTAATAAGAAAATTACGATAAGTTATTAAACAATCAAATCTGGATCGTGTTACCTTTGTCTTGTTGTTGTTGTCAGTTGCTTTGTTATCTTAGACTAGCTCGAACAAAAATAACCCAAAATAACAGTAAAATTACACATGCCAAAGAAATTTATTTTATGACTGACTTTATCATTTGCTTTATCATTGACTTTGCTCTTCATCTAAAGGTAGGGGAATCTTTCAGGGATTAAACATCATTTCATCATAGCATACCCAGCCCTTTCCGTTCTCTTATAAAGGCGAAAAAAATTATCTTTCTCCAAGATTAGAAGTACCAGATATTTAAAATTTTAATACGTGATGTTGAAATGTTGGGGTTTTACAAAGAATGTATTGGGTCATAAACTCTATTTCCCGCCCAGAATGTTGCATTTTTTTAATGCTAATATAACCTTAAATATTATCTACGAAGTGAAATATTTCACAGCACCAAATGTTTAAAGTGTTTAAAGTCAAGATTTATTGAGTATGATGACTTAATAAGATCATAAAATGCTAATAAAGCAAAATGTAACCAATAACGCCTCAAAGAATCCCCTATCAATGGCTAGACATTTTGATTCCTGAAAAAAAAAATCCCCGACAATTTACTTCGCGTCCATTTTTCCCTTGACCAAACTAAACACGCGTACGTACGTTTTCTAGTTCAAGTACTAACTACCTCCTTTACACTAGATGAACATGGCTTATCGGCTCTTAACCCTACGAGCATGAATTGTAAATTTTTCAGAGAGTGTTAAAAAGTTGTTTGAAATGTTCAAAGCTGGAGTAAAAAGGAAAGGCGTGAAGAGGGAGTTTGGCAAATCTCTGGTAGAATCCCATGGCAAGTGTCTCAAGGTTATATTCCAGTTCTTTACGGAGGCGAAAGAAGAAGGTGGGTGTTCCCATTGCCTCTCTCTTCTATAGGGAGCTCATATTAGTCCGCGCACACAGACGACACTAGACTCTGGTTAAGTCCGTCAACGAAGCAGCGCTGAAATCCTTGTTCTGGGTTCCGACCTGAGTACCAGGATGTGAGTACGCACCATGATTTGCCCGTTGAAAAAGCCATTCAGATTGTGGATTTGACAATCAGGGTGAAAGGAAATTGGAAATACACTTCCGGTAATTCGTTGAGTCCGTTGGGGGGCGGGAAGGACTACGCATGATCTCGACGCTGCTTCGCAGACGTTACTACCGAGGTTTTTCCATGCTGCGACGCAGGCTAGGCTCGAATAACTTTTCCGTTTAATTGGCTGAAATCCTCCAGAATTGCAAATCATTTTAAGGAATTGAAATTTTCTCTCTCTTTTTTCCAGTCTAAACAATAAAGTTAAAGTTTTTTCCTGAACCTTTTGAGAGTTCCTTCAATTCCGTGCACTTTCATTTTTTTTTAAAGTATCCTTAATGAACGGTCTTAAGGTCTCGGTAAATGAAAATTTTAGTACATTGCTCGATTTTTTTTTATTTTTTATTTTTGGCATGAGTGGGTCCTAAATTTTATTTTGGCAGAAAAAGAAAATCAGAAAGTGCTTTTTAACCCTTCTATAATGAGCCTTTTCTGTTTCCTGCCATAAGTTGCACGCGAAAAGTGATTGACAGCCCCTGTCTATTGCGTGACACTCGCTCTATTTTAGACGCAAAAATCAAAATTCTCCAACCTCCAGTCGGGACAGGTTTTAAGCTATCGCTTTGAAACTTTCAGATATGATGGATAATGATATAGACTCAAAAAGGGTGTGAGGAATTTTCCGATTTCCCTTTGTAACTCATTTTATGTCAGTTTCTTTGCTTAAATTGCGCTCGAGATTCGACTTTTTAGTTTGAAATGCAATAATTCCGCTAATACGAGACTTACGCAAATTTCCTCACACCCTTTTTTAGGTCTTTTATCTGTCAATTAGATGCAATAAAAAGGAAGTGAATATTTAACAATGCGAAAGGGCTGGAGCTTCAGCAGTAAACTCGATACCTCTGAGTTCGAGAGCAAAAAACTTAAGCGCCTTTTGAAATTCGATGAAATAAAATCTTTTATAAGGTAATTTAGTCTTTTAGCTTTAATTTGATATATAACTTGCCTTTGTAGCGAAAATACTTGCGCGACTAGAATTTTTTTCTGTGGGCACCTTGTTTTCCTTTACCGAGACCTTAAATTTAACTTATTTGGTTTCCCTCAAGAAAAGTTAGGCACCGGAACTGGCCGGATTTAGGCTGCGTTGTTAACTATCCATGCATATAAATTCTCTTATCAGGTTTGGTTGATCGTTTAAAAGAATCAATGGAAACTGACAACTTGGAAATTTGGAGAAATTGTTGAGACAATCGTAAAGGAAGCTTGGAAAAACGACGAAGGTGAGAATAGATAAAATAAAATAAATAAATAAATAAATACTAAATAAATAGCACAAACAAAATATCACACAGAAGTTTATTTTAGAGTAATCTTACTAGTAGTCGACACTTTAAAAGATGTCTTCCTTTTTTACACACACGAACACACTCAAAAATAATAATCGCGTTTATTGTTTCTTCAAAGTAACATGTTTCATGATCTGTAGAAAAAAAAGTGAAATAATAAATTAAAATGTTCTATTTTCTTGAAATCTAAAAGGAATTTTGGAGAAAATTGAAGACGCCGTTGAAGGGCCGAAAAAACTGCATCCAGCAATGAAAGCTGTTGTAATCATGAAGAAACTGCTTCTCAATGCCGCCTGTGGAAACCCTGCCGAAGGTAGGCCATATTTAGATATTATGTGATGTCCAACGTACTTCACAAATGTATTTTTAACTAGTATTAAAATACTAGTTAAAGGTTAAAAAAGTTAGAAAGATTGACAGAGGTGAAGTTTAATTGACATGCATCAAGCAAAGGGAAAAGGCTTAAATACATCCCACTTCCATCCCACTTCCATCCCGCTTTTCACTTTTTTTTACTTTTTCATTAATATTTCTGTTGCAACATGGGTCCCTGTCGCAAATTGCTAGAATTCTAGCCTTGCATATCTTGAGGGCATATTTTTTTGTTGTTGTTGGGAGAATCTTTTAAAAAAATCAAAATCTGAAAACTTCTATCTTTTATGCAATACTGCGACGATGCTGTCGAGAGTCTTCAGAATTAGAAATACGCTTCTACCAATTAAGATAATTTTCTAAGTTATCATGCGGTCATTTACTTTCATAAAGAAGAATATGATATACTTGACCAAGAGTGTGCTTGTTATTAGTGTAATAGTATTAATAATATCTATAACAGAATCGATAAAGAGACAAGCTAAGATGTGCCTTTAAGATCAATTTTCATTTGCTCTAGACGGCTCATGATGTTAAAGGTGCCCCTTCCCCTTTTTGGCTCCTTTTCATTGTCTTTTTCGATTACTTTATTTATATTCAACGTATTTCAATGTATTTCTCGCTCATCTCTCTCTCCAGTGATGCCGCTTAATCATGATTTCATTTATTCTTTCCAGGGTTAGTCAAAGAAGGAGTAGGATTAATGTTATATGATCCTGAAAAGCCCTTTGAAGTTCTCATGAAGAAAATACTTCCGTTCCTCTTAAAACCGAGAGAGTGCAGAAAAGGTACGAATATGATTGCCCGTAAAATAATAATGCTATGCTACTCCATATATATCATGGTGACTGTTGGTTAACTTAACATTTAAATTTATCACCAGATAAAAAGACGGCGCCTTATTGTGTACGTGAAATTAAAGTAAAACTGATCGGCAACTTAACAGAGCAAACATTCTTTCCACTGAACAAAGTCAAAAGCTTTCTATCAGGGCGTAGGTCTAGGGCTATTTGAACGGCTCAGTAGAACAAGCAATATGGAGAGCTCCTCTGTCAAGTTGATAACAGGAAACATAATCATGCGAATATACGAGATTTTCCGGAAGTTTCGATAGGCTTAGAAATTATGACATCACCTTCAAATAACTTGATCCCGTACCCATAGCTAGCTTGTCTTCATCAAGAGCCATAATGCATTTCCACAAGATTGTAGATATCTTTACACAAAGAGAAAAAAAGTATCGTTAATTACGTTCTGCTCCTTTGTAGGCTGTAACTAGTCGGGAGACTATTTTTCAAAAGATCGTAAGGGGAATCAGGTTGAAACTCCTTATTTTTCTCATTGCATTCATTCGTTTGATTTAACAGGATTAACTGAAAAAGGTTACCAGACAATCAACAAGAGAGTCACCAATCTATTGCTGAAGGCTCCGTATCCTTGTCAAGACGGTATGTAAGGGGCTGTCCACGCTTAGTGCCCGGGAACCAGTGTCTGAAAAAACGGAATGCAAACAGCATGCCCTCTTTTGTGTCCAAGTACAAGGTCGAGACCTTGTACTTGGGCACCGGCACCATGCCCGAATTCTAGTGGGTACATAAAAAGGGGCGTGTTCACATTAGTGTCTAGCAAGTACCCTACGTGGCTACCATGCCCCAGTATTAAGTTTTAACGCTGCCTAAGTCAATCGTTACATCTAACGAAACCTCGCTCTTCAGGTTAATATCGCAATTTTCGTTTAAAAAAAAAAAAAGATGCAAAAGTAAATAACGAGGAAAAAAGAATCCGTTAAACTTAATTTAAATGTTTCATAAATGTTTAGGTTTATTAATCAAGGTGAACTAAATACATTAATTTCTCAAACTTTTTATACCCGTTTTGTAGTTCCTATTGTGAGGAGGAATGTCCAGGCAGCTTTAGCGGTAGGTTAACGTTTTGACAAATGACACAAAATAACATTTAATCAATCAAATTTCTTGATGCCGACTAATATGTCCATCACTGTTGATTGAAAATCCCCCTTTTCCCTGCCTTTATGCCGTTGCCCCACTACTCGCTCAATAGCAAATGAGCACTGAAGTATTTATTATTTTGTGCAAGTGTATGTTTGTGTCATGGCTAATTATAAGTGACGTGCAACACAAATATTTAATGTCTCGATAGTGAAAAGGACCATGAATGGAAAGGCGCTCAGATAGCTAAGGAATTTCCTGGGAGGAAGCTTTTAGGGAGTTTTGAGAGAGGGGCCCAATGAAAAATCGTTGTGAGGTACAATTTCTCAATCATGCTCCTGCATGTATCCGCAGGGCCAAGCAGTGATGAAGAACATCTCAGTGCTTCATTCCGTTTATGGAAAACGTATTGGCGGTGAGTGGACCGATAGGGTATACGTAGTTAAAATACTTTCGACTACTTTCTTGTTTGCGTTTTGTTTGTCCCTTTTTATTATTTAGTTTGTTTAGTTTAATCTAAAGTCAAGAGCATTAAACACCTCGGCTAGTTTAGAAAAAATCCTTCCAAGTTTTCTAACCAATTCAGCGATACCGCATAATTATCCAACTCTACTTTAAAATAATATATGCAAGTTATATTTAAAGTATTTTTATAGGTAAAATTTGTCAAAAACTTTCCTGTAACATTTTAATTACAGACTACCTTAAAATCTACATAATGGGCATCCACCGCCAATCACTAGTGTCAGCTCGTTAGTGTCTTCTAAGACTTTCCCGGCCTTTTCAGATGTACATCTTAACTATATCGCTACACTGCTTTTTATAGTTCTTCAGCCGGCGGTAAGACTTTGGCTGGAATCATGTTTTTTTAGATGTCAGGCCAATGTCTTGCGTATACCTTAATGGAAGGTTTATACAGTAAACAGTTTAGATTTAGATCTACAGTCGATGAGACATCGTCCTCAGATGTGGTAACTTCGGAGAACAAAAGAATCTACGCCCCTTCCCTCTCCCCTCCATTTTAAGTTGGGGTGTTTGTTGTACAGGTGGCTCGAACAGCAGCACAACAATGCATGGAGGGGGTGGGGGAGGAAAAGCTTTATTTTCCCATTTTTGGGCAAAACGTTTGGAGACACCCTTTAGGGCAAAGCGTCTCAATTAATTTTGTGGACGATTGTAGGTTAAGTATAATTTTGCGGTCGAACCTCCAGTAACGGCCACATCACTACAACGGCCATTTTTTTTGTCGGACAGTGCATGCATTGACTCTTGTTTCAAACCTCTCTACAATTAATGGCCACTTTCTTCTGTCCCCAATGTGACCTTTGTAGAGAGGTTCAACTGTACTTTTTTATTCGTGTTTGCAGTTGCCGTTGGAAAAGTCATTAAGCTAATGCAACATGGCTACGAAGATGACGCTTTTGAATTGCTTGGTGAACAGGAGTTTGGATTTCTCAGAGAAGCGTTCCTCATTGGTCTGGCTATCAACAAAAGGGATCCAGGAATCATCCAGCACGATGCTCCTTCTCCAGCCGAATTGCTGAAATACCTGGAAAAAGAGAGTAACCTGCGTAGAAGCAAGTGATGACAAGTCAAGGTTTGTACACTGAAAGGCAATATTGAAAATATATATTGAATAATAAATCGCACTCATCAACTGTGGAAACTGCAGTCTTCAAGTGGATTTCCATAAGTTTAAACTGCGTAGTATCTGCCGAGGGACGTTTTGAACCTCGATAAGTAAGAGGTTTTTTTTATTGATTTTTTTTGTTCCCCGTTCTCTAATGCCATCGTTTTTTATATAAGTTCAACAGGTAACTAGGTAACTGTAGTGGGAAAAACAAGACAAACGTTTTAATTAAATTAACGCCAGTACGCCAGTTTAGTTTACAAGTAGAACTCACTGCCGTCAACAAAATCTCCTGGGTCGGGTTGTTCAAAGCTGGATTAAGCGGATTGTACCAGTAGGGCCTTGTGCAAAATTTGATGATTAGGCGCTCTAAAAAGAGCACGGAAAATTATCCAAGACAGTGTTTTTGAACTATGGAAAAAGAAAAACAGACACGGTGGGGCCAAACCACCCCTCAAATGTTGCATTTAGACTGTTTTTGGATTTTTTGGTAAGTCTTGCACCAAACTTTACAGGTAGCCTTCGAAAAGTAAGCTCATAAATTTACGCCGTTTTTTGACGTGTGATGTCAAATTTTGACGTCATAATCTATGACGTCACAAAAATGGTTGTGATCAAATTCGGAAATGTACAAGAATAGCTATATCATGTGAAAGGGCTTTACATGGACAGTAAAATACTGAAAACACTATCTCGCTACGACAAATAGAACAAAAGTTATGACAGTTTAAAGACTATTTAGTTCCCCCCCCCGGAACCATACTGTTCTTCTAAATAAGACTGCTCCGATCTAATTTTTCCATTTTTGCCCCAAATAAAGTGATATTCTAGTAAAGTAAACCTTTCAACGCTCCAAAAAATCGTATCATTTTAGATTTTTGAATTTGGACTTTAAAACGCTGATCTAAACACAACAAAAATGGTCACGTGATTTTGGTATGACGTAAATAAACTGTTTTTGTTGTTCTAGCAGGTGTAAGCATCCTCTCACATACCCTTTTTCTTGTCTTTTAGCTTCGGGCAATAAAGAGTGTCAATGTAAAACTTCAATTTTTGTGCAAAAAGAACACTAAAGTACTTAAATTTATGATTTTTGCGAAAAGGGGGGAACTCTTTCCAGCCTGTGAATAATTATCAAATTCAAAACGTCATATCTCAGCAAGCTTTTAAGCTATATAAAAAATTTTTGCAACCTTCTTCTATGCTTGACGAGATCTTTTTAAAACGCGATAAAAAAGTGGAAGATTCAAAACTCTAAAATTTAATTATCAATGACGTCATCAATTATGACGTCACAATTTAACATGAATTGTTGTAGTGCACACCAATTTGATTGGCTCGTTCTTTTAGAATTAGCGGCCAAGTCTCGTACACAAAGAACAAATACAAACAAAGTTATTGTGGATTGACCAAAAAACCCACGTTTTTGTCGCACATTCGAGGGGTGGTTTGGCCCCACCGTGAGATTAAAATTTAACCCTGGGCTATCGCTAATCGGCCTTCAAATAACTGGGCCCTGGCCTGTATCGTGGCCCGGACCATCGCCGAAGAACCTTTCATCTTCCCTCTCTCCGTCGGTCGGTAATGCGTGTATTAATGTTGTGTTCCACCCTTCACTCGTAAATCTATCTTGTTTTTTTTATGCCTTATTTTTTACAGGATCGGGAATACACAAAGTTTGTCTTTCAGACGCAGCCTTTTTGCTTTGAACGCGTATATTGACTGGAGTGGACGCTAATGACTGTGAGGGAAGATCAGAGTTTTTAAATAGTTCATCCTAGTATTCCGCAGCGTAATTCCCCATGAAGTAAATTGAGGAAGCTTTCTTCGTCATCACATTATCATCAATAGATTTAATGTAATTTTTTTCATCAACTTTGAATAAAAAGAATGCGTTATAAAGGTATAATCTAGTAGCTTGTTCGTTTTTATTGACAATGAAACTACAGAGTTTTTTCTACTTGGGATTTACTATTTGGCTAATAAATAGACATGTGGGCTAATGTAGATTGCATCTAGGTATGCGAATCACCAAGGACAAATCAAATTGGGCTGGGAAATATATGGTTAAAATCAGATGAAAATAAGATGGCGGCCATAACTAATACGACCTGATATGCTAGCACATGAACCTTTGGCCACGCGAAAGAGAAAGATAGCACGGTAAAGCACATGCAATTTCTTGCATTAAGAGCCAACACGATGGCTTTTTCGAAAACGTTTGTTTTTCGTGAACTTACCGCGGATAAAGTGGTCGTTCATAAACCGCATGACAATAAACGCATTTTTGTCAGAAAAAAAACCGCATTATGTTTTAAGGAGTATAAGTGATGAGACGTTTATTTTTCTTAGTGGCGAAGGTGTTCCATGAAAACGTGAACAGCTTTTGCGCGCTTTTCTAAAAGCATACGTGATTGGATGACCTCTCGGGTTGGATTATGACATTTACTTTTGACGCAAAGAGACCCGATGAAAAGCTTAGCTACTTGGAGTTGTTATAAAAGATTTCGATGTAACTAGATATAGTACAGTGCGAGCAAGATCAAAAACTGAGAGTATGTTCACACTATTACCGTATAGCTTTAACGCCGCCGCGAAAATCATTCCGCTTCTGTTCACATACAAGAACGGCTGTGACCACGCGATTTCTGTGACGGAGCGAAAATGCTCCGCAACGAAAGTGGAGCGTCACATACCGGATAGGTTTTGCGCCATACTTTAGGAGTCAGGGCCCGGTTGGATAAAACCTACACTTAAGTGCCCACTTAAGTAGGTCACTTACAAATCCGTTATGGGTACACTTACGTGTGTTGCATGGAACGCACTTAGCACTCTCGTAAGTTTCTGTTTTACGTGGTAATTTACCGGCTCACTTAAAGGCACACGTAACTTTGATATAGTACTTTATTAATGACTCACTCTGTTTTTTTTTTTTTAAGCTAACCATCCGTGAGTGTAAAGAAAGTTTTAAGTCGTTTCTAACACTTTTAAGCCTCGCAAAAAAAATGAAATTTGCGTGCAAACGTTATTTTTCTTTAATATCTACTGAAAATGATAGTTCTTCTTCTTTTTTCACAACGTCGGCTTTAAAGTGTACATCAGAGGTTAACAAAGCACATTAGAACGAATAACGTGAAGAAAAATACTTTTTTTCACTTCTCAGTAAAAGATCTCGTTAACTTCAGTAAAAACAGTAACGATACGGGACCTACATAAGTCCTGTAAATTTACGTTCTATTTTTCCCGGAAAAAAGGTTTTATGCAACACCCGCATTTTTCTGTTGCATAAACGACACTTAAATGAACATTTACAAAAATCATAAGTGCAACCACTTAAACTGAATTCCCCAAGTGGACCACTTAAGTAATTTAACGCAACTGACTTAAGTTACGAGTGCACGTACCCGTAGTTGTTACGGGCGTTTTATGCAACCGGGCCCAGTACTGTAATTTAGTACACCAAACCCTCTCTGCCAACCGCGCCACGCTGTTCGATGTCTGTGAACAACTTCTGCCACCCCCAGCTGTTGTTGTTCATGCTATACCGGGTAGATTTTCATGGCGCCATGAAAAGCTATCCAGTATAGGTGGTTTTCACGTTACGTCATCGCCGCCATGCTGGTGGACGGTTAAACAAAAGATCGCTCATTAGCTCGCTTGAGTTGCCCACCGGCATTTGTTCATTTCACCATTGTATTTTGTGTCTCCCGAGATTCCTTGAAAACCACCTATAGTATGAACATGGCCTGAAGGAAGACCCACGCCCTTTCAACGAGTCGGTCATTTCAGTTTTGATCTGTTTTTACAAAAATTTAATGTTGAATTGCCATCCGCTTCTCTCCTGAGTGTCAGATAACAGCCCTTCTCTGTTAAAAACATATACAAACTAGCTGATTGTGTTGAACACTTCTATTACTCTCAAGAGATGGTTTTAAGTTTTTTCGAACAGCTTCGAATGGATTGTGAACGATGTTGGTCGTCAGTAGACCTTTTCCGATTGTGCTCGTAAAATTCTGGAAAGTTGCTCACTGGAATACCGAAAAGTTGCTAAAAAATTGCAAAAAAATGCAAAAAGTTGCTACCTAAATTTCAAAAGTTGCCACCTAAATTTCTTGATATTTTTATGTAAACGTTAATTAAGGGTTTTTTTTTTCGTTCTTTTCAATAATTACTAACATCGGTCATGAAAAATAGCTGGAAACTTAATTTTTGCGAGAATTTTTGTTAGAACTGCATAAAGTTTCCAAACGCCAAAAGTTGCTCAAAAGTTGCGGAGCACAATCGGAAAAGGCCTATAGTCGTCAGGAAGAAAAAAAAAATTCTCTTTATCCTGGGAACTAAACTCTATTTTGATGTGGATTCTTTGAAAAGAATTTATTGTATTTATTTGACCTCCAACAACATGTCGCCTTGTCAGTTGGTTGCAAACCAAGAGGTTGCAAATGATGAAACCAAGGTATAAAAGCTAATTCATTTTGCTGAAAGACGACGCTAAACATATTGTTTAGGCAGTTTTGTAGTTCATTTCTTTGGGCATCAACAATACCACTGAACAATGAACAGCCCACTGAATAAAAGCGAAGGAATTTTTTCCTCATTACATCAAACAAAACATTAAACTGATCCAATACCGCATCTTTTTTTGGATCAGATGATTTATCGAATTAGTGGATAAAATGTAGAAAACGTAATTTTGAGACTTGGTACACCTAATGCAATAACGCTGTCATAATAACAATAGTAAAAAGAATCAGAAAAAAACTCATAGAATTAATTGAGGAAAGTTTAATTTTTTAAGGGATCTGGTCTGACGAAAGGGTGAATCTCAAAACGCATTGGAACTGTACCGATGTAGGGTACATTGCGGCTCGAACGCAAATCAAATTGAGGTATTACTCTGTAGCACAAAGCGCTTCAGGGTTATCAAAATACCGAAATGCAAATTGTTTTAGCTAATTAGGTCTTTTTGTTTTGCTTCAATATAACAGCTTTATTGTTGATGTAGAAAACTGTATTGAAAATAAAGCAGTTCTGTCACTTCTTTCCGTGTGCCCGGCAAAATTGTAGTTTCAGTAATACGGCTTTCATTTTCAGCACTGAAAGGGATAACGTTTCTTGCAGGAATGAATAAAGACCAAAAAGGACAAAAAGGCTGACTTGCTTTTGTCTTCAACATAGCAAACTAGCAACCAAACATTTTTTGAATACAAAAAAAATAATAGTTTCTGAGTCAATTCTAGAACTCGTTTTTCGAACGATTAAGCAAGCACTACGAACATTTAATTGGCGAAGTAAATTGACGTACTTTTCGACTAGTTCAGCCTAAAGACGTAAATTAAAGTGCTACATAGCAAACAAACTGAATCAAGTGAACCTATTGAAAAATATTCTACGGTAAAACTATTTGTTTTAAAAGACAAAGGAAAAGTGTTAGCCGGCTTGTAAAGTTGTTGTGTTCATTGACGAGGCGCTCTTTAAATGTCGGTGTTGGTATCTTTGACAATTCAATCGTAAGGCATATCTTCGGACCTGGTTCTGGCAACAAACGAAGGAATTGCAAATTGAAGATGTCGCATTTTCATCACGGCGACTAAAAATCGTAAAAATGGTAAACTACTTTTTCTCGCTTGATGTACAACACCTTAAATGGCCGCTTCATGCTATTGTTTGCATAATCCCTTTGTCCCACAAAATAAATTTCCGCAAGACTTTGCATATAGGTGCAACGACGACAATTTTACACACTGCATTTTACCAATGTCAAGTAATAGCGGTCAATAACAAAATATTGACTAAATTTAGTGAATCAAAATTGTATAAGTACATGTAATTTCGTAAGTTAGTAAAACTTCTTATTTACACAATTAAGGCTGGCAAAAGGGCATTCAGGTTCTTTTCTTTGTTCTTTTCTTTTAATTCTTTTATTTTCTTACTTTTGTTTAAGCACCCTAAAGACAGGAACTATTCAGTCATGGAATTTTAAGCGCATTATAGTTTTTCGGCTTCGACGAAACAATTGAGAAGATTAACAAGTTTAAAATATCAGTTCTCTCAATCAAGTTCTGTTTAAAACTTATTATTTCAGTTTTAAGAATTCCATTTTCCATCAGCGAACAAAACCGTTGTTGATGACTTCCTATATTCTCATAGCTTGTATACACTATAGTCTCTTGGAAGCTAAGATAAGAAATTAATTTCTGATCACTGGAAAATCAAAACAATCCCAGTCATTAAGAACGGGTTTAAAAGAGTGCAAAGTTCTTTTATTACTCATTCGCACACAGTTAAAATAGTTGTGAACATCTCGCTTTTATGGGCCGGCAAACAAAAATGAGACCAGCTACTGTGGTTTTTCTTTATTTCTTCGTTGTTACAGCAAGAGGTAAATTGAATGGTTTTCCAGAAACAGCTCTAGATCTGGAGAACGTACTGCTACAAGGTAAGAAATTATGATTGTGGTTTGTTAATAAAATAACCACTCTTTCTGCAACGACCTCAGAAGAGGTTCGCTTTAAACTCATAAAAAACTGTTTTCGTACACACCTATAATTTTGTTCTGCGTTTATTTGCGCTTTATAACCAAGTCACATACGATGAAAGTGCTTAAGCTATGAGTCTTTCCCTTATAAACAAACCTAACGTAATTAGATGGCAAAGTTTTTTTTTTTTGCTATCTTATCGCCCATAGCAAAGTTTTGCCGAGCAAATACTGAAACTAGCTCAGACCAGGCTGGCAGGTCATCAAATTAAGTGTTTTTGGAAGTACACTTTTGCAATTTACCATTATTTTCTTTCTCTTCAAACTAAAAATTTGACTCAGTTTAGGTTGAGAGAGAAGTAAAGTAATGATCGTATCATTAATTACTGACTGTATGACTATGTCTTGCATTATCGTTGATAGATTCAAAATCAGTGGCTAGACCAGCCAACTTTAGAACAGCTGTCTCTACCTTTGGTAATCTGGTTAGTCGAAGTGCTAAATACAAGGCCGCTTTACAAGATGAAGATGAACACTTTGGCGATGATGAAGGATCTGGAGTGAGCCCAAGCCCCATAATTGAATTAGTCAGCGCAGTAAGTAGCTGTTTTACGAAGATTAACAAAAACCGTTTTATTCATTTTAAGACTATTTCGAAATTTCTTTCACTTTGTTTAGATTCCTCTAGACATTTTACCTCCCTTAGCGGAACTGAAGAAGGCCAAAGAAAAACAAAACCGTGGTAAGAAGATATAAAACAAAAATGCATATATCTGTTTAATTTTCCTAACGAACCGATCTATCATTTTACCGCGTGGCCAGATGCTTTGGTGTCGGTCACAGAATTTTTCGGAATTCGTGTCGTACGTGGTTGGATGGCTTGTAGGGTGTTCGAACTTGGGAGGGGCTTATTAGCTACATCGCGATGATGTCCATCAGTTGCTCGACAACAAAACCACGACAATGAATTGAACTTTGACCCTCTTCCCTAAGCTTTGCGAAGTTTAAGATGTTTCTACTGCTTTAATATGAGTCACTACGGATTTGTTGATCCTAGTTCAAATTTCAAATCCTTTGAAAATTGTTTTCAACCGATGGCCCGAATTGAGGTCGGTTTCCGTGAGCGGAGCAATTCTAAATACTAAAGGTTTTGGTGGACATGCAAGTCGCCGCCCCTCGTCAGCCGGCTTGGGACTTGGGTCGCATCCCGGATAAGTCATTATTATTATCATTAACATTCTTTCTTTAATGCCTACTATTTGTTCTTTACCTCAGCTTTTGCAAGGTTCCTCGACACATATTTCAAGTAGCATATTATATATTTCGTTAATTAAATTTACTAGACTTCTATTTATAATCATTGCTCTCACCGCTAAGTTATTTGCTTTTCCGGTTTGGCGACCATTCTTTGACAAGAATAAAAGCGTGTCTCTCCGCTGGGAAATAAAACTATTAATATTTTCTTTCAAATTCTAAGAACAAATAAATATTGGTTTTCAATGACCGGCCCGTCATGTGTTTGCAAACCAATAACTGCGGCATACTTTTCTTTCGGGGTAGGCGTGGCCTTTACAAGGGCTAACGTAAACGTGGATAAACAAGGCTTTTAGACAAATATCAATGCGTTCACATGAAATTTCTTTCTCGAGTACTTGTGACAAAGGATTAATAGTGAGTCTCTTGAGATTTTATATTACATAACCTCTAATGCATATTCAATTCGCGCGTAAAAAGGATTAGGCGCATATTGTGTCTTACATCGAAAGAAAAATCCCGAGAAAGAGAGAATAAAAACATTAATTTTTGTATGAAATACTTGAGATCAAAAAACGCCGCGTTACTTGTAGCTCTGAATTTACCGCATTTTTACATGTGTAAGACCAAAATTATTTTCCCCTCTAAAGAGATCTTTTTCAAGACCATTTATAAGAATAAAACAGAAATTTATGTATTTCATTTTTATTGTTAAAGATTTTGGAAAGGTATTTGTGGAAGCGTTGAAAACTGAACCGGACGATTTAAAAGTGAAGGAACTTTTTGGAGAACACATCAGGAAGTCACATGAAAGCTGTAGTGAGAAGAAACTTGAGTTCGTTAAAGCAGCTCATAAATCAGGTAAATACGTTAATAAAAACCCTTTTAATTCAAGAAAAAAGAGAAGGAAAATGAGTGCAATTTGGTAATATTTATAAATAGCTTACAAAAAAAAAACATTCGGAATCGGAGCGAGCCATTTGGCTAATAAAAGAGTGGGCGGAGTATTCATCACACGAGTTTTTTAATAAGTTATTATTTACTCGCAATAGCGACTGGACAAGTCTCCCCAATACTTGAACAAGGAAATCCATGCCATCCATTCAGAAATGTTTTCAATTGCCAATTACTTTAGTTTGTTAAATTTTCATTTTGGCCTTTTTAGTCGTTTAACCCAGTTTTAGTCTTTTCTTACAGCGTTTTAGTCGTTAGCTTTTTATATTTGCGTGATAATTAAATCTTTAAGTTTAATTTTGTTTGTAATATCTTCACTTTAGCGTTTTTTAGTCATTTGGCCTTTTTAGCCTTTTATTCATTTATATGTTTTTTAGTTAATTGTCTCTTAATATTATTTAATCTTAGTGAGGACCTCCGTGAAAAAACGCTATGTGACTCTCTATGCAGATTATTTATTATTATTATTATTATTATTATTACTATTATTATTATAGTATTATCATTATTAGTTGTTTTGTTTGTTTGTTTTTTTATGACCCTCATTTATTTCACTGTGCTTAGCCCGTCCCGGTTTCAGTGCTCAGTTTATCTTGTTCCATCGAACAGTTCGGGAAAAAAGCAAGACAAATTTCCAAAAAGTGAATCAATAGACATAGAGAAAATATTAATCAGATAAATAAATAATATTGATTCAAGGCTTAGTTTTGATGTAGGCACGTAACCAATATATGTAGCAAATTAAATAATTAACTTCAAGTGATGAGGCGTTTTAGGGACGGACCATTAGAAAACTTATGGGGGCGGGGGGGAGGGGAATTTTAGAGCCACAGGAATTTTTTTTCGTTATCAAATTCCTGGTGTGAATTTTTTTTTAGGCCATAGCATGAATATTTTTTTAGGGTTAACTGGCGTGCAAGAATTTTTTTCATTTAATTTTCCCTTGCGCGAATTTTTTTTTGTACTTCGAATTTTTTGGTCCGTCCCTTGATTGGCTTTTTGTGGAGACGCAATAGTCACAAACTCAACTAATTTGAAAATACCTACACTGTGAAAAAGATTCACAAAACCTTTTGTACGGTTAGTAAGTTTTTCCCTTTATAACTACGTGAAAATTTCTGCAATTTGATTGGCATGATTTTCAGCTTAATTTGAAATACCTACATGTGAAAATGATTTTTTGGTTAGTAATATAAACAAATAATAGCATGATTTTTCAAAATTGATATTTCAAAATTGTCTCAAATGTCACTCGCCTAACGGCTCGTGAAATTACGTATAACAATTTTGAAATATCACTCGTGGTATTTATGCCAAATATCACTACCAATCATGCTATTACCTATACTAATTCTGGAGTACTGTTTATTACTTCTTCTCTCTCTATTGTGTCCAACCGTGGCCACTACTACTTTTGAACTAAACACTTTTTAATACTTAGCTATTTCTACCTGGAACTCTCTGTCCGATGAAACAAGAAGCGCTCCTGATCTGAATACTTTCAAACGATGTATAAACTAGTTAACTTTTTTTAAAAAAGGTGTAGATATATAATTATGTGTTTAATTGATGTCTATATGGCCTGTATTTTAATTGCATTATTTCTATTTTCATTTCACTTTATTTATAATTTATTTGTGTATCGGAGATACTAGCAGAAATAGTACTCTAAAATCCGAATTGAAAAAAGATGTGATTGATGGTTGAACTGAATAATTAGTCCTATAAAAGTTAAATTATGGGCTATTTCAGGAAATCTTGACAAATAAACTTGCAATCGGATTTCTAATGTCTGAGTTATTTTCACTTTTCCCAGGTTTATTCGATAAATTACCGATTGAGGCAAAAGACTTTTCAGACGAAGTGGAAAAGATTATTAAAAAGCATGAAAAAGGAGGAGGTTATGTATCATTGCACTATATTTATTCTCTCTTTAGAACCACGGGGGTATATTTTTTGTCTTTCAGTGATTCTGGGATCGACTTCCTTAATATCAGACTGGACATGCTGGAGAAGTCTTATTCAGTCTAGTGCGTCAGACATGATCGCGCTCATTAGCAGAAGGAGGGAGGGCTTGACTTTTAGAGGCAACAAGCCGGGAAATGTTGCATTCTTACTTCAAACATACAGCTGTTTCATCTAACGTTATCGATTTTAAGGCAAACACCGTCCGTATACAGTAATAGCCCGCGTATAAGAACCTGGGTTTTAAGAACCTGTTAGGCTAAAATTTTCATTTTAAGCCCCCTCCACATAAGAACCTATTTAGGCTAAATTTTAAGTTAGGTTCTTATCAGTGGGGTTGCTGTAAAAGTGTATAGGTAGAAACTTTCTTTGTTATGTTTTGTTAAGGACATATGCTGTACCTGCATTGAACTGCCTATAGGCATTGCTCTATGGTACAAATAAATGATTTATACTGTATTATGAGATGATTTTTATAATATAAATAGTATATTCAGATGAAATTCATATGAAAATATAAGAACCTATTTTAAGAACCTCGGTAGCCTAACTTTGCTTTAAGTACCATTTATACAAGAACCTATTTAGGCTAAATTGAAAAATTCAGGTTCTTATACGCGGGCTATTACTGTATTAATAAGACTAGCTGTAAAACCTAGCTGTTTAAATTTGGGCAGTTGTCTGCAGTGCCATAGATAAAGATTTTCACCAAACTTGTTCATGGTCGCATGTCTAGTTGTTTTGCATCGCTCGCTTGAGTCGGCGTTTGCAGCCTCAATTAAAGCTCGCCTCACTCGCTACAGGATTACTGGAAAACTTTCACCCCGTATCATGATAAAATTGCTGATTAAACAAGAAGTCCGAATGGCGAAGAAGTTTAACAAATTACATGTAGTTGTACATATAACTTCCGATCGTTTACACTGGTTACTGACGTTGAGCAAGTCAATCAAGTGCTACAAATGCGAAATTTTTACGGAGACTAAATTATTTTTAGTCAAATACCCTATAATTAATTCCCCTGTAGTAACTTTTATTTTTCTATTTTATGTTTATTTGCTTAGACGTTTTTAAGTCATTTGTTGAAGCGGTTGGATTACATGGTGTTGAAAAACACCTAACCATTCAGTTACTCATCCAAGTCGGAGGGATACTTACCGATGCTGCATGCGACGAGGATTTGGAAGGTAAGGAGCCTGGAGACCAGTGATTTTTCTCACTGAGAGAGTATAATGGAATAGAGAGAGGAACGCCCAGCCTAGCCTTTAGGATGAGTGAATTCCACCAAAGTTATTTTTAGACCAATTAAATGCTTCAACTCAATCAGAAGTTGGTTTTACGGGAAAGGTACGCAAAATTTTATTCAGTGTTGTCAAAAGAGGATTCAGCAGTCGCCATTACAAAATTAAACATTACAGAGACAGAGCGTTTATTTTGTTATAAAAAACAAACAAACAAACAAACAAAAACAATTCAAATAGAAGTAGAACAAAAGAAACAAAAGGTTAACCCGTGGCTATCTATTGGAGCAGAATACCAATCATGTTTCTCTGCGTGCGATTCATCGCTGATTTCCCTTGAGGACTCGAATTGTTTTCTCTGCTTCACACCTGTAATTAGCCAAATGTTCCATATTTTATGCTTCTGTCAGAGCTTCAATGTTTTTCATCTCGTCTTATTTATAAAATTGTCATGATTTTCAGGTTATTTTGAGGCGATTGGAAAATTTATACATGAACACGAGGGAGACAAGTTCGTTGCCAAAGAGGCATGTAAGAGACCGCGGTTTATCCTGAGATGTTGCATGGGTACGTACATGACCGGAGCATTAATAAATGGGGACGCTTCAGGGTGCAAAGAAAGTCATTTTTACAGCTTGCCATTCGGGGAAGCTGAAGCTAGCAGATGCTAGCCCAAACATCATTTCAACTAGCCCCAAAAACGCTTTGATGAGAACATTAATTTCACAGTTCTTCTGTAATTTGAAATCCCCAAAAACTTTCATTTGCCCGTCGGGCAAGTTAATAACAGAATTCACTAGCCCCGGGCTATCGGACAATAGTAAAATCCAACTAGTGGTCTATTTTCAATACTGCGTTCTGATTGGTTGAGCTACTACTAGGCAATATGTTATAGCCCACTAATAGCGAAAAGAGCCTGCTTTTTGGCGGTCAAAAAAGGGTTAAAGTCTAGCTTTAATTAACTAGCTCAAAGTTTTTTTATTCTCGATATTTTTTATCAACTCGCCCTCATGGCCCCTGAGTCAATAGCCCATTAGGCCTTCGGCCTTATGAGCTATTGACTCAGAGCCCATTCGGGCTCGAGGAATAATTGTTAAATACTTTCTTTGCACACTGCGCTTCTTCTCCGGGAGGCACTAAGGAGGTCTGCCGCCGAGGCCTTCAAACCTTGACCCTGTTTTGGTTTATTTTGCTACCCAATACCTCACTTTATGACCCTAGTTTTGCTTTGCATACAGAATTAAGTAATTTTTTAAACTAACTTCATAGAATATAATTTTTTGGGAAACAAAATGTTTTTACCACAAACAAAAGCAGACCAGTCTCATCGCCAACCCTCACACTTTGTTAAAGAGGGTCGTACAGAGGAGGGGGGTGGGTGGGATCTCTGGAACTGTTTACGGACCAAAAAAGTAAATAATACCGCATCACGGATAAGAAACTTTTATCTCTGTTTTCGTGTCACTTGCATAATCAGCATTTTCAATCTTGTTCTTACGCAAAGAAAAGAGTGGTACAACGGTGTGCCTGAAAAACACATGGGCTTGAGGTTGGCGAAAAGAAAAAGCAAGACTGCAAATCACAATTTTCAAAAATTCATAATTCTCATTTGATTCTTTCATAGTCTTTATTTACCTTCTGGAGGTCTCCAAACTGAAAATCAGGGGAAAATAAGAAATAAAATCACGAATAGTCGTTATTAATTCAAGTTTTTCTCGGGGCACGGACAACCATTTGTTCACGGAACACGAAGAATAATTTATTGAATTCATGGATCACGAAAAATTAAAACACTTAATAACGTATCACGAAAAATACCCCTCTAAGACCCTCTTTAAAGGCCTTTGCTGCAAAAGACACACTGTTCAACACACTAATAGTGAAATTGTATAGCCTGTCTAAGACTCTTGACCCTGAAAACCATACCCCGTTTAGCGACACATGTACACCCCACGCCTATGTAGATCAAATAAGAGAGCGCTCCTCCCAAGCCCTTTTTAAATAAGGCATGTCTTAAACAAGACTTGAAATGTAATGCTATTTACAGAAGCAAACTGAACGCTCGTTTTGCGAGGAATTTTTTTCATAACTTCAGTCGCATCTTGTATACTGTTCGAAGAACGCGTCTAAATTGCCCTCGTATAATTGCCCCTATCAATAAATTAAGGTAATAAATATGGGCAAATCTATAAAATAACATCTTATTAAGTTGAATGGGTATTGTCATACTCTCAAGAGTGGTATGATAAAACTACTTGTTATGTCTTCATTGTGGTGAAACTATGGGGGACGTTTTCAAGGCCTATTTTATGGGCGAAGCAGGCTAACTTTGATGACCTATAAAATCGTCAAATTTTATACTCAACACGCCTCAAACTTTGGAATCGAGCAATTTAAATGATAACGTTTATAACTAAACAAAGACAATTTTCGCTTCATACATGTATGAACTTTAATTCCCTTTCTAGTATTGCTGTGTTCACTTCTAACAGCTGAGTCATTTTTGTGGGTATAAGCATACTTCACTTCTTTTAATTAATGCTTGTGTGCCGTTTTTCGCTTCTGTCGCTTTTTTGCATTATTTTTCATTTTTTTCTTTTTTGCATTTGCATTTGCGCGTTTAGCCTTATCTATAGTTTTATCCTATTTAATAATTATTTTTTTGTTATAAAGAAATTGCACGTGTTTAGTTCAATTGTTTTGCGGATGCCATTATTTTATTTCATAATTTAGTCACATATTTCTAAAGTTGCGGAGTTGGTACGTTTGCTTCAGTGCTAAAATTGGTATCCTTTCCATACGCCTTATTGGTTCCAATGGGCTATCTAATTCAATTGAAGCAAAATTAAAATTATGTGCTAGAGCTTCAAAACTATCACGGATTACCGCAGTGTCCATTGACCTACTTGTATGTACTGTTTGTTTGGGTTTTTCTAGGACTACGCAAGTACATACGTAATGCACCAAAGGGACTAAAACAAAGATCCCTTCGCCTGATGTTCGAAGACAAATGTTCACGCCCTGAAGGTATGTTATCAGTTAGCTTTTCTCATGAACAGGGAAACGATTGAAAAAGAAAGAGTCTTTTTTATGTTTATTTGAGTGGGTCTCCTGTAATCTAGCTTGGAACACGCATTCTATAGATGAACTTGAATGTTTAGCCATCCCACCCCTCTGTATACGGGACCATTACTCTCTCAGTCATATGGCAAGAGATCCTAGTTGCGTAAAGTATAGCCCATGTAGCGATTTGTACTAGGGCTTGTGTCCAATTTCAACAACATTAGATTGATTCAAATTCAAATTAAACTCGCACAACATTCCAGGGACTAACCTCTCGGCAATCAAGCCGAGTAAATTTCAAATTACATGATAGTTTTATTAGTACACAAGTGTACCACACTAGCCGACTGAAAATGTACTTTTCGCCATCGATGACTGGCTATCTGGAAGGTGAGCAGCAATTCTATACCATTCACCGCCGACCTGACGAAGAGAGGCGATAAAAGCATTTTAGACTTGAACTAAACTATTGTCGTCGATTACCAGATCCAAATGAACCCTGAAATTTCATAACTCAAGTTCGTCCAAAGTTTGAAGATGTTTGTTTTGTTCACGATCGTTTGACTTGATTTGACCACATGAGGAGTGCCAAAAACAATTCGCTAATTTGTGTGCGTTAAAAAGTATTGTGCGGCGCTCAATATTTTAATATTTTTGCGCATTTGTATCGAGTAAAACAATGATCATTAAAAAATTGTTGAAGCTGGGTCACTTCAACAAAACCCAGTTATCCTTTTTTTAAATTTTTTTCGTAAAATAAATAAATATGTAATGAAATAGTTGAAATAAACTGAATTGTTAATGTTCATTTCCTACAGCGGACTTTGTCAGGAATGCTCTGATTTTCATCAGAGAAGTAAGTTCTTTTTTCCTGTTTTGTCGGGAGCCGATTAGTAATTACTATTCGGCTCCTGGTTTTGTTTTGTTATCTTAATTTCATCAAATCGTGAGAGCTGCCGTCAGTAGTCGAGTAGACAAAAAATGGTGTCATGAACAATAAAATAAAGAAAGATTAGCCGTTTAAAATGAGTCACAAATGATGTTGGTTAGTGAGGTGGTATTTTGATTTTTATTAACTGAAAACTTAATGCCTTTATCAGTTCCCTTACCACGAATCACAAGACACAGGAATGTTAATGCCAGCAAATACATCGCAAGATGAAAAAGCATAACCAAAGCGAAATCACAGCGAAAATATGACACACTCTTTTTTTATATATGAGAATGTTGTTTTTCCTACCCAGGCTGATTATTTTTATTTTTCTGTCGATTTTAGTATGACTATTCTTAAATTTTTCTTACTTATAAATTATAGCTTATGACTTTTCTGCTTAAGAATGTATTCGGGTTTCAGTTACCACGGTGCGAGTCTTGCCGTTGAGTATAGCCTGCGAACCGCAGACGAATTTCCGGTCGTCGCTTCTCCGACGACCAGAAATACGTCTGCCGTTCCAGCTAGCTGTTTTATAATAGTGAAAGGAAAAATTTACCTACGGTTAACTTAAAAACACGAATAAAATTTGCAGATTTTCAGTTTCAAACTCGGGTTTATTCTTAACGACGTATTCTTAAAAGTTTGCAAATTTCAGCCTCGATATTCGTATAACTGAAGTAAATTCTTATAAAGAAAAAGAGCGTAACACAGATACCATAAATTGCTGGGGTCTTTCAAATATCTGAAATATCATTTATTCCCGTTATTCCTAATTTGGCACTTCTGAGCTGACTGCAAAGCTGATGCAGTTGTACCACAGGCAGACCACCCTCTGTTAGTGGGGGCCGTTGTTGATTGAAATCTGAGCAACGATCTTTTGTTATTTATAGAAGAAATACGTATGAACAATACGGTGGGTATAATTTGTTCCAAAATGCAGAATTTAAAGCAATTTTTTTAAATAAAATTTTGAAGAAAATGTTAACTGAGTGATGTGTCATGTTTTTTTCGACGATCCCGTGCTGTTTAAAGCGCTATTTTGCGAGATGAATATTTGACCTCGGGAAAACTTTCATTGAAAAATTTGCTTTAAATTCTGCATTTTGGAGCAAATTATAGCCACCGTATTGTTCATATATATTTCTTCTATACATAACAAAAGATCGTTGCTCAGATTTCAATCAACAACGGCCCCCACTAAAAGAGGGTGGTCTGCCTGTGGTTATAACTGTAGATGTTTGAATAATTAGATCGAGCTGTACTTGGTTACCGAAGAAGCATCAATAATCACAATAAGAAAGTCTGCGTGGGAGGCTACAATAACATATCATCTTGTAGAGCTCATAGCATGCCGTATATTAAACGTTAAAAACTCGGCAGGGCTGAAAGGGGAAGGTTGAAGCTCCCTGTTTCCCCTTCTTCTCCACGTTAGGGGTCAGGAATGATTTATGTGCGTAATCTAGGAATTCAGAAAGGGCTGATATATTATTCTTTTGCAGAAAATCAGGCTTGACAGGAAATTCGCAAGTTTGATGGGTTCTTTCCAAGGTACTTGTGCGTGAGCGTAAATATTGCTAGAAATATCACAAAGTAACTGTCTTTAAGCGAATTTCGCTGCAATCACTAAATGCAAAGTCGTTAAAATGAAAGGAACTACTGATTTTACATTGACTTTATTATATTTGTTGAAACCGTCGTTCGATTACCATTGGCACGTTTCATGCGAAAAGATTGGGTTGTTATGGAGTGATTTGGCCCCGGGGGGGCACTTGAGTATTTTTGAGGTGGGTATGTGCCACCCGGGACTCCAAATTGGCACCCCGTTCTAGAAAAAATTTCCCCTAAAATTGATACCCCGTTCTAGAAATGGGCCAATTTTTTATACCCCGTTCTAGTATTCGCCCTAAAACTGATACCCCGTTCTAGAAATGGGCCAATTTTTCATACTCCGTTCTAGGGTGCAACAAGAGTGCAACAGTTTGCTTGTTTAACACATTGAACCGTATTTTTAAAAGCAATCTGTCCTTGAATACTTTCAAATGGCTGCTTACAAAAGTGGAGCTTTCGTGCGTTCGAAATATTATACCCCGTTCTAGAAAACGCCTCTGAAATGGATACCCCGTTCTAAATCAGGAGCTTCAAAATCACGACCCCCTTTGGGCGGCACATACCCGTATAGGTAATGTATGGGAGTACCCCCGGATTTGGCCAACAGTAGGAAACTACCTTTTTGTTTTATTCTACTCAATTTGTGTTAATTTTGTGCTATTCTTTTGTAGAGCCTATGAAAAAGATAAAAGAGCTTTATGAAGCAAATAAGAAAAAAGAGGCAGACCTAGCACTGGCCGATTTTGTTTTGAGCTCGAACAGGAAAGGAAAATTGATTCGTTTCCTGTTGCCATATTACGTGACGCTAAAGCCCACTTCCGGTCCAGGTATTGAAAGTAAACGGAAAGGAAAAGATGACGATCCCTTGGCTTACTTTATTGAACAACAGCAGGGCACAGATGAATTGTGAAGGTATTTGTTTCTGCGAAGTCTGTTCACTATTAGAAATGTGGGTTTGTGATCCAATTTACCCACGTCATGGCACCAATTTATTGATTATAATAGCTCAGACGTGAGCGCGAGTAAAATTCATCTGTATTGGAGCTGGGAACTGACTGAGGGCTGAAACAATAGAGGTCTTCCGTCCCGTAATCCCTAAAAAATTGTCTCTCAATCCCGTGATCACGACATATTTTTATCGGAAATTCCCAACCTTTTTTTTTAATATTATTTTACCAAGGGTTCCAGTAGCGAACCTAAGGCGGGGCCTAGGCGGAGAAGGTGGGGGTAAGCTGAAGCCTCCTTCTTATTTTAAGCCAAACTGATGTCTGTAAGACCAAGAGAAAGAAAATTTCTAGGCGGTGCCCCCCTGATTATATTAGGGACTGGATGAGTGCTCCGGTCCTCCCTCAGTTGCTTGAAGAACTGAATCCACCACTGGGTTCTACATTCCCTCACCGATCTTCGTATAACTTAACGGGTCAGCCATGAGACTCACTGTTTTCAACGTCAAACTTTACATGCACCTAATAATCTAATGGTAATGAACAAAATCTGTTCCATTCTATCTATTCTTGCTTATTGCGGTTCACTAAGCTCATGGGAAGTTCGACCCCTTTAACAAGTCGCAAATAATAGACGATGTGCCGCAGGAGAAACTAAAAAAAAAAGAAAATGAAGCTTTCTTTACTCTATGAGGATATTGGTTCTATACATGGCAGCATTGAACCCTGCATAGTGAAATCGCTAAATCGCTTTTGTTCAAAATTACAGTCTCTGATGTCCCAAATCCTAAACTTCACTAAAAAAGCCTATTATCCGTGAACCCAGAATATGGAAAGGCTATTGAAGACCAGCAAAACACGGAGAACTTTTGAGCCATTTCTCAGTAGCCAAAGAAATGATGATGGTATGTTGTTTAAAGGTGCTGTATTTTGTGCGCTGTGCTTTGGTTTGGAAAAATTGTCTCTCCAGCATTTGTTAATATCAAACGTAACAAACAACCGAAAAGTGAACTTTGAAAAACTGACAGCCTAACAAGTTCAAAAACTCCAATTGCAATCCGTTCAATTTTTCTTCGAGTTTGTTCGTCTATGCCTTACTTTCTTTGTATTTTTTTCTGCCATTTATACCTTCTATTAACGCTTTGGGCGGTTATTTTTATGTGTCACTCTATCTGGTGGCAATTCACACTGCCTGAAGTTCTTGAATAAAGATGTGTCGTAACACAGCCCTAAAACACATACCTATAACATTTACATATACCATATACATTTTTCTTGTCGGACTGTGTCATTATAATCTGTCTTTTTCCTTGCAGAAATCAGCATCAAGCTTTCCATTTGCAAGAACACGTTTTTCTTTGTACATTGAGTTGGGGTGTTGATTTACCATATCAGGAATTTTCAATGTATTTTTATTCTTCACATCATTTTTTTATCCCCATTAAACGTGTAGTTATGTGGATCTTCGCTTTCATGAAACATAATTAAAAATGAATTCAACAACCACCGATAATTTTAGTTTTTCTCTGTGTTGGGATGACAGGAAACGGGGTAGGTCAGCGGTCCCGACCTCGTGAATAGATAATTCATGATTTGGCTCATTAAGAAATGGTCCAGATAGGAACGATAGCACTGAACGGCAACGAACATGTTGGAATGCAAAAAAGGTGCTAACTTTTCTATTGTCTATACTTACTTCTGATTGGCTTAAACAGCAAAAGTTAACAAAACTTCATAAAGCAGTACATATATTCATCCTTACTTTCCAACCATCTTCCATATAACAAAATCTGGTCTATGTTTGAATAACAAAGAAATCCTATGTGGGGAACATGTAAAATTGTGAACTTTTCTTGGCTATTGTTTTCAACTCTTGTGATTGGTCAAAATCTTTTAACACAAAAAAACACCCTTTCAAAGTGGAGTGTAAATGCATGATTGCGTAAACGGCCTTCATGTAGGTTTACGCATTCTCTGTGTAAAAATGAGAACATTCCTATGTGGGGAAAGCACTGTTGCAGCATAACAAAAGAAATTGCTACCACCTTACCCGGATCATTACTTAATAAAGACCATATCCCACAATCACGTTTTCTATGTCGTAAGACTTTAAGTGATCGCACTCACTCGCTTTCGCTTTTTATGGGGATCGTGCGCGGCAGATAAGGAAAAGGGAAACTTCTACGGCGCGCGCCTTCCCCGGCCTCCGCTTTATAATGAACTCTTGTGAAAGCAAAACCACAACGACAAACCAGTGACGGTCAGGCGCATCTTTAGTACACCTGGATTAGTAAAAACTCCAATACCAAATTTTAAAATTGGAACAGTAAACTTATCCTAACGGCAGGAAGGGTCATAGGAAACATAAAGACAGAAAATGAAACAACGATAACAACAAAACTGGTGAATTGTATTTGCCCGATATTTCGGTTTGCAACACAAACCGAATTATCATTCGATGCAATATTTCTTCCTTTTCATTGGCTGAAAGGCCACCACCTGACCTGGCTGCCTACAAATAATGGTCTGCTCATGCGCATTGTCGTCCAACTGCGTTTGGCTGCAAATAATATTCTGCTCATGCGTAAACGAAACCATCCGTGATACGTTCTCACGTGAAAAAAGGCATATCTCTTCGCTTCCCGAAGATATATTAAAAATCAAACTTGGTGATCGAATGATAAAACAATTGGTGAACTCCGGTTACCACAAAATATCGGGATTTGCCAGTGTATCGCACATTAATTAAAAAGACTAATCTTAAAAAGACTAAATTTATGGTCTTTAAACCAAGACAAAAGCGTTCAATTTGTAATATTCAAATAAGTATAGATAATCAAAATATTGTTGAAGTAAAGGAGACAAATCTTCTTGGCGTAACTTTGGATGAAAACCTAAATTGGAAGTCAGAAATATCACACGTTGCAAGTAAAGTTGGAAGTCAATCGGTACAATATCTAGATGCGGCTTCTTTCTTCCCAAATCGTCTTTACATATGCTCTACTATTCCTTAATTTATCCTTATTTTTACTACTGCAATATCGTTTAGGCTTCGACCTAGTTCTATTTACAGCGAATTGGACTACAATGTAAAAAACCAATCTCCGGCGCCTTGTTATCCTGCAAAAGCGCATTATTAGAATTATTAATAAATCACATTTCGATGCTCACACTGAACCCATCTTTAAGGACCTCGGTATACTAAAATTTAATGATATCCATTTGTTTCAACTGGGCCAGTTTATGTATTCTTGCAGAAATTCATTCTTACGGCTCCAAAGTTCAATAACAATTTCTCTCAAAGCAATCAATTCCACTCTTACAATAAAAGAAATTCCCAGGCCTACCGTCTACCGTATTGTCGTACAAACACGAAGAAGTTCTCGCCCTTTTTTCAAGGGCCTAAGTTTTTTAATTCACTTGACAACAAGGTCATCAACTCTCAATCCCTCTCCTCTTTTAAGAAAAAACTGAAGATTAAATTATCGAGTAAGTATGAAAACAGTTCATAAGTCTTTCCATCTTCGACTTTTCGCCTTCTTTTCTTCAATTGATGTGAAACAGCTCTAGCCCATAGTTCGAGGAGGCCTAACCGCTCATAAGCTGCCATAGTTTCTGTTAGGTCTCCTCGTCACTTCTTTTTTTCTTCTTTTCCTATATTTTTTGTACTTATTGTGTGGCAAATAAAATTTTAAAAAAAATTATTTGCCTCAGCCTTCGACTTCGCTGACAAATCACGATATTTTGCTCAACCTCGTCCAATAATTGTTAAATATCGGGCAAATGCAATTCACCAGTTTTGTTGTTGTTGTTTTGTTTTCTGTCTTTATTTTTCCTATCACTCTTCCTGCCGTAAGGAACAGCCGTTTACTGTTCTAGCTTTAAAATCCCCTTTATAATGCCTGCCAAGAGCTTGTTTCTCTTGTACTACCGCCGTTCCAAAAGAAAGCGAAATGAAGTGAATACCGTAAAATTCCGAAAATAAGCCCCTCCATGTATAAGCCGCTCCAAATATAAGCCCCCCAAACCGGTAACGTAAAAAACCCTCCGTTAAATCGCCCCTCCAAATATAAGCCCCCCGGGGGCTTGTAATTGGAAAATTTCCCTCAAATACAAAGTAAAACAAAGCAAAACGGTAAATTTACTTCCAACTATAGGGCTAGCCCAATCGATTTTGAGACGCTAATTTCCCTCCGTAGATAAGGCCCTCCGAATATAAGCCCCTCCAAAAATAAGCCCCTCAAAAAGGGCCTTTGAAAAATATAAGCCCCGGGGCTTATTTTCGGAATTTTACGGTATTCTGTGTATTGATTGGCAACCTGAACCCTCCCTTAGGACCGCCCGCTTGCATTGTTAAAGACACCGAGACATAGACCTGGACCACTTTATTTTTTCTCTATATTCTAAATTTGTGGGCATGACAATTAATCTAAGCTCAATGAAGCTCAATACTGTAGACAACACGGATACAGGAACAATTTCCGCTTCCGTTTTCGTCTTTATTCACTCTTTAGTTGTGACGCGGCTGGCTATGCGATTTCCCGCCAAAATAACCTAGTGTTGCATACCTGATGACTGAGTTGTTTAACATTGGTATACCTGTGGTGCAGATGGACTGTCGGAGGCGGTTACTTCCTTTTATCTTTTCTTTTTTTGTTTATTTCGATAGCTTAGAGCAATAAAGGAATACTCGTGAAAATTTAAAAGAATAAAAATGATTATCTGTCCGAGTTTCATGACCCCCGCTGATCCAGATAACGATATTTGCGAGAAGACTGGAAGCGCCGGAAGCGGTAAAATCAACCGCAAAAAAGTACTGGGCACTAAAAGAAGACAAAATGGCGGACGAGGTAGACTTTTCAAGGAAGGGATAATTATTGCATCGTTTTCTCTTATTTAGTGACCTTTTATGATGCCCTCATTCGGCCAAATTGTAATTGGTCCTCCAGGTTCCGGTAAAAGTACATTTTGTGCTGGAATGTGCGAGTTCTTGACCAGCCTAGGGCGAAAAGTTGCAGTAATAAACTTGGATCCTGCGAACGAAATATTGTACTACAAATGTTCTGTGGATATTTCGACTCTTATAACACTGGACGATGTCATGGAAAATCTTAAACTGGGCCCCAACGGTGGACTTATATACTGTATTGAATATCTTGAGAAGAATATTGACTGGTTGGAGTCTAAGCTAAAAGAACTGAAGGGACATTACTTTCTATTTGATTGCCCTGGTCAAGTGGAACTTTATACTCATCATCAGTCGGTAAGAAATGTGGTCAGACAGTTGGAAAAGTGGGACTTTAGGGTAAGTGGAGGAAATTGTATTTTTTTTTAAATTTTGCCCTACTACTTTACGAGGAGGACATTGGGGGGCACCCAATACCAGAGATGCCAACCTCTGAAGGATAGGATAGGATAGGGTAGGATAGGACAGGGTAGGATAGGATAGCTGCTCTATTATCAACAGAGCGCCCACACAGACACATGTGTTTACAACGATAAGAAAGATTTTAGTGCAATAATTACAGAGGTGTACATTTGTGACCTTAGGGTAAGTGAAGGAAATTGTATTTTTTTAATTTGCCTTCCCACTTTATGAGGATCTGGAGACTCTCTCTTTTGTACCCCCGCAGAAAATGTGCCTGATGTGTTTAACATCTTTTAAGAAATGTCACTATACTACTACTTGTCCCCTTCCCCTCAGAAACTCGGGACTGTAGTCTTACAATCCTCAGAAATTTTTACTTTTCTTCTACTTCCCCTTATTAAATCTGGAATTCAGTTCTAAAAATTTGAGAAATTTATCCTTCATAAAATTTCTTCACTGGGGGTGGGAGGGGAGAGGGTGGGGTAGGCATGGAATTACAAACTTAGGCATGGGTCAATTAATGCTCAACCTAATAAATTATTAAGGTTGGCTGTAGGGAAACTGAGAAATTTGTATAACATAGGAGAGATAATTTTCAAAAATGTGTAAAGCAGTATAAAACTTGCCACTACACATCATGAAATGACAAAGAAAACAACATAGCCCTCTGAGTACTAATTAAGGGTAAGGATGTAAGAACTTTAAGCCAAACTACCTGTAAACAAAATAATACATCTGATAATAAGGCTTTTCCTGGGATAAAGGCCCCCTCAAAGTGTATGAAATGAATTCAATTTATTATGACACTTACAAGCTTAATTAAAACTCATTAAATGCAAAAGGATATTTTTCCAGTATGCCCCTACAGGGGTCCATATTCATTTTTTCTCAGAGTCGTCAGTCGGGCAAGTAACCGTGATGGCATACTTGCCTGGTTACAATTTGGGTTGTCCGGACAAAAGTCCAGAGTTATATAAAAGAATGGTGAAAAAGTTGTGTGCAACCTGAACATTTATTGATTAGCATTTTATTTCCTTTATAGTTACTAAGAAAGGGTTTTTTCTAAACTTTAAGTACAACAGGCTACAAGCCTAGGCTAAACATGGTTTATTTAAGTTTTACAAGTAGCCACGTTTGGTCAGCTTACCATGAAGGCAAGACCATGCGCTTACATTTTTCCCCATTTAAGGCAGTGGCTCCTGCGTCACCTTTTTTCCCTTGAAGGCAGCAAAACTTCTTCTAAAAAACATCTGATCTTAATGCGTATAAGTCACCAGCTTCTGCCTCACTTTTTTTCCCCAAAGAAACGCCTTCTAAAAAAATGCCTTATCTTGATGAGTGCTGTCACGTTTTCTATGAATGGCCTCTGAATGCAGTAATTCACAAAAAAAGCTGAGCCTGCGATCGTTTCACAGATAATACTGCACCATCAAAGATGGTGCCGAAACTTCAATATATTTCATTGCAGACTAAAGCTGCTTGTTATTCTCCAATATTCTAAAAGTTTTTGAAGTAATCAGAACACAGGGAAAATTTATAAAGTTGTATAAGAATTTTTGCATCGTTTTGAAAAGATTTTGTGGTTGAGCAAAAACCTCACTCTTTTGAAGGGCTACTTTTGAAGTTATCTTAATCATCCGTACGAGATTGTAGTCTTCTGGGATGACTGGACGACTGGGAATATGGATCTCTACCCTCTGTTTATAATCACTCTAAACCTCAGGACCCAGTTGTTCGCAGGCCGATTAGTGCTAACCCAGGGTTAAATTTTAATCTGGGTTCCTTTTTCTTTTGTTCCAAAGCATTTTCCAGGATAAATTTCTCAATTATTTTTATAGCATTCAGTTAACAAATTATATGTAAAAAGAATTAAACTGAATGTTCTTTTGAAGCTTTCATATCTGAATTCAGTTTTTGGACTAACCCTGGGTTATCTTAACCCAGCTTTGAATAACCGGCCCAGATGTATAAACTTAGGACTTAGAAGCAGCAGTTTTCATTTTGCAGTGATGGCTACATGCTGCTGTTCTATTATTAGTGTTTTTTTTTCTTTCAGCTAGCAGCAGTTCATCTTGTTGATGCACATCACTGTAGTGATCCTACAAAGTTTATTTCTGTGCTCCTGACTTCACTGTCCACTATGATTCATATTGAACTGCCTCACGTCAATGTCCTCTCCAAGATTGACTTGGTGGAGCAGTATGGAAAGCTAGGTAAAATAATTTTCCACTTTCAGTAAATATAATTTAGGTGATGTGCGCCATGATCCTTCACTTTGTACTTGCATGGGGGAGTCACAGAAAAGAATGATTAATAACAGTCAATTGTTGTATCTTAAAATGAAATTCCGGTTTGATTGTTTTGACCATATTTGAATTGCAGTTTCCTTTGTCTGCTAATCCTAATTATAACTCGTTTTTACGAATAATGATGGTTTGGGGCACAAAGGAAATGGACAGCATTATCCACAATGATATTTCTTAAATGTCTCCAAATTAATTAAATTTAAGCTTTGTTTATTAAAACACAACAGCTTTACCCCAGGGTTGGTGTGTGGTCTGTCTAGGGTATTGTGTGCAGGTGCTTTACTTGTTTACAGCATGGTGTCCTATTTTAAGTCATTCTGTGTTTGTTTCTTGCTACTGGGCAGTACTTCCAGCTGATTTTACCCCTTGCCTGCCCATCCCTCTTGGCATGTCAATTATGTGGTATTTAAAGACCTTAGTTTCCACTGTTTAATTCAGTACAGACAACCTTGCCTGGTCATGGTTGCTGCTCACAGAGTTATTGTGGATAGCCTGCAAGCTCCTGCGCCTTTGATTCAGTTGAGTTTGGCTCTCAGCTACCCCTTCCTTTCTTAGGCAGGCTACGTTCCCCAAGTCTATCTTAGTTGTTTAATGTAATAACGAAATGAAAATAACCAAAAATAAATTTTAATATTAAGTACTATGGTTGGGAGTGATAGGAAATTTAGAATCAAAGGTTTAAACCATTATGTTAATCTGAATTTCGTTTTGAAATAGAATGTGAATATCAAAGATCACTTTCAACACTGCCTTAAATACTTAATAAGCAGTAATTTTGTTCTTTAAAATAAGAATATGCCTTTTATTAACATGCTTAAGGTTATAATTTATAGTACTCAGTTTCACATTCACTACAACCACTTAATAAAAGCGTTGAAAACGCATTTTTTTTTATGGAGTTAGCCTTCCTTTAATTTTTCTAAAGTGAATTTATATTCATAAACTCCAGAAAAGGCAAGATCAGTTGTCAACCCTTCATTTAGTTTATTTTCGAATTTCAGCTGGTACAACTGTATCTTCCCGCCATTATACACTGTATATGGATAATTATTGTTTTATTTAGGTCAAGGCTAATCCTATGTTAATGTACAGTGTATCATTGGTTCTTGTATTCATGAGCAATAATTTTCAGCACAAAAAACGGATCGTTATACGTTTCTGGGAAACTGCCCACCTACCCCTCCCTTAAGCCAACATTTTGCCCTAAGTGAGAAGTAAGCATTAAGGTTGGCTTAGGGGATGGGTATGTGGGCAGCTTCCCAGGAAAAAAGTATAATCATCCCAAAAAAGAACCTCTCTCCTTCACAGAGGCTAAAAATAGCAACGACACAAAGAGGCCTCTGTGGATGAGAGGGAAAAAAGGACTATAATAATTGATTATTGGGAATGGTAATGGGAAATTTTAAAAGTAAAATTTTGTTTAACATCCCCTGGTGTCAATCACACTGCCCTTCAAAAGTCTTGTGTTTGTTTTTTGGCTTTCAGTAAATATACTTTCTAAATATCCTTAAAACTCCAAGAAAGCAATACCAACTCAGTAAAAGTTCTGGCTCTTGAAACACAGTGATTTCTTATCAGCATGGTACTAGTATATTCTCTGACTCGTCTCCTTGTGTTTTCTGTTGTAGTAATAAGGAGAATTTGTTTAATAATCAGGACATGTCATCTTTGATAATCATTTCCTTTTTTTGTGGCCTTTATGTTTAATTAAACAGTAAAATACAAGGCTCAGGAGTGTTGAGACTTAATTGTACAAGTTACTCTCAAACCATTCCCATTCACTCCCTTTTACTAATATAATTTGCTTTCAATCATTCCCATTTCAGTCTTTGACGTCTTGCCTCTTATAGTATTAATGTGTTTCTATTTTTTTTTTGTAGCATTTAACCTGGACTTTTACACGGACGTTCTAGACTTAAATTTTCTCTTGGAGCACATCAAGGATGATCCTTTTTCACAGAAATACAAAAAGCTAAATGAGGCTTTAGTCAGCTTAGTGGAAGATTATGGCCTCGTGTCTTTTAAAACACTGGATGTTCAAGTAAGGAAGACTTTCACCTTAATAATCCTTGTTATAAAGAAGGAGTGATTGGCAAAAAATAAATAAATAAATAACCAACAACAACAACAACAACAACAACAAAAACAAACAAAAAAGAGGAGAGGCTTCCTTCTTGCTATTTGAGCATTTGCTAATTTATATGAGTGTAGTTTTCAATATATTGACTGTCCAACTAATCATTGGTGCGTCACTATTCAGTTCGGCAGTTAGTCCATAGATATATAATGCTTGGAAAATTACTGTGGAAAAAAAATTACACTTAAGGATGCATTATGGCTGAGCGCGGTCATCAGGGCTTCTCCTTTATTCGCCCATCTTTGCACAGTCGCAACCCAGCGCTCCTGGGTTCAAGTTATGCTCTGACTACTGCCTGGATTTATTTCTCGGTTGTCCGGAATTCATATTCTCGGCCATGCTTGCTTTTAAATAGCCGACTGGTTGACCCCTGTACGTTGGGTTTTTTTAATCTTGTTGTATGTTTTATTTGGATTTTTTTGTTTTTGATTATTAGAGTGGATTGCCTGTAAATAAGGTTAATTGCACTGTACTTCCATTGTAAGAAAAATCTTTCCCTTTACCTTGTCACTGTTGTCACTTCTTAGTGATAGCAGGTTGAGTCATAACATACCATAATGCTCTTTGTTTGTCACCCCAAAATTCTGCATAAGAATTGTTTCTCTTGGGGCCATTTTAACTCCCAAGAGAAACTGAAGACAATGTTTATGCAAAATTTTGGGATGACAAACAAAGAGCATTGTTGTATGTTATGGTATTGTTTTTCTGCAGTGGTCAATTATGAACCCCGTTTAATATTTTGTACGAATAGTATCGCATTTATTCAAAGATGCTAGGCGCATTGACGTTATTTGTAACATTATTATGGCCTGCTGTCAAATGAGGTGACAAGCCTTTCATGCTAAAACGTCAACAACAACAACAACAACGTTTATTTCTCTCACATAAATACATAAGATAGTACTGACCTGCAAAGTAGCAGGAACACTAATCGATAAAAAAATTAGTTTGACACTAGTTTCCGTTGCTCGTGTCATTACCTTAGTCCAAGGAAAGTATGTATCAAGTGATGAAGTCCATTGATCAAGCCAATGGATATGTATATGGTGGAGTTGAAGAAGACAACAGAGGAAACTTTAGTCAACTGATGTCATCAGCTGTTGGAACGGATTTTGAATTCTTCAGGTTAGTGGAGGGCGAGGAAAGCCTTTATTTCTTTGGAATTTTGAATTTTATAGCAACTGCATTTTAGAAGCTACAGTGTTTTACGGCGGGATGGCCAGCAAGTTTTAGTCTAAATAAGCCTAACCACTGTTGAGATCTTATAATCTAATATCACATGTCCGGTACTACACAATTGAGTAACAATTATTGAATGAGGCTGAGTATCAATTGAAGAATTATGGAGATCGAGCGGATAACACCCTGCGAGATCTTCATAATTCTTCAGATGGTACGAAAGCCGAATTCAGTAATTGTTAATTATTATTCGTTCAAAATAATTCCTAGTTTAAAAACAAGTTAAAACATGCTTACCTCTATCGAAGGGAAAAGTTCATCTTCGATAGCGCATGTTTATCGGCAAGTTTAGGAGATAAAAGGTTATTTAGTTCTGCACATACTCTCCATATAGCAGATGTCGTCCGTCAAGTTGTCTTCTTGCTGTTCTTGCTGTGTTTTTAGCCAATAGTTCGCCTATTTATTCCTCTTGAAACAAGTGAAATAATCTGCCGTTTTGTATCACTACAATAATCACTACCAATAAACAACTCAACCTCGTTCCCTGGTCTTCTCGGCTAACGGTTCAATAATCCGTCAATTTTGCTGCACGATTGTCGTCATCAGTTCACATATCGCAAAATTCTTCCAAATTTGGTTGACAGTAGCATGTTATGATGCATTATACGTGGGAGTTTAGCCAATCAGAAACGCAGAGATATTTTTTGAATGAATAATAAGTCACTTTATAGAGCGTTTTCACTCACGTGGCCAGCATTTATGCAAATTTTTTGGAACAATAGAAAGGGTTTGCATAAGAAAAGAGTTCAACTCCCAAAGGATTGGTTTGGGACACCAACATGGCCGCCGTTTCCTTGTTGTGGGACACCAACATGGCCGCCGTTTCATTGTTGTGGGACACCAATATGGCCGCCGTGACGTCATGTGAAAACACTCTATAAGCTGAAAGTTGTTTCTTGTTTCTTTTAGTTTTCTATGGAAACCCCCTTTCCTCCACCTGGGGATGAGGGTACTGCGAGGAACACATCTAAAGTTGGGATGTTCTGTTGTTTCCTATTTACAGTTGGTACGGTGACACAGCATTGCTTAGAGCGGGTGCCGTGGTGCCGGGTCAGGGAATGCTTCATTTCTCCCTTTTCAAGTCGGTACAACGTCACAAAGCGCCCTCAAGTCAAAGTGTCTTTTAAATACTAATTTTGACTCCGATTGTAGGTTGTCTTTTATTTGCTCTAGGAAGCCATCCTGCGGGCAGGTTGTTGCATGTAAATGTTGTTGTTTATCTAACGTATTTACACTGCTCGTGTCCAATGTTTCAGAACTGCTGCAGTACAAGAAAAGTACATGGTGGGCAAAGACGAAAAACCGTGATCCATTGTACGGCAATTCTCTTTAACAATGCACTGTTGCAACAGACGTCGGCAGGAGGAGCAAAGCGACGAAATTTCAGTTCTCCACAAACATGTACTTCAGATGTTTTTGTTTCTAATAAGCCTGTCAAAGAGTCAGGAACATCGTACTCATTTTATGGGGACAGTTACTCCAGCGATTGTGGACACCGAAGCCGATAACGGTCAATACCATTATCGGTAACCATACAGACATTGTACTTGTAGATGTAATATAATATACTTACATGTTCTATGTATAATGTTACATTAAGATAAAAATACATTTTTGAATATTGTTACAAACTAAATAACAACGTTTTGGCGTAGTTGACTTGAATTAAAAGTTCGATAGAGATCAGAATAACACACTATTGTAGATGTAAAATGAAGCTGGAGGGGGAAGGGGGAGGGGGGAGTGTGGGGCTTATGAATATTTGGGAATTAATGTCAAAGTATTTGGCTGATTTTAATTTTGAGTTTCCCTGTGGCATAGACCTGACGAAAACGTGACGAATGGAAAATTTTCGTTGTCAGTGTCTTGAAAAATAAATCGAGCCCTGCATTTTCAAATGGGCGCTCAGGGATGAGGCTGAAGTCCATTTAACAACCTTGTCCTTAACGGAGTGAATGTACTAGTTTTTTACAAACTGACGTTAACTAAAGGCGAGCGCCAGAAATCGAAGAAAAATAACCTTTTTCGTGCCATGGGTAATAAGTTTTACCGCTGATTATTAATTTGGTGGATTTGATATGATGGAAAGTTTGTAATGATAAGTGTGAGCAATAGGTAGGTCTTGTACGTTGTACTGCATATATCATGACCAATCAAAACAATAACCGATAACTTGTGGGAAATGAAGCCCGTATGTGTCTAAATACCAACTGAAAGCAACTTATCATTTGACAAGTTACAAGCTGAGGTTGTTCGCATAAACAAATTTAAAAAAAAAATGGAAATTGAATAAATGCAATGAAGATTATTGTAATTACTAAGACAGAAGTTATGAAGTTGCAAATCCCTTCTTTTTGCAACTACTTAAGTTGCTTCTTTAACTGCGATGATCTTTTTTGCATTTATCATGGTTTATTCGTCATTTCGCGGTTCAAATACATGAAATAATTATATATTCATCATTTCATAAAAAAATTGAGTCCAGTGTTGGCAGGGTAATATAACGAACTCTGAAAACATTTCGTTTAACTCCTTGGAATTTTAAAAGGGCAATCGGTTATGTCACCCGGCCATAACTTGTAACACCCTCGATCTCCTCTTTATATGAGTATAGCGTTTTACAGGGCGGAAACGGAAACTTGTTCTTAGTTTCAGAAAGCAACATAGCAATAAGCTGATTTTAACTAAATTTTAAAACAACTAATTTGTGACGACTAGCTAGTAAACAACTGGAAAGGAAATTATGTTTCCTAAAACGCATGTTTACTAAAACCTTATTTTACCGTGAAGGATTTAACAGTTTAATTCATAACAAAATAAAAATAAATAAACATGCAACCTTTATACAAACGAATACCTACGTGGACGTCGTATGTCCTTGGCAATCTACTTACTATAGATAGGTTAATATGTTTGTTTATAGAAGGACCCAAATTCTTCATACTCTTCTCTACAGGGAGACTGCGGTGAAATTTAGAGGTATTCAACGTGTATTAGTCTTTGATTAAGATGCTATTCTTTGCTATGATTATTGTTTGTTTTCTTGGCTTATGGATGTACGACAAACAGCTGCAGTTAATCATGGAGGAACTTGCAGTGGTCTCAATTGGAAGGTATTTATTGTTTCTTTTTACGAGTTAGTTTAACCTAAGATTGAAAGAAAAAGGGGGAACTGTGGTAAATTTTGACTGATTCGTGAAGTGAACCGTTTTATAGTTGCCCCGGCGCGACTAGCGTTTACTTGATGATCGCGCCAAGTCACGTAGTTTGGCCGCTTTCAGCAATTAGAAAATGGCTACCAAACTGAGGGACACTGTGTTGATAACCCCTTAAAAAGTTATTTATAAGGACAAATACACTCGGCAAATCACGACCCAACAAGCATCTAGTTTTAACCCTCATCGTGTTAAACTTAAGGTTTTTTTTTTAATTATCAATTAAATGTAATACTAAGAGAAGACAAAATCGGGAAAGATTATAACAGATTCTGGGACTTTTTTTCTTTCAGTTCGTACAAGGAAAAATAAATGTTCTCTTGGGTCATATAGTATCCCTTTTTATTATGCGTGCGTACATTATTCATCTATTTAACGTACCACTTTGTGGATTCGGCGGCGTAAACTGTAAGTGTGTTTGTTTTTCCGCGTGAAATTTGGAGCTGATTCTGAGCGGCTTTGAAGATCGATCGAGCGATTCTGTCCTACCTTGTCTCTTATTTTTACTCTGTCAGGTCAGATGATGTAAAAGTACTCAAATCGCGCTGAAACTTCGTAAAAGCAAAGACAACGACACCAGGTAACAATATTTACACTTTATTGAGAACTTTTATCGCTTTTACTTCATTTATTTCATCTGAGTTTCAAACTCTATTTTTCCCATACAAACTCTCATATTACGCTTGGGCCACCTGTGTTACTACAAGGCCATGTTTGTTCGTCACCCGTTCGAGAGACTGGCGTCAAGCAGCTATTTTTAACGGTTACTTTGTTTGGTTACAGTTTGAGCGCCCTGGCTGATGTACAAGGAGCATTATCGGAACAGCGCTCTCATATACCTTACCGTAACACCAGACTCACTCATATGCTGCAGGATACCATTGGTAGGTTTGTTTAGTCTAGTGTTAATGTGCCAGTACCCTGCGAGCAGAGGCTATATTTTCGCTGTGTGAGCTGGCGTGCGAAAAGCAGCCTCTGCCGACAACCGTTCAAATCCGTCCAGAAATCTGGACGAATAAATTAAAAGAACGGGTTTTTTTCCTGTTCTTGACCGGTTTAGAGCATTGCGTGAGTCTTGCGTAGCAGACCAGAGTTGTCACAAGTTTTTTATTCCCGCGAAACTCGCGCCATTTGACGACAGACCTGACGATTAATTTTGCTTGCGAATCGATCGCCTGACGAATTTCGCGCATGCACGATAGAAAATTGAACGGTTGTCTGCAGAGACTACTTTTCGCACGACATGCAGCTCACACAGCGAAAATGTAGTCTCTGCTCGCAGGGTAATGTGTCAGTTGTGGAAACTTTTAAATGTATAAAGTCACGTGGCCTACTGCTGACCTATAAGCGTTACCATGGGAGTGGAGAACATAAATGGCACAAATAAAAGGTCTAATGAATTCGTGGTTTTAGTTGTAGGGTGATTGGTCCTCGTCAAAACAGTTACAGTTATCTCAACCTTACCAGAGCGCGAAAAAGGGCCGAATCAAGGATCTGGCTTATTTGAAAACCAGGATTCGGGACTTCAGGGAAATAGAGAAAGACAGAGTTTCGGGGCTCGGCGAACACAGGATTGAGAGATTCTGCGAACTATATTTCGGGAATTGTAGCTTAAAGAACAAAGATTTAGTAAGAAACGTCATTTGCATTCTCTCAAATGTCGTTTATTTTGATTTCACATAAGCTACCCACATATTCCCCTTTTCCTGGGTCTCTGAAAATGAACGAATCGAAGGTTGAAAGAATTAGCCACTTATTAGGGAGCTTAAGCAACAACGACGGCGACCGCAACGAGAACGTGTCACTTAAAAAGTATCATGTAGTATAAGTTTGTAAATTGAAACGCACGCGACGACCTTCCTTTTTTGGAAAGATCGTATAAACCTACCATTAACACTCTGGTGCGAGGGCTCTGAAGTGAATGAGCTCCTTTCAGGTGTCTAGGCATGCAGGGACCTCATACACTTCTTCTTAAAAGCAAATGTGTAAAAAATAGTGTTAAAAATTCCTCGGGAGGCATGTTTTACAACCTCGCCCCCAGGGCTTAATAAAAAGGTAGAAAAAGGTAAAGTGGCCATATTTTACGTCAATAACTCATGACAGTAATAATAACTGATAAACTTGAGGTCGACGGTGCGCTCCTTTTACCCCCCTCTCTCCATTAATGCTCTGTTTTTAGGGTATTTAAAGCTAGTCAAAGCTACACAGAAAGGAGAGAAGTTGAAATAAGGATGTATTGGCACCGGGGATCGGACTCGGGACCTCGCGCACCGAAGGCTGCGCACTAACCAACTGTGCCACCCTTGCTCCTCCTTTACCCCCTGAGGACGAGGGTGACATGTTTTAATCATTATCTCAAGGACAGGGTTACTAACGAAGCAAATCATAATCTAATCTTAGCTGCACAATTACAAAGTGGGCACGTTTTGAGTTATTTTTATTTTATTTTATTAGCTTTACCCTGAAGAATACAAAAAAAAATAAAAAAATAAATCAATATTGGGCAGGGACACCGCAACAGCTAAAGCCAATTACTGCGGACCCAAAAAATAAAAAGATATAAAAGAAGCAATTCAAATCACATGCAGCAGCTAATTTCTTGGTCTAAAAACCTGCTGGCTGTGTTACATTTCAAGCAAATACTTTTGAAGCTTCTTGGAGAGTCCGGGTCATAGTTCATTGCTAGAGCGCGCGAGTAATAACCGTAAAGAACAGATTTAAAGTTCTCAAAAGTAACATTATCTAGGTCAAGTCTAGTAATAAGCAGGTTCCAGATTCTAGTGGTTCTAATGAAAAGGATTTCTGAAAGATAGAAGTCCTGCATTTTTAGGCACAAAAGATTGAGAGCTCGTTACGGATATACGGGTCCTTCGCGCGCATTCGCGCACGAAGGGAACAACAGACGGATCTAAGTGAATCATATTATGCGTAGCCTTGTAAAAGTATACTAGATCTAGTAACTCGTGCCAGTAGCACACAGGAAGTAGGTTTACAGAAATTAGTCTTTTTTTGTAAGAGATATTTGTTAAAAAAGGCAAGCAAAGAATGAATTTGGTGGCACGTCTTTGGATACTTTCGAGTTTGGAAATTAGTTCAATGCCTTGGGGCACCCAGACCTGGGTTGCGTAGCCAAGATGAGCACCAACTAGGCCCCCAGTTACGGTTCATGAGGTCGTTCTTGTGGCATGTCAAAATTTAACGATTCTATCGTTTAGCATGTGACACATTTGGGTTTTACGTTATTGTATGACATCTTTGAAAGCTGGCTTTGTGATCTGTTTAAATTGATATGTAATGATATTATCACTGGCAAGTCATAGCAGTGACACTGATAGCCGTACAGGTAGTGAACATGGCCACACTTACCGTGTGGAGACTGGGCACTACTGTACTATGTACATAAAATGTAAATTGTAAATTGTTTTTTTTTTACCCACGAAGCCCTTAAGAGTTCATATGAACTCGTTTAAACGTGTCCGTGCGTTCCAGATCGAATTGGAATTTGAAGTGTTGGTTTTTGAGGAGAGGGGAAAACCGGAGTGCCCGGAGAAAAACCTCTCGGGGCAAGGGAGAGAACTAATGTAAAACTATTTTGAATAGTGTAACAACAACATAAATGTACCAAATTAAAAACATAAAAAATTAAAACAAATGTTTTTTAGCCAAATCAAGCAAGAAGAGTACTTACCACAGAGAACCCAATCTGCTATTATACGTGAAAGTTAACCCCCCTTTTATCTGTAATTAGGACCATTTGTAACGGGCACCCCCTCCAGTATTAATCGGCAGATGCTGAGGAAGCTCTGTGCCAAATTTGACGCTTTTGTCACGTCTGTAACGATCCGGCCTATATTTTGCACTAAGAGATCTGACTATTCCGCGCCAACTATTAACAACCTTCTCTTTGTCAACAACTGTTTTCCTATAGCAAAAAAAAAAAAAAAAGCAAAAACAAAAAACAACCTCTACAGCTACCTTAAGAGTCAATGCGAACAAAAAAAAGTCTTTTTATGTTATTTATGTTATGTTATTTATTTTTATGTTAAGTTGTAGTTAACATATGCTGTTGCGTATTATCTAAAACATCACCAAACACAATTTTCATATCACGGACCGCTGCACACACTCAAGCAAACAAGACAACGAATTAAGTAGAGTGGCCGGTCTGATGTTCTATGATAAGATTAAATTGCTGCTTCCTAATAGGCTTCAACTGCAGGTGTTACTTTATGGTCTTGGCAAGTTTTCATCAAGGAAAATAATTAGAAAACGACAAGAAGAAAGGTAGAATACCCGTCTGTCCACCTGCTTTAACCGATTATTTAAGCAGCGATTATTTAACTCGAAAAACCAAACTGGGTGACAATTCTTTTCTCTTGGCTTAAACGTCAGCTTGCCTGCTTATTTTAATGTTCATCTGAGTTACATCCTGGTAAGTTTCACAAACGTGACCAACACAGTTTGTCCTTTACGACGAATTGGCTGAGCATTTAACGTCATTCGTCAGTCGCATGACTACTTATACAACTTTAACGTAAGCAATAAGAAAGTTCTGCAATGAAAGAAACTCAAGATATCCGCGCATCACACATCGCCATCGCAGTCCTCAACGGTCTCCTATGTTTTGCCGCTATATTCCTGAACAGTGTCACCATTAAGGCCTTAAGAAAAACTTTGCCGCTACCAAAACAGCTAAAAACATTACTCCTGAGCCTGACTGTTTCGGATCTAGGAGTTGGCGTAATTGTGCATCCTCTGTACATTGCAGTTAATATAATGGATTTTCAACAAATTAGTCACAACGGACACACCTACGAAGCCACAAAAAACGCGTTTCTTGTTGCGGCAAATTTACTTCTTTATGCTTCACTTTTTGGTGTGATAGCACTTGGCGCAGACAGATTTTTGGCAATTCATCTTCACCTTAGATACCAGGAACTTGCGACTCACAGGCGAGTAGTCGCTTTGGTGATTTTAATATGGATTTCCAGCACAACTATTTCTTTACCAAGGCCGTGGGCTGATATGCAAATTATTTTCATTGCCTTCGCCATCATAAACAGTTCATGCCTTGTTATTGCGGCGTTGCTTTACTGTAAGTTGTATGTAACCGCGAAACGCCATACAAAGCAGATTACAACACAGCAAGGGCAAGACCTTGGAAGGAAAAAGAAACTTTTGCAAAATGCTGCAACGTTAACTAAATCTTCAACCGGAACACTCTTTGTCTATTTGGCGTTGCTAATTTGTTATTTACCAAATGTATGTATTTTAGTGATGTATCCAATCCTTGAGCAAAACACCACCATAAAGACAATTCAACTTTACACTGTGACTCTACTTTTTATGAATTCCTCTTTGAATCCTCTCATTTATTGCTGGAAGATGAGACACATTCGGCGGGCTGTCATGGACATATTACAAAACATAATGAGAAATAGTAACTACCAAGGATAACCGCGGATGTGTCCTTCACATACAGTGACATTTCTTGATCTTGTATTGAATTTCGGATACCAATTAGAACATAAAATTAGACGTTATGCGTTTGAAGAGGAAAAAGAAACAAACAAACGAGAAAGAAGGAGAAACAAGACGAAACCAAGACAAGACAACAGTGCACTAACCCTAGAGGCATTCTTTCCAGCCAGCAAATCCCGAACTTCGTTGTTGTAAATTTCGCATACGGACATTTCTAGCGAGTAGCTCTCATCTGGATTCTCACGCTTACTGATGAGTCTATGAATAAAACTTGTCAATTAATAGACGGTGTATTTGTGCAGTTTTATAAACTCATAGAATAATCAAATAACCTATCACTGCAAAGAACTGTATTTTAGAATCTCTTTAGGACGAAAATGTTCTTAAAAATTGTTATTTTAGGGCAGGAAATAGTACGACCTCCATTACATTTACCCCCCAAAAAAGCAAGCAATGAACAAGTGAATGTTTTAGAAGTTTAATAGCGTTACAGTATAGTTACACGAATAGTGCTCCACAAAATAAAAGGAATTTGTAGTTTTAACATCAAGTTTTACGAAACAAAAGCATTAAGGTGTTTCGATACAGTTTTTCAGAGGCCATACCGATATTTCTCAATCGCCTTATAATAAAAGCGGTTTTTTCCTTGTCCGATCGCTATAAAATTTTCACCAGTAATTGGCTATGGATTGAAATTTGTGAAAATGTACAGTACAGGCCATGGGCATTGCAGCACTTACACGCGCGTAAATTGCGTCCAATATGGCGGATTTCAAGGCAAACTCCACGCAAAAAACTCGCCCGTAAATTACACGCAGCCTTTTTACACGCAAATTTGCGTGTCCTTTTACGTTGACTGATTTTGCTTGTTATAAATACAAGCAAGTTGCGTGTATTTCTTTACATCAGCAAAAGGCAGCAGCCCATGATGGCGGATGTAAAATTAGAGACCGACATTGTGGAAAAACGTCTTTTCGCGGTGAAAAGAAAATAAAACTTACTATACATGTAATGTAACTTTCTCTTACTAGAAGAACGTTATGTTTTTATCGATGATTATGTAAATTCCTTGGCTGTTTGCTGAGACCAAGTGCTGAGACCGGGTTTCAAATTACAATACACTATTTTACACGTAAATAAACTTGGATGCTACTTGGCACGCCGACTGTACTATTGTTTTGAAATCATTGTTATGTCCTTGGCTGTTGGCTAAGGCAGGGTTTCAAATTACGATCCGCTATTTTTACGTGAAAAATTGGATGCTACTTGCCACACCAACTGTTTTTTTTTTTACTTGTTAAGCGCTTAAGAGCGAACGTCAGGAAATATCGACCATCGAGTGGCAAGAGTTGAAAAATCGATTTCCTTCATTTTTTGTCCATAAATAGCTTTTAGGTAGATAAGTAATCTGATGTAAGTTGTTCTCGCAAAAAGCCTTTTATTTTCGAGAAAAGTAAGAATATTAGTTTTCGTGGTCGGAGTCTCAAAATGGCCGTATTTTCAACCCGAAATTTGCTAACATCAACTCTCCTCGCGTTCGCAAATAAAGGCGCAAGGAGAAATTTGGACACTTTCCATCAATAGAACAACTCTTCTTCTTTCACTAGAAGATACTTTCAAAGCAATATCAAGACTCGTTGAACTGACATAATTCAAAAACGAAGAACAGGTTTTTACGGTGACAAAAGCTTTAATTTAGTAGTTGTTTTCTGCGGCATTATTTTTCCTGTGGTATAGCTCCAAATTTTCCCAGTCCTCGTTTATTCACACATTTAGACATTCGTCTAAAACATACCTTAGAGTTGGCTTGGGTTCCTGAAGGCAGCCTCCAAACAAAAGCATCGAAGTCCGGTAAATATAGCGAAGCGTGACCAAACTAACTTATTTAACGGCACCAAGTTTCCTCGATCGTACAGTAACAAGAAGAAATATCTTCCTGTTCCCTCATCCTTAGCGAATTTCCATTGTTAAAGTCCTTATTTTCCGATAAAAAGTGAGTACCAGAATACTAGCGTGTTTGATTTTTTCTTCTTCAAAAACTGACTGTCGGCATCGAAAATGTTACTCTTTCAAGAATTCCGTTGCGTTACTACCTTGATTCCGTGACTGTCATTTTTGACGGCTCCGTCTCTTCAAATGTATGTTATGTCACGTGTAGTCACGGAACAGATTGTCACG